GGTAGCATCTTACATAACAACCCACAACCCCTTACTGTGTTTTGAATGTAAGTTAGCTATGTATTTGTATAAATGTATACATATTTAAGCGTATATATTATACATCATGCGTACTTACATAACCCACCTACTCTCTACGCACGTGGTATATTGTGAAGTTGAAAAAAGAGAATGATAAATAACCGAGAGTTAAAAATAAATTTGTACATAAATAATTCATTTCTCTCACTCACCGAATAAATCATTTATTGCAAAAAAAAAATTCTTCACGTTGTGCACATGCTACATATCGTATGTATATATGTAACAAATATATGAGAGAGTACATGTTTGTACTTATGTACATGGAGACGTTTTTTTAGTTTCTTTTCTTTCCTTCCTATTTATTCCCCTGCTCTTTGCTTTCATATATGTACGTGTTAAACTATGTATGCATGTGTTTATATATGAGTTTTGCATACGCATAAACTTGTGATATATGTAAATGCTCCTATACTAAAACATATATATATATATATGTACGTGTATGTACGCATATGTACCGTATATGACTTATTGCCATATGCACGAACAAACGCCCCACACCCACTGCAAATGAAAGATCCTTCTGTATATATGCGTTCTCTCCTTTTAAGAATAATTTCATACATGCATTTTTATGCACAACTATTATATGGTTACGCTGTTATATATAGCAGAATTGACTTACCACACTTTGTTCTATCAACATGGATGTTATATAATATATATACATATATACCTAGATATGTATATACATTTGCCAGTTTCTGCAAGTATATATCATAACATATACCCTTGTCACAAGTTCATACATGTATGCGTGTTCTTTTACATGGTATATATATATACAGGGCATAGCCATTATCCTATATGCCACTTTTATAGTACGTTTACGTGGATATTTTCACAAAACGGAAAAGTGGGAAGGTGAATTATTATGTATAATGAGTGGATCGAAGTAATCGATAAGGTGCGCGTACATGTAAGCATAAGCGCATCTTTACATTTACATGTTTATGCGGATTTATATTTTATGCAATTTACACACAAATTATGAGCAAATAAATTTTGGCTAGTTCACGACGCTTTAATGCTCGTTTGTTTCATTTTAATCCAACAGTGGTGATGAATATACTCCTATACGCACGCCCATAAATGCCTAGATACAAAAAGTGTACAAGCAACTTACAACTCTTGTTCTTTTTGTTTTTTCATTTCAGGGAACTAGTGCTTGGTTTATGTGTTGCATACAAATGTATGGTGCGTATGTCTATCATGAACGTACGTAAAATACATGTACGAATGGAGCATGTTCCCATAGATGAATGAATTTACTCCTGCATAAACATTTACTTGCATAAATTTACACTTGCACGAATTTACACTTGCACGAATTTACACTTGCACGAATTTACACTTGCACGAATTTACACCTGCATTAATTTATACTTGCACGAATTTACACCTAAATTAGTTTACACTTGCATATGCGATACATATTCATTAGTAAGCATATTCGCGTAAGCACGTACACTGTTTAGTAAGGATTTATTTGAATGCTTTTTCCATATTGTATATTAAACAGCAGAATAAAGTTATGTATATGTAAAAGCATATGTAATATGTAGATATGTATTTGTACAATATATATACATATCTACATAAGATCATCTAAAGGCAACATTTGTGTAATAGCGTTCATTTAATTTCATTATTTTGAAAATTTATTTTATAAATCCATGTTTTGTAAAAAAAAGTGAAAACAAATTAAAAAAGAAAAAGTAAAACCCTTCTTATAAATTAAAATAAATTATGTGTATTTTTTTTTTTTTTTTTTTTTTTTTTATCATTTATTCTTAAAAATATAAAAAAGGAGGGAATTTTGAAAAATTTATTTTTAATCAAACATGCAAAAGAAGCCACGTATGCTCTGTGTATATATATATATGTATGTATATCTATATATTTCCTCTATTTACCACTTGTTCGTTTAATTTGTTTCCTTATATATTTTTTTGTTCTTTTTACGTATACACTATATGTCGTATTAATTTTAAGTGTCCAAATTTACTTCATTTATTTTAAGTACATACATATATATACATACATGTATAAACATTTTTGTATTTATTTTTTGATGCATTAATTTTTTGTACTAATTGCATGTATATTTTTGTTTCCAGTTTTAATTTTTTTTTCTTTTTTTCTATTCTCTCATTATCACATTCGGTGTTTAAATTAATTATATATATATTATATAAAAACATAGGTTTATACATAATATTTATAAACCACGTAATAGTATACAACAGCACAAATAAGAAACATCATTTTTTATCTGCTACCTGAAATTTTTTTTAATTTTTTTTATTTTTCCATACTATTCGTTCAATTTTTTCTTTTTTCGAGTATACAATATTAAATGTACTAATAAAATAAATTATATTATTTTGCATGTAAAAAAACATGTTGTAAATTTATTTATACATAAAATATCTATTATTTACATTTATGTTGTTTCAAAATAATATTTTTTTTACCCCAACCCCATCCCCCCGCCATCTCTTACAATATATACGAATGTAATGGAATAATTTGCATTTAAAAATATATGCTTATAAAGCATATGCCTTTTTTTCCTACAATGTAACCTACAAATAATTATACATAAAATAAATACATGCATTTTTTTACAATTGCACTACCACCATTAAATGGAAGGGGAAAAAAAAAAAAAATGTATACAGTATTACTATTTTCATTAGGAAAAAAGAAAAATAGTTGTTGCTACCGTATATATGTAATAGATTATTTTTTAGATTAATTAAAATAGAAAATTTTATTCTATATAAAATTTAAAATGTTCATCACATATTTATTTTCATTTTATTGAATTAAAGATAATTATACAAAAATTAGAGAATAAAAATTTTAATTTAAAAAAAAAATATATAATTATAATTAAAGTAGTGTTTTTTTATATCTTTATTTATTTTCATTTTTAATTTCATTTTGAAAATTCTATAATATATGTGGCATTCACTTAAGATGCAGTTTTACCATTAGTTTATTCTTTGTACGTATAATATATATATATATATAAGTATTCTTTTATAAAATTTTTTTTTTACTATATGTAAACGAATGCTGAAATAAACTGTTTTTTTTTTTTTTTTTTTTTTTTTTTTAAATATAGTTGTATTACTCTTTCGTACTTATAGGTCATTTTTACGTACGTTTATGCCTTTTTTTTTTTTCAACCATTTTATCCTTTTTTTTATCCCATTTTTTTATCATTATTTATTCTTTTTTGCCTTGTTTTTTTACATTTTTAATTACTTTTAATATATTTTTACGAATGGTATTTAAGAATTAGAATTTGCATACATAGAAAAATACAAATATAGATACATTATATATAGATGCGTTAGATATAGATGCGTTAGATATAGATGAGTTAGATATAGATACATTAGATATAGATGCATTAGATATAGATACATTAGATATAGGCGCAAACAAATGTAGGTATATATATATACATATGCATATGTCAGTGCAATGTAGACAATATATATACATCCACTCTTTTTAATCATATTAATCCAACGCGTCCATGCATAGTGTATAGAATAGAAATGCTCATAATTCATTTTCATCTACATTTGTCCATATGCTTTTTATGTACATATGAGGATTATTTAATACGTCCTATTATGCATATATAACAAATAATTTCACTTTTTTTTTTTTTTTTTTTTTACGTACATGTTCACACATTTTATTATTTTTTTTTTATTTCTATATTTAAATTTATTGACGAAGAACATATTTCCTAGTTACGTAATTTTGTGTACTTTTTATACATAACTATAAGAGGAAACTTTTTATAACCTTTTTTTATTACAACTTTTTTTTTACAGTTTTTCTTTATAAGTTTTTTTATGGTTTTTTCACAATTGTTTTTATATATATTTTTTTTTTTATAGTTTTTTTATAGTTCTTTTTTACAAGTTCTTTTTATAAATTTTTTTTATAGTTTTTTTTATAGTTTTTTTTATAGTTTTTTTTATAGTTTTTTTATAGTTTTTTTATAGTTTTTTGTAGTTCTTTTTGTATTTTTTTTTTATAATTCTTTTTGTAACCTTTTTTTGCAATTCTTTTTATAATTCTCTTAGTAATTATTTTTGTAATTCTTTTTATAATTTATTTTGTAATTCGTTTTATAGTTTTGTTTACAACGCTCTTTGTTGTTCTTTTTATAGTTCCTTATTTAGTTTTTTTTTTTTTTTTTTTTTTTTTTTTTTTTTTTTTTTTTTTTTTTTTTTTTTTTTTTTTTTTTTTTTTTTTTTTTTTTTTTTTTTTTTTTTTTTTTTTTTTTTTTTTTTTTTTTTTTTTTTTTTTTTTTTTTTTTTTTTTTTTTTTTTTTTTTTTTTTTTTTTTTTTTTTTTTTTTTTTTTTTTTTTTTTTTTTTTTTTTGCAGTCTTTTTTTTTGAGTCTTTTAAAAAAACCTATAATATGTGGTTGCATTCATATATATATATATATTTTTTTATATATATGCTGCAATAATAATAGTATTTAATTTAAATTTATTTATATTTTTTTAAATTCTCTGTTTTCTTTTATATACATATATAATATCCCATTTAACATCTACCTATATATACCTAGCCACCTGTTTTGCAACACGAGTACCTGAATTGTTTTGCCTACAAGTTGTATTGACAACTATTTTACAATACGTACGTTTACATAGACATCGGTGCGTACATAAATATTGACGTAAAGATATATGGAAACCTAGACATGTATGTATATAAATACGTACGAGAAGGCATATACATAGTTTAAACATCTGTTTTATATTATGATATATACATAAATCAATAGATTGTAAAACCAGTGAGTCGATAAACCCTTTAGATACATAGAACCCTCAAAAAAATTGTCACATCAAGAAAAGAGAAAGCAAAAAGATGAAGAAAGATTTAAATAAAAGACCAATAAGAGCGAGAAGAAAGAAAACTATGAACTCATTTTATTACAACAGTGATTATAGTAACGATTTAAATAATGAAGATTCAAAAAATAGAATAAATTTTCTTAACAGATTAGAAACATCAGAAGGATTTGAAACAACAACAGGAATTAATAAAACAAAAGAGCCAAGAAAATATCATGCCTTATATAACCACAACCAAGGAGTAGGAAACGATAATCAAATGATGAATGAAATGCAAGGTGATTCTACAATTTCTCATGAAAATAAGAAAAATGATTTTTTCGATGATGATGATAATAATAATATAAAAGATTCTAGTGATAGTGAAAAAAGAATGAAAATGAAGAACCATAGAGGTCAGAAGGAGGACATTTTAAATATAAAGAATGAAGTAAAAATGGAACATAATAATAATAGTAACAGTAATAATAACACACATAGAGCAGATAAAGGGAAAACTTACACGGGTTCAAGTGCATCTGGTAAAACTAGTTGTAGTCGTTCAAAACATTTAGGGAATAATAGTGAGAATAATTATGCCAAAATGGCAGAAAAATTACCCCATGTTGTTGGAGTTAGATTTGACAAATCTCAAAACAGATGGTTATCTGGTATATGTATCAATGGGAGATGTATCAATAGATATTTTCCTGTTTATAAGTATGGTTTTGAAGAAGCCAGAAGACTAGCTATACAACACAGAAAAAATTTCGAAACAGCCAATTTGGGACACTTAAAAAAGCAACAAGGAGAATCCAAAACATCACATTTAAATTTGTTAAACATTAATTCACAAATACCAAATGGATTCAAAGGTACTAAAATATATGCAAACTTATTTATCCCTATTATTACATACTGTACATTTCGCTTGTTCTTTTGCAAATGCTGCAACTTACGTGTAGACAATAACATGTGTTCTTGTGTATGTATTATTATATATACCATATATATATGATATATATGGTGAAAAATATTCTGCATTTATCTCCCTCACCCACCCACACACACACCCTTTTTTATTTTTATTTTTTTAACAGACATCCAAGGAAAAAACAAATTGATATTTAAATACTTGTCCTATGATTCCATTCAAAAAGAATGGGTAGTCACATATGATTACGATAACAAGGTATTAGTTAATAAATTTCCAGTAGATATATATGGATACAATAATGCATATGAAATGGCTGTTCAGTGCATTAACAAACTGACCGTATGTAATCAAGACAAAATGTGTAAAAATGTCAACCAAAATGAGAATCAAAGTGCTAAAAATTTCAAGGGTGATAATATGAAAGGAACAATGAATTCAGAAAGTGATGTAAACGAACAAGGTGGCAATAGTATTGTATCGTCATTATCATTACGTAAAGAAAAATCCAATAAATTATTCAATATAAATAATAGTGGAAATTCATCAATAAATAATAAATTAGTAGCACCTCTTGACAGTGACGAAATGAACGGTATAATAGCGCACCATGAAAACAATATTCATAAGGGCATAAGCAAAAACTTGAGTAGTGGAGAATATAATAATAATAATAACAATTACAATGAGAATCTCCTTTCTGAATCAAAACAAAAAGTAGGAAAAATGGATTCAGATTCCATTAATAATGGAAAGGAGAAAAGAACATATTCAAACGAATATAATAATTTTTATAAAAATGAAACATCCCACGTAAGCAATGATTTTCATTATTTTAATAATGGTGTAAAACGGATGAACTCCACGAATAATTTTGAAAATGACAACGATGATGGCAATGGCTTAATGAGGAACCACAAATTTTCAAGTAATAGCGTACATGGAGAGAACAGAAGCAACGCAAACAAAAATATAATAAATACCAGTTCCAGTAGCAATAACTTCAATTTTAAACTGGATCCATTCAACGAATCAGGTAATACATCAGTAAATCCTATTAATCATCACATTTTGGAAAAGGATGAGGTTATTAACTCATCCTATGATAGCCATATAAATATTCTGTGGAACAAAAACAATAATAGCAATAACAACGGATCCGATAAAAACAATAACACAAAACCATATATAAGTTATTATAATAATTCAAAAAAACATAATGATGATAATAATTCAAAACTTCTTCAACTTTTGAATTCCAATATTATAAACGAGGAAGATAAAAATGCATACCACATGTTAAACAATATACTTAAACGAAACAGTTTAAATACTAAATCTTTTGATAATAATGGTGGTAATAACAGTAATCTGAACCAAAATATAGATGCCGAACAAAATGATAAAAGGGAAATGACAAAAAGGAAACACACATTAAAAAAAAAACAGGATAATGAATCAAGAAATAATAATGATGACTACAACAATATACATAACAACATGAACTCAAGTAATAATAATAAAAATGTGACGTCAAGATTCGGAAGTGCCGGTATAACAGATCCTAAAATGCTTGAAGCATTTTTAAAATTTAATAGTAACAAAGATGGAGCGGGGGAAGTTGAGCATGGAGGAGGGTTATTAGATCCATTTATAAATTTGGATGAAAGTGGAAATGTTAGAGAAAACAGAAAAGAGAGAAATGGGTTATTACAATATTATGGAGACAATGACAACAGAGGAGAAGAACAGGACTGTAGCGCAGAAATGGATCATAGCAGCGAAGAGGAACATAACATAAACAGAGAGAGAAACAACAACAGTTTTGAAGTAAATTCAAACCATGGAAGAAGAAGAGGAAGGAAAGCACGTAACAATGATGATTTTTTTCAAAATGAAAATAAAAAGGATGGAAAAAATCACAAAATTAGTGAATACTTAAATTACGAAAATATACTTAATTTTAATAGAATGATAAGAAATATAATAAAGAACAATAATAATAAATCTGAGAATAATGAAAAAGTTATTAAAGGAATTAACATTTTAAAAAACATGACGACATCACCTGTGAATGATGATAATACAAGTAAAAACAACGTATCCAATACGGACCGTATAACTGAAAATGTTAATTATTCTTCACCAGGAGAATATATGAATAACAGCATACAAGATATAATCAAAAGAAACATTGAATATTCTATAAATTATGACGATTTCATTGTGGTAAAAAATGAAGCAGATGATGTTGGTGTCGAAGTGGATGTTGATGCTGAGGCTGAGGCTGATGTTGACGTGCATGATGATAATGATGAGATGAACAAGAATCAAGATAAAGAGGAGAATGAGTTATCATTAAGGGACTATGAAAATACAAATAATTTGAATGATATCATGAATGATGAAGCAGGTGATGACATTACCAACACTAACGATGTATTAACGAAGAAGACAAATATTGACGAAGATGAAAATTTAAATGGCGAAAAGGGGGACAATCTGAATAGGGACGAAAATTTCCATGAAAATAATAAGAATGAAGAATGCTTAGAACATAATTCAGAGCATAAAACGAATCATTATAAAACGGAAAATGAAACAAACGAGGGTATATCAGAAATACAGATGGGTGAGGAGGGTAATAGTACAGCAGTACGAAACCAACGTAAGAAAAAAAAACAAAAAAATGAATGTAATAACTCCATTGCGATGAAGTTATACCCGTGGAAAAAAGGAATACAATGGAATAAATTAAAAAATATGTGGATATGTAAATTATGGGATGAAAATGGAAGCGAAATAACAAAACATGTTTATGTAAAGAACAAAGAAGGAGTAGAAATTGGTTATAGCTATTGTTCGAAAATACGAGTTAATTCGTTTAATTTTTATTTATCCAAAGAATTAAAAAAATTTCCCTCAATTGAAGAAATTACACATGATTTGCAAAATCTCTGCTTTTGGGTGGAACATGGAAATGAGGATGGAAAGGTCAGTTTTTCCTTCGAGGGAGGAATATGCAAAGCCTTTGCTGATGCCGTGGAATATTTGAATAAGAAAAAAAGAGAGAACGACGCAGTAGGGCAAACAGGCAAGAGATCCTCCATAAATGATGAGGAAGAGGAGGTGCAAGAGGAGAATGGTGACAGAGCACAAACTGAAATGAATGACCAAATCGATGAAGATAATCGAACCACAGCAGACAATCTGTTGAATGCTAATAATGATACGAGTGCTAATGATGAAGCAAGTGCTAATGACGAAGCGAGAGCTAATAATGAAACGAGTGCTAACAGCCGAACGACTAATATTAACGAAACTCATTACGACATTGCCAGTTTCTTACAAGAGGAAAACACTCACGCACAATTAGAAGATACGTTCAAAGAACTAAACTACTTTGAATGCAGCAAAAATTTGGGGGCAACGGAAATATGCGAAGAGACGAAATTGGCTCATAGCTTGAAACCCTGGATAAAGGGAATAATTTGGGAAGAAAGACTGAAAAAATGGGTTGTGTTTTTTAAAGATAAGAATACAAATTTACGATTAAGCTTTTTTAATCCACGCGATTATAACAATGATGTTATTTTGTCTTATAAAAAATGTTGCGATTATTTTTTTCAAATTAAGAAATCAAATAATTTTGATGATAATAAGGAGTTCTCAGAGACTCTTAGAAATTTTATTAACAACTTTGAGTTCGATAAATCTAGTAATGATCAGCAGAACAGAGTTAATAATGAGAATGATGAGAATGATAACTACAATGTTGATAACTACAATGATGATAACTGTAATGATGATAACTGCAATGATGATAACTGCAATGATGATAATGCTTCGCGAAACGACTCGGTGCATGGAAAACAAAGGAACAAGTTAACCAATTATAGTGAAGAAAAAGACCACATAAGCTGTATTGACTATAACCAAATGAAACATGACGAGGAAAATAATCATAATGGTATATTAACATATATTAACAAGAGAAAAAACAATAGTAGTGAAATTTTGGATAACAAGGGGGGCAAGGGACATTATGACGATGATGATCAGCAAGATGATGCAGTTTATAGACAACATTTTATAAATGGTGGAAAATTCGCAGAAAAAAGAAAATTTAACTCAATGAATAGTGCAAGTGAGAACGATAGTTACCATAATAACTACGCAGATTTAAAGAAATTGATTAGACTAGAATTACCAAATTATGACGTATCCCTTGGTGCAAGTGCGAACGATAGTAACATCACCAGTACATCTCTACATCACAACTACAAACATTCAGCAGAGTCATCTGAAATAAAATACAATGGGGAAAATGACTTGTTAACCATGCATAATAGTGAATTTTTTAATCACATTAATCATCCAAAAATTGATGAAAATGAAAAGACGAAGAAAAGAAAGAAACAAAACAAGCGAACCACCGGGAATGGAAAACATGGAGTTAGAGCAACTGCAGCTGCAATAACAATTGGTAGGGGGAATGCACACAATGCTGATACTGGTTGTAGTGATCTCACTGTGAGCGACGATGACAACGAAAGTAACATTAACTGTGGTGGAAGTAACAGAAATAAGAAAGAGCGAAATGATGAGAACCAAAATATAAGCAGCCGTAGTAGTAGTAGTACCAGCAGTAGTACCAGTAGTAGTAGTAGTAGTAGAGGTAGTAGAAATACACACAGGGGACACACAGAAAATAAGAAGTATTTAAATCTGCACGAAAACAGACGAATAGTTAATAATAATGATTATATGCAGAACGATGAAGATGGAAATTATAACATAGACTATGCAAAATTTGAGATAGAAAAAAAAGGAAGTTTAACAAATCAGTATAGTCATACAAATAACAACAATATATATCAAGAGGATGCTATGACAACCACTACCTCCACTACAATATGTACACATAGAAGGGGAATAAAAAATGAAGTAAGTTATGATTCAAATTTTTTAGCAAGTAATAGTATTGAATCGAATATTGATACAATGATGATGGTGAATGGTAATAACACAAGTCATATTAATTTATCGAAACAAAATTCAGGGATGGAATTAAATGCCATGTTAGCAGCGTATTCTAGGAATGGAGATAACACAACAACAGCTTCTAATGTTACGCCATCCAGCACAATGGAAATGCATAATAATAACGTTAATGTTATGAGGAATTATGAGAAATACAACAACATGGAAAATAGATCCCCCAATAAAAGTAATGAAAAATTAGATAGCCTTATAGATAGCAATATAAATGTTAGATTACCGAAAAGTGAAATATTAAACCAAGCCGCTAGTTTGCCGAAATTACAAGGAATGTTTTTTGATAAGAGAAGAAATTATTGGACAGTGAGTGTTTGTGGATTTAGAAAATCATTTGGTGTTAGAACGAGAGGAGTTTTTCAGGCATATAAATTAGCTGCAGAATTCCGTAATCGCATCTTAGAAACAAATAAAGGAAAATGTTACCCACAGAAAAGTTCAAGTTTATCCAGCAATTACAAATATAATGTAAAAAATAATAATAATAATAATGGACTTGTTAAAGATGAAAAAGGTGGCACCACTTTTGCACAAGATTCCACTGTTCCAAATGTAGAAGAAGAATCATTTAAAAAAAAAGCCATGTCCCTATATAATATCACACATAATAATAATGACAAAGATCTCTTTCCTTGTACTGATTCACGAGGAAATATAGGAGGAAGAAGCACCCAAAGTACAAAAGGAAATAATCTTGCTTCATCGTCATCCAGTATATATGAATATATTTGGGATAAAAAGTCCAATGGAACTGCAGGAGCAGGTGTCAATGGTGGAACAACATATACTGGCGTTTGCAATGCAGCATGTAATGCAATTTGTGGAACCGCTTGCACCGGAATGTGTACTACAATGGGAGGTGCAATCTGTAGTGGAGGAGGAGGAGCATGTGGTGGAATTTGTTCAGGTAATTGTAGTAATAGTAAAAAAGATATGACGAATAATAGTAACACAAACAGTATATGTAATGATGACAACTATGCTGATATGGAAGAAAACAAAACAAATTTTAATGTAAAATTGAATAAGTGCAATAATGAAAAAAGACATAGAGGAGGAGGAAATTATGGCTCATCATCACCATCATCGAAACATGAAAATAGTATGCAGATGATGATGATGGATTCAAATCTCCTGCATTTCCTAAATGAAGGAACAGGATCAGCATCACCAGGAAGAGGAGGAACATCAGGAGGGGGAAATAATACATCAATGAAAGATAATAACAAAAGTAATCAAATGAAAAAAGGAAATGGAAACAACCTTTCATCAAGCAATAATAGTGCTATAAGCAATATTGGAATTACAACAAATAATTATTCACCAACTCATATTTACGAAGTTGACAATATTAACAGTAGTCAAGATTATTACATAAAAGGGGAAGATATAAAAATGGATCTGAACAAATTGGAAGATTATAAAAATGGGAAGACTAATAGTAATAGTAATCGTATGAGCCCAAATATTAATTTGATGAAAAGCTCCATGAACAGTGATGATACAAGTAAAATATCTAGCGTTAATTTTACACGAATTGATAGTCACGATAGTTCAAACATCAACATCAATGACAACAATAGTAGTAGGAGTAATAATAATGGTGATAAGTGTGGTAACTACATTAGTACTGGAAGCGGTACTGGCAATGGTACTGCAGCTGGAATTTCTAGTGGAACTTCTACCCTTAATAATGACAATTTATACAAATTATTAAGCACGTACAACGAACAATTTGGACAAGAGGAAGAATATGGAAAAAATGCTATTAACAACCAAGAATATGATGTGCATGCCCAAACCAATAAAACATTAACAGATATGGAATTGCTAAATAAATTAATATCACACAGCATCGATGAGAATTTATGCTTTTCTTATTCAAATAATGTATCCTGTCCAACAGAAGATAATTATGAAAATAATAAAGAAGATTTATTTAAAAATTATAATTTTGATGCTGAAAATAAATCATACAATTTTAATGGACTACTAGATGAAACAGTTGAAGAAAGGGATATACGAATAAATAAGGAAGTCAATAAATGTAAATTTGTTGAAGGGTTGATATATGATGAAGCTAATAAATGTTTTAGAATTAAAATTAATGGATATAGAAAAGCATATTCAGTTATTAGACGAGGTGTCAAAGAGGCATATAAATTGAGCATTGAAGCCATACAACAGATACGCAGACAAGCACAGCTGGAAAACGGAGCCACGAATAGTGGTAACCTGAACAACAATTCTGAACAGGGACAAATAAATTCCAATAATTTAACCCATTTTTACAACTCCAGCCCCGATAATTCAAGACACGGCTCGATGCAGAATTATCAGCATAAGAACAAGCAGGATACGCAACATGACTTGTTAGATGAGTTATATGAGAATAATGCACCTGATTTAAACAATAATAACACCAGGCACATTGATACCAATAAAGATGATTATCTTGGAGAAACAAGAAAGGTAACAATGACTTTTACATACGATAAGTGGGTTTAGTCCTTTTCTGCAAATGTGTAGATTTATAATACACATACCGATTGCACCAAAGTTGGGAATAATATCCCCAATGCATCTAATATACCGAATGTATGGCGTGTGCCGAATTTTGTGAGTAATATTTACCATTAGTGATAGCATTTTCGCCCTTTTTGTGGTCACATTTGATTCTATATTCTATCTATTTCCAACCCCTGTGCTATGTATTTATGCAGCCGAACACATGAATATATATATGTGTATATACTTATCTAAACGGCGCATTTTTCATAAAAATATATATATATATATATATGTGGGTGTGTACATATTATTCCCCTTTCCTTGTATTGCAGATTCCCCTAAACAGCATCTTCCCAATTTTGAACATCGATGACAAATACTACGATCTGTTAAAAACAGCCATCGTTATTTGCTTGAACGACATCCTCATGAACTCAATTCCGAAAGTATTTCATATATACAGAAATATTATTCAAAAGAATAACGTAAAACTTGAAGATGTAATAAACCATGAAAAGAAGCGGAAAGAGCAATCCATAAAATACCATATAGAATATGCTCAAAATTCCATAGGCGTGTCTTCTCTTATTCCGTACCTTAGATTGTTCAGCATGGAGATTTTAAACAACGTCTTACCATCAACCCAATCCTTGGAAACACAAAGACAGATCATCCACTCCCTCGATCTGCAGGCCTACAACACGTCCTACGGATGACGCACTATAGTATCGTCAAGCCTTTTTTTGCCTGCGAGGCAAAGGTGCCAAGGAAAACGCGAAACATTCGAACTGACAGAAAGGACAATTTAAACACATATGTAATTCAAACGAAATAAAAAAAATGATAAAAAAAATGATGAAAATATGATAAAAAAGTGGTAAAAAAATGATAAAAAAGTGGTAAAAAAATGATAAAAAAGTGGTAAAAAAATGATAAAAAAGTGGTAAAAAAATGATAAAAAAGTGGTAAAAAAATGATAAAAAAGTGGTAAAAAAATGATAAAAAAGTGGTAAAAAAATGATAAAAAATTGATAAAAAAAACTTTTAAATAAAAAAGGAATTAACCCCCCACATAATTTAACACATAATAACATAACGTACTTTTTATAAGTATTATATACACATATAATTAAATAGCATCACCTCTTAATGAGAAGACGCTTTTTTTTTTTCTTCATTTAACGCTAAACAGTTAATGTTTTACATTATATATATATATGTACGCAAGAACACACCCTCTTTACAATTAACATGTATATCAATTTATTGTCATTTCATAATTGTGTTATTTTAAATTAAATATATATCCCTCGTATTTTTTTTTTTTGTTACTTTTTCCCACTTTTAAACGTGTGGAAAATAACCACGTGCAAGAACATTAATATATATAATGCCTCGCACTGAGTTTAAACATAGAGGAAAAAAAGAAAAGGGAAAGAAAAATACATGTAAATAAAAACACATTTTAATTCTTTTTTTTTTTTTTTTTTTTTTTTTAATTTTCACATCGAACAAACATTCTCTCTGTTTTTCGACTATACAACCTTTTAAAGTGCGATTAATTATTAATATGTATTTTCACACTTAAACACCAAACAAAACTGACTTGCAAAATAATGATACATAATATATGTATAAAATGAGAGAAATTCTTAAGTTTAGCCAATAAAAAGGAAAAGAAAAATGGGGCTCTATATATTTTATTACGTACCCCTCTACAAATAAACGAAAACAAAATGTGTGCTACACCACCATAGAATAAAATAGCACAGTGTAATAACATTCTATACATGTTCCACCCTCCTTTCGCCCTTTCATTCTTGTGATGTGTTTTTGAATTATATTGTAAGCGGATATATGCATTACGATATTTTAGTCCTGCTTTTCGAATGACTGAAAAAGTGCACTTTGTACAAAAAAGAATAGAAACGAAAAATAGAAACAAAAATAGAAACGAAAAATAGAGACGAAAAATAGAAATGAAAAATAGAAACGAAAAATAGAGACGAAAAATAGAAATGAAAAATAGAAACGAAAAATAAAAAGGAAAAATAGAAATGAAAAATAAAAAAAATTGATAAAAAGCTGTCAGGTCACTTTTTTTTTTTCTTTTCTATTGTCCCTTTCACATTTTCCAAAAGCTTTGTAAGGAAAGCTATAAACTCATTTTATATTGTCAAAAATAGATAAGATTATTTTAAATAGTAGGTTCAAGAACTGTGCCAAATTTAATTTCATTCCTTATTGATAATGCACGCGACAACCGTTGGCACTTTTTTATTAAAAAAAAAAAAAAATATAATAATATGTTAAATATAAGTGCAATTTTTTTAATTTGTAGCAAAATCCCAGAATTAGCAAGTTGTCAATTTTCCATTTTTGCCCAACTAACGAGAGAAACGCACTTTTGGCTATGCATCTTAATCTCATCATGAAAAAACAAATGCTTCACAACATGGAAAGAAAGAAAAATACATTATGAAAAAAATAATACATCTGAAGATAAGATATACAGAAAAGCGAATGCATATAATACATACTCATCATACGTGTTAAATACTTTGATATGACTTATTACCACTTCTTATCCCACTACTTCTGCATAGACTACAGTTATGACAAAACATTTGACAATTTAGTTCACTTTCCCATTTTTTTTTTCAGTAAATATGTTACAAAAGGGGGATTCAATCAAATGATATTGAATTCAATTTAGATAAACATATTGTCATGAATAGTAGAGCGAACACATTTGGGGAAAGTCAGTCCTCACAACTGCAATCACCCCCTAAGGCATTAGTCATCAGGAGAAAAGGTAAAAAAGAAGAAAAAATAAGGAAATAAAAAATAGAGAAATAAAAAAAAGTACGAAATGTTGTATTGAAACAAGGCAAAATAAGGAAAAATATATCTAAATAAAAGTACATATTTCTATATATATATATATATATATATATGTATATATATATATACCTAGATAAATACATCCCTACATGTACAGCTAAATAAATTCAAATAAAAGAAACTGAAACAAAATGGAGCCCGTCAAAGTTCACCCAGTGCTGAGTATCCTAGTAAGCAAGTACAAATATTTCCATGAAAATTTATCGAACAAAACACATGTATTATTACTTCCTGAGGCCAAAACGCTGCTAAACATCAACATAGATATTGATTTTATGAAAAAACATATATGCTGTAAAAGTCACTTAAAAAATGTGTATATAAATTTACTTGGCCAGTCCATCGAAATTGATGCAAAATATGTATGCACGGGGTATGGTTTTCAAGAAAGTAGAATATGCAAAATTGTGAAAATTGAAACTAATGCTAATTATAGGTTATTAAAAATAATTTCCATTAACATCCCACTAGAAGGGGGATATCAAGAAGGCGCCGAACCTGTGAGTTATATTCATGATGCTGAATTGGATGTCCAGTTTAATGATTTATCAGATGGAGAATTAAATGTACTAAATGATAAAAACAAATTATTCATATTTTTTAACAAAAATGTAAACTGCCATGAATTTCTGCACAATCAGCTTTTGCAATTTACTCGTTCACATATCATTGTCAAGGGGTTCGAAAATTGTATAGGGAAAAAAATTATTAGTATAGTGAAGGATACAATGAAATTACAAAATAACACTGATGAGAATATTTTAAAAAATGACATAAAAATGCCACTAGTTAAGCATGTCTACTCCTGCCTTTATAGCATAATATGGAAACAATTAGTTATGAATTATGAAAAAATAGAAAATAAAACTCAGGAAAAAATGATTAACCTGAAACAAGATATTAAGGGATTTTTAAAAAAAATAAACCTAGGGAATATTAGCTTGTTCCACGTAGAAACGGTTTCTTTCTATGTTAAGCAGGTTAGAAAGGAGATTCAAAAAAAAAGAAAAAGCAATAAAAAATAAATAAAGTAAAACAAGTCAAAACAAAACAATGCAAAACAAATAAGGTGAAGAAAAATGCATAGGCAAAAATGTAAATAGCTGAACTCATTTCACCTCTTAAAGCACCGATTTTTGCAGTGGACATCACATGCACGTACTGCATTTGCACAACGCAACATGTCTAAATGAGAGCTGCTTCCAGGTATATCCATTATCATGTTTGTGCGATTATACACTCATATCCCTACCCTTTTTCTCATTGCAGATTGAAAAGTGCACGAATCCAATTGACAAAATACACATCCTTGATAATACAAGCAAAATAATATGCGAAATAATTACATGCACAAATCAGGATTTGAAAAAACAAAATTTAGCAATATACGATATTAACAGTGATAGCTTAATTGCAATTTTGGTAGCTGCAATTTCGTATGGAGAAGTAAAAAACATAATTAGTCACTCCATTCATTTGCATATGTATATAGATAATTTAAAATCCTCTGAAAAAATAGATAAGTTGTCATTTGTTTTTACCATATTTCATTCGTCCATTATTTACCTGTGTGATATGAAAGAGATGTAACCCCAAGTACTCTCTGGTAAGAATAACGCACTCACAGACACAGATGTGGGTTAGTATGACTTATCCATATTACAGGTTCGCATGATTTCCATTACAATAATAACCATAATTTGACTTTTTTTTTTTTTTTTCTTTATTTTATTTGTTTCGCATTTCACACATGTTTACACTTGGTTCCCACTTTTAAATACATAATGTAAAAATTAAAAGAAAAAAAAAAAAAAAAATAGTTTTTGTATTTACCTTTTTAAAGGGGATTAACCATTTATTCCCCTAACGCAAAATCACAAATGAACCGAATGTTTGGAACATACAGCGCATGTTCATGTGCAAAAATAGTTGCAATATAAATATTCATGCTGTAGTATAGATGTAGGTAGTGCACCTGGCTATATGAGTTTCTTCTATGTTAATGATTTCCTACTTTTACACCTAAAAATAACACACTTTTTATATTATAAAAAATGTTTTATATTGCTAATTTGGGAGAGATATAAAAAAATAGAGTAAGAAAAACAAAATAAATGAAATTCATTAAATTAAAATAACTAAAACGCGTAAAATAAAACGCTAATATGTTGTGAATATGTGAATTTCTACAAGACTAATTTAGGAAGATGGAGAAAAAAAAAAAAAAAAAAAAAAATCGTCCCTAAAGCAAGGATATCATAATTTATATAATCATTAAAGCAAATTGTCAGTCACATAATTTGTTATTATCAAATAAGAACATTTTCTTATTTTTTTTTTTAAATCGGAGCTTGGTCTTTTTCGTTTCGTTTTCGTTATTTTATTTTATTTTCTCTGCTGTTTGTCATTCATGGAAATAAATTAACTTTTAGTAATAAACATCACCAGGGAAACAATGTATAAATTGAGTTAATATAAAAAAAGGACAGATCATGTGCACGTATTTACATGCAAATGGAATATATACATTTACATACATATTGAGTAGGGTAAAAATTGAATTCATATTTATATAATGTCCATACTTGTGAGGGTATAGGTTATACAGACATGCTGATAAAATTATGCAATTCCCAATTATATATATACTCTAAAAAATAATAATTTTTTTTTCTTGAATACTTCATATAGAGGGAAAAAAAAAAGGTGTGTATAAAAAACGTATATATTTTATATAGATGTAAACTTTTATGTTGGTACACTTTTATGCAGGCATACTTTTATGTTGGTACACTTGTATGTGGGTACACTTGTACGTAGGTGTGCATATATGTGCCGATTTTTTCAATCGGCTTTTTGCAAAATCAGAACACGCGCTGCGTACTCGCTGAATGACAAAAAGCAAGGCACCGTTCATCATGAAAAAAGTGGGTAGATGATTATTATGATAGGGGAAAATAATCCCTTGAAAATCGTTCAATTTTATCCTCTTATCCTGTTCTGCGCACAAGAGTCAGTGCTCACTTGTGCGTTTGCGTGTATATACATATATATATACATCTGCATATATACATCTACAAGTAAATATACACGTATATATATTTACGTATGATGTTCTCCTTCAGTTAAAAAAAAAAAAAAAAAAAAAAGATTTGTATGAACCTAATTCGGGAGTCATCACACGTCACGTAAATAGCTACAGTGTTGTATAGCTTGTAGAGAAGTACCTCTTCATCACTTACGATGCTCACTCCTCTAGAATTTTTTTGTCTGACACAGTCTTGATAGATGCCTTAACATTAAATTTGTTAAAAATCTCCAAGGCGTTATTTATCTCGCACAAGACATTATTCAAGTAGCTAAACATGTGAGAAGTAATGATGGAAGATTTGTTTTGGGTATAAAGGTTTATTAGATTTCTTAACATTTCATCACTTAAGTTATCATTTAGTTCATCAGTTTTTTTACCAAAGAGGTCATCATTCAGTGAATCTGCCGTGGCACGATGACAGTGACCAACATTTAGTTTGTACATGTTATTAGTATCTCTGCAACTCTCTTGATAATAATAATCATCATCATCTATCATTATTTCTTTTCCATTCACACTACTATCTTTTATTATTTCATCATTGTTATAACATGTGTTATGTTTTTTGTTTTTCCTCTCTTTCTTTGGCAACAACACATCTTCATTTGTTTGTATTAGATCTGATAAATCAAAACCCAGATAATGTATATTCATATTATTGTAACTATCATCCATAAGATTCGTTAAACTTTTGTTGTTTTCATGCATTTCACACATCAAAATATCCTCTTTTGCTACTTCTTGAATATCATTTGGCATAAGTAACAAACTTCTCATGCTATTTTCATTTTTTTCTCGTTTGTATATTTCGTTCATCTCTTCCAATTCACTCATGCATCGAAATTGGTTTATTTCTTCTAATTCATCAATTCCTGGAAAATCTCCCTTTCTGCAAAGATTGCTCTTCTCATCATAAACTTCATCATCATTACTCTTGTTATGATTTAAAACATTTGTTTTATGGTTCAAGTAAGAAAAAAAAGTATTGTTGATATCTTCCATTATATCCCTTTGTCCTTGGAACCCATTGCAAAAATTGGAAAAGTACGATTTTCCTTCGTCCCCTTCATCCATGACTCCACTGTTTGGATTGGAACACTTTGTGCTGAAGTTACTCACATTACCAATATTCCCGTTATATATACTTTTCTCAACTCTGTTCCCCTTATTGTCATCATCCATCCTCAGAAAACTACCCGAAGAAGCACTTCTATTATCATGATAAATGTAATCTTCTTCCATATTGACTGATTTATATCGCAGATCCGGTAACAGCTCATGCACTACCTCGTGCACTATCTTGTGCATCGGCTCATCCCTCGCACAATTGATCTCTAAACTGGACGTGAAGTCATTCATTGTTACATTTATATCTTCCATGTCCATATCATGATTAAAATTTTTCATTATTCCCAAAGATTCATCAAAGGAGTGAAACGAATTCGAAGCGGCTTTTCCAGATGATTTATTGTCTATTAAAAAATTAGGTAAAAAGTTGCAATAATTTTTCCTTTGCATTAATAAATTCATATTATTATTCATATCATCTGATAAAATTTCCTGTGCATGCTTATGAGAACACTGTCGGCTACTATTATATATATTGCTATTTTCATATGTTCCGTTCATATAATCTGAGTTCAATATATCAATAGTTGTTTCGCTAACTGATTTTCTTAATTCTGAATAATCTTCTGAGTAGTCATAATGATTTATATTCGAGTGATCGAACATGTCAAAATTTGAACAATCGAAATTAATTACATCCTTATTATCATATAAAATATTATCATTCTCTGATAAAATGTACGAGGATATTTCATTAGTATTTAATAAAGAATTCTGGTCCCCTGCATTTTCTCCTGCCAATCCTCCTACTACTGCTCCTGAACTGTTATTCAAATGTAAGCTACTCTGATTTAATATATCTTCTGTACTTATTGGCAAGCATCCACTAGGTGCAATTTTTTTCCCTTTCCATTTTGCCGCATTTAACAATTTGGTTCTTAATTTTTTTTCTTCTTTATTTTCTGGGAATCTAACTTCTAAAGGTTTATGAGCACCTGACAAAATAATTTTATTATTTAAATTTTTAATTGCATTTACTGCTTCTTCCATATTATAAAAGGTAACAAATCCAGAACCTCTTGATTTACTCCTCCTGTCCTTTAATATAATAAGAGAATCGCATTTTCCAAAATTGCTGAACAGATTGTGCATATCCTTTTCTGTAGTTATCGGGGCTAAATTACCGAAAAATAATTTAATTACCAATTCTTCGTTCTCATTTTTTTCACCACGTTTATTGTTATTCCCATGATTGCTTACATTACCATTTATATTTCCATTAACATGACTAACAATTTTGCTATTGGCGACAAAATCCTTTGGTTCCATTATGTCACATCTTCTGAAGATTTTATAATTGTCACCATTGTTTGATTTGTTCAGGAAGATATTAATACTGGCATTTCTACTATTATTCACAATTTTGTCATTTTCATTATTCAGGCTGCAATTATTCGAGTTCAACATGCTACTCACATCTGCAATATTGTTGCTATTACTTTTACTTTTATCACAAGGATGTATTATCTCGTTTCTATTTTGATAATAGCTATCTTGTCTTTTCAACATATATGAACTCATCATAGTATTTATCGTTTTGTTTTCTTCTTCTTGCACATCGTTTTCTGTATGGGTAGCAGTGCTTCTAAAACTTCCATCTGCACTAGTTCTTCTAACATGTTCATTCATGTCAGCGCTTCTAATATTTCCATGTGTGACGATATTTTGAATATTCCATTGTAAATCAGTACTTTCTAAGTTTGCATGCGCAGGGGAATTTCCTAAATTTGCATGCACAGATGCAATTCCAAAATCTGCATTCGCGGAGGCAATACCATTCTCATTACAACTTACATGACCAACATAATTATCATACATTGGGGATGGCATAAAATTAACACCATTTAATGATATGATATTATTCTGAGGAAAAATATCCTTTAATTTTTTTCCCCCAATAGAATTAGTATCCATTTTCTCCTTAAATTTACCTATGCCTCTTATCTCTCCATTTACATTATTGCATATATATTCCTTTCGACCAAAACTATATTCATTCAAAATACCATCAACGGAAAACTCATTGATACAATTTTCATTGAAATATTCATTTTTCCTATAGTTGTTACCTCTGTTTGTATTACTATTTTCAACAAAATTAAAATATTTTTTCTTATTCGCTAGTAATTCCTTATTATCAAAATTTTTACACAAATGTAAACCTAACATATTATCTTTTTTTATTTTATTGTTAAATCCATCCTTTTTAAAAAATTCTTTTTTATCTTCACATGTTTCCATATTTTCAATAGTAAAATAATCATCATACATTGTATTGTTTGCATAAATTTTTTCATCAATATCACTTGTTAAAAAGAATTCTGATTTATTTTTTACTTGTTCTAAGTTGGTATGAAAGTGCCTTTGACTATTATTCAAATGAAAATTGTCCTTCAAATTATTGTACTTTTTATATTTATTTGTATCGCTTTCTAGTCTGTGATAATTATTATTTTCCTTTTTTGCATGCATTGTTTTTTGGAAACGTGACATATAATTTTTTCCTTCATATCTGTGCGTATTGCTGCTGCTATGAATACTGCTTGTATTCACATTGGAATTGTTACTACTGATAGCACCACTAATTCTATTGTCAAACGTATTATGGTATAATACATTACTTCTGAAATTATCTCCATATGTATCTATCTGTATTTTGCCACAGTTAAATATTTGTTTCTTAAGAAAAAGCTCAATATCTTCGTTTTCACCCATTTTTACAGTTTCGTTTTCAACGTTTTTTATATTTTCGATTTCGTTTTTTTTTATATTTTCATTTTTTTTTATTTTTTCGTTTTCATTTTTTTTTATTTTTTCACTTTGATTTTTTTTTATTTTTTCGATATCATTTTCCCTTATTTTGTTTATTTCCTCTTCGTTTTCACATTCTTTTGCCTTTAATTTTTCTTTTTCTCTTCCTTTTTCTTTTTCCTTCTCTTTCTTTTCTTTTAGCTTTTTCTTCTTTTTATCTTCTCCTTTAGCTTTTAACGAACCATTTGTTTTCGTTTTCATATTAGTAAATTCATTCGAACTAAAAACACTCGAACTTACATCTTCAATTATTCCATTGCCTTTTACCAATTCATATGGGTGATTATATGTACTACTGCTTCTTGGAAAACCTAACTTTTCCTCATTTGTAAAAATAATATTACTATAATTTCGAAACGTTCTGTTATCTCCATGTTCAAAATGCATATTGTTTCTTGGTTCCGAGAAAAATAATTCATGTTTTAATAAATTTTTTTTTTCTTTTAATAATAATGCTTCATTTATCCTATTCTTACTTTCATTGCTCATTTCATTTTTCTTTGAATAATTAATAGCACGATGGTTCAAATTATCACTTAGTTCATTCGAATTCCCATGAAAAACCTGCGTCGATGGCAATGTTCCGAGATCCTCCTTTGTATTACTAGCAGTGTGGTTATCTAGAAGGCTAAAAGTATTCATACCTATCGGATTGTTTGGGTAACTCTGATTATTCATACTACTAGAATTACTTAAGTAAGTAGGATTATTTTCATAGCCAATAGTATTTTGATCGTTTTGGCCATTTTCCTCATTACTCCTGTTACTATTGCCATGAGTAAACGTATTGAGGTTCCTGTTCCTTCTCATCTGTGAATTATTTTTACTGCTATACGAAAATTCCTTTTTATTATTTCGATTTTCCATATTTTTTAAACAAAATTTATTATTAGAATTTCCCTGTAGTATTCGTTCATCGACCTTTTTGGATACTTTCACTGAATTCGCATTAAGTGTTTTAGTTATCACTCTGTGTATATATTTTCTGGACTCTTCGAAATTTTCATTATCATTATTATTATTATTATCAATGAATTTTTTAAAATTTGGATAATTTAAAAAATCTCCATGCAGTTTGTCATTCAAGTTGTTTTCTATTCTATTGTAAAAAAAGGCACTCATTTTGTCGATTAAGTGCTTTACAGTAGTTACTGGATATCGTGGCGAGAAAGGGAGAGTAAAAAAAAAAAAATAAAATAAAAAGTAAAAAAAAAAAAAATAAAATAGGTATATAAAATAAAACAAAAAACTAATAGAAAATAAATAAATAAAATGGAAAAAAATATTGTAAATTTATTAAAAAATGAAAGTATCTTATATTTTGAAAAAGAAAATTAAAAAAAAATAAAACATGAAAAATTGTATAGGAAAAAAGTAGGTAGGGGAAAACAGATAGGTTAAACAGGTAGGGGAAAACAGATAAGGTAAAACAGGTAGGGTAAATAAAGGGAGAATAAAAATTGAGCATGTACAATTAAGGAATATTAAATTAAAAAACAAAAGAAATATAAAAGAAATATTGAAAAGTGTAAAAGAAAGAAAATAAAATAATAATTCCACTTAAATATTGAAGTCTATTTATATGAAATATCATTTTATACATCCTCTTAATAATGTACTTTTTTTTTTTTTTTTTTTTAATTATTCTTTACAATTAAAAAAAGTAATAATAAATAAAATAAATTATTTGGTTGTTTTATTAATAATAATCTTTCTTTTTTTTTTTTTTTTTTTTTCTTTTGTTTTTTTTTTTGTGTTGTTTCTTTCTCTTTTCTTTATCTAAAAAGGTATGTTAATAGTCTCCTTCGTAACTTCAGCTTATCTCAAACGTTCTTATTGTTGAATGGTGTGTTTTTCCCCATAAATAATTTCAAAAATATTTATTATTATAGATATAACAATATAGAAAAGAAATAATCCTCCAGAGAAATTAATTATAAATGTACATAAATGAGCATATAAATGGAGAACACGCCTGTTTATATATGGACAACGATACACTTGTATACATATATGAATATGGGAATATGTGTATATATATACATACATAAATTAGTGCATTAATACATATTCTCAATTGTACATATATACACTTACACACTTGTATGTATATGATTACGTTCATTTGTATGTGTATACATTTATGCATTTACACGTTTATGCTTGTATATATATGTATATCTGTGTGTATACATACGAATAAAATTGTGTATAGGCGTAGGTAGGTGTATTCATTGTGCACGTCATGTAAATGCGCTTGTGAGGGCATAACAGATACATAAAATTAATTTCTATAGCTTTACATACTATTTATAATTTTTTTTTTTTTTTAAATTCTTTTTCAACTCCCTTTTCTCTCTCTCGATCCTTATATATATAACTAAACATGCAGGTGTGAAATGTAATGTGTATTCACAATATTAAAGAGCAAATCAAATTATATATATATACACATGCTTATTCTGGGTGGAGTTTCGAATAAGTGCATTATGTAAAGGGTATTCGATAGAGCACATTAATAATAAAGGAAAAATTCGAAAAGCTATAAAATTATTCCAAAAAATATAAAATTATACGAAAAATTCTGAAATGTTATGAAATAATTAGAGATAATATGAAATTGTTAGAGATAATATGAAATTGTTAGATATAATACGAAATTGTTAGATATAATACGAAATTGTTAGATATAATACGAAATTGTTAGATATAATACGAAATTGTTAGATATAATACGAAATTGTTAGATGTAGTACGAAATTGTTAGATGTAGTACGATCTGGTTAAGAATAGCACGAGCTTGATCCAAAAAAAAAAAAAAAAAAAAAAAAAACACTATATGAATCGAATTAATTCGAAATGGTTATGAATAATGTCAAATGATTAAGAATAATACTAAACTATTAAAAATAATGTGGAATAGATAATAAAAAAAGGAAGAGTGGGTAATAATACAAAATAATGGCATTATGAGTGGAGAATAATACGATGTGGTGCGAATTAATATGAAACGATGATAATATATTGGGAATAATGTGAAATAAGTGAGAATGATAAGAAAAAATTCAAAAGTGACACGAAATGATGATGCACTGTGTTAAGCATCTTTCTAAATTTTTCTTTGCCTTTAAAAAAAAAAAATCTTATATACGCATGAACTATGATTGTGGTTCATGATCATTCTTATGGAAAATGTAATAAATATATGTAATATGCATAATGTACGATACACAAATGCACAGATGTATTTGTGCATATATATTTAGTTCCTAGAAAGGCCTCAATTTTAAAACTGAATAGTGCCTATGAAAAATACAGCTGCAGATTTTTACTATCATTAATTTAGAAAAACTGTGTGCGAGAAAATATCCATGAAAATTCTTGTGAACAAATTCTCGTACAAATTGGTGAAAATTTTGTGAAAAATTTGCAAAGTAATTCATCAATAAATTTGCCGAGGATTTTGTCAACAAATTCGCTGAGAATTTCGTTAACAAATTAAAAAAAAATTTCGCTAATTAATTTGGAAAAAATTCTGTTAACAAATTCACAAAGGACTTCATTAACAAATGCACAGTGTCATTCGCTAACAAGTCCACAAAGTTGTTAATGAGTAAATTGGAAAAGCAAATAAGGTTAAATAACAAATGAAGTGGCCACCATATAGCCATAAATTTTCTTTGTTCTCTACATATCTATGTTCGTATAGGAAATTGCAAATTCATTTTTCATTAAGCTTTCGAATGCATTTATTTTTTTCCACAAAATTGCATGTATTTAATAAAATAATTTTTTTCTTTCTTAGCAATTGTAACAAACAACAGATGAAAGGGGTTCAAAAATAAAAAAAATAAAATAAAAAAATTTCATCTGTATTCACCATAAAAAAATATATTCACAAGAATCATAGGTGCTCTACAGAATTTTTCAAATAGAGGTCACATAACTTTCAATGAACAAAAAAAAAAAAAAAAATAATAAAAGGAATTTATAATATACATAAACGAAGCATCTAACAAAAATAAAAATTTTTTATAAATGATAAGAGAAAAGAAAAAAAAAAAGTGAAAAAAATGTTTACACATATATACATATATATACGCATATATATGTATATATAACATACGCAACCTCACTTTTATTTCACTTATTCATTTTTATATCAACAATAAAAAGTGATTTTAATGTCTTGTAAATTTAAGCTCTTTGGCATATACATACATGAACCAATTCACACATAAAAATTTGCATGCAGTTACAAGTGCACATATATACGAAGGCATTCATGTAAGAGTGCATATATGTATAAACTATTATGCGTAGATGCTAAAATATATGCTAGTTAATATATGCTCTCGTTCAAATGCACACAAGTTCATGTAAGCAAAAAGCCAATGTACGTCGAAGTTAATGTAGGAGCACTTTTACATATATACAGGTTAAAATGCGTAAAATATCATGCATATGTATACTAATATAGGCTTAATCCCCATATGTGTGCAGGTTAGAATATGTGAACGTCACTACACACACAAGTTGACATATGAACACGCTAATAAATTCACAATTTTGTATGCGTGCAAATCATTTTATGCACGGATTAAGAAATGTGAACATGCAAGCATATGCATGTAACATCTGAAAGGCAATCAAAAGAACAAAAGCGTGGTGTCACAATAATATCAAAAGTGAAAATGATACATATAAATATTAAGAAAAAAGGAAATAGCTCAATATTTCAACTGTGGTTACTTATATTTGCAACCCATAGGATAATTTCATCTGGTGGTACATAAAAATAAAAAAGAAATAAAATTAATTGCATTCAAGAGAAAAAAAAATTTTTTAAGTAAAATAAAAAGTATAAAAAAAATATGTTATCTTGTAAATAGAATATTTGTGTTTAATTTTACCTAATCACAAAAATGAAAATATAAACATCAATGCTTTTACACATAAGGAATATGTAGCAGTAATTTGGGCTCATTTATTATATTCTTTCAGCTGTATACAAAGTTACATATTTGCCTATGAACTTGTATGTATACATATATACTCACATATATATAAAATTAATAAATAAAAACAAGATAAAATATTAAAACAATAAAAATTCTTATTACAGATAGAAATTTAATAGCCAAATTAAGCTATATTAGAATTATAATGTTTATATATATTTATTTTCCATGAAACAAAATTATTTCCCCATAGCATATTGAGCATGCCTTTAAAATTAAGCTCCTTTATCGCTATTTAGTAAATAGCTAAATAAAAAATAAATAAAAATATAAAAAAAAAAAAATATATAAAAAAAAAAAAAAAAAAAAAAAAGCTAGCTGTTCATAAGTAATTTATATGACTTTGGCTATTTGGCTTAACACCAAAATGTTGTATATATATAAATACACATTTTTTTTTTTTTTGTTACATATGAGAAATGCTTCTTCAAATTCGACCTAGTTATATATTTTATAAATATACAAGTATATATATTCTTCCTTTGCCACCATTTCTTTCGTTCGTTCGCTTTTTTTTTTTTTTTTCGCATAAGGGGTGCATCCTGTTTGTGCCCTTAGATTTTTTACCTTTGTTTTTTGGCTTAAATCATTTGAGTTACTTCATTTAACAGTATCCACTTGTTTTTTTTTTTTTTTTCATTTAATTGTTTTCATTTGTTTTTTTTACATTTAACCTTTTCCATTTGGTTTTTTTCCATTTGACTTTTTCTTTTTTGACTTTTATAATTCGACTTTTTCCATTTTGCCTCTTATAATTTGGCTTATAGTATTTTGCTTAATATAATTTGGCTTATAGTATTTTTCCTTTTATAATTTTGCCTCTTGTATTTTCATTTTTTATTTTTCCTTTCACTATCTCATTTTTACCACTTTTATCACTTGGCTTTTACCATTTGGCATAAACTAGTTAGCTTACACCATTTGACATTTGGTTTTTCATTGCACTTACCTAATGGTTAAGTAAACGATTATAAAATGTGTATTCTTATGCACTTATTAACTTTTTAACGTGGAAAGGTAATTTCATTAATTAATAATAGGATAATTTTGAAATGCTCCTTTTCCACACATGCATGTGCACTTTATTTTCATATATAAAAATACTGCTAATTTCTCACATACTTTACGCAAAATAGTGATAAGTGCACCTATTAAACTGATAGAGCCTCTTAAGAATGACACGGAAAATTATATAATTTCTAAGTTGTTAATTAAACACATTACCCCCGTAATACAAAATAAGTGTATAAAACAGTAAAACAAAATACTACTTTTTATGCATGTACACTTAACATTTCAGTTAGAGTGATAGTGCACATTTAATTCGGGGGTTAAATTTACGCAGGATTTTTCGTTTTATATATGCTGTCCATATAAAGTAAAATTAAATTTTCCATAATTCTGGAAATTATTTTAAAAAAGAGGGAGCCTCCTTTATTTATTTATATATTTATTATTTTTTTTTTTAGAAAAACCATTTTAAAATTGTTTTTTCCATGTAATGTACATTAATTATTCTAATTCATACCTATATTTTTTTTCTTCGCAAATATAAGAAAATAAAAAACCAACAAAAAGGAAATATATGTATATATTTAAATCAAGACACTTGTGTGTTTTTTCACGAATGACATTGAATTTTTTTTTTGTTGAAACCGAGTCGGTTATTCAGCACACAGGTAATATTGACTTACATTTTACAAAGGCATATACATCCAACTGCATTTTTTTTTTTTTTTTTTTTTTTTTTTAATATTTTTTATTTCATATAATTCGAACATTTCCTATGAATGAGTAATTCAAATGCTGGAGCAATAAAAGAATGAAATGAAAAAATTAGGTGCACAAAGAACTGAATAAAGTGCATTGAGAAAAAACGGAATGTTAAAGAACATACCTTTTCTATTATGCATTTCAATCAAAGTAGATTAGGTATATAAATTTAAGAAAAAAGCATATATTTTCATTTGATAAATGGATGTTCTTATAAGTGAATATAATTTAGTAATACATTTACTCAATTACTGTGCTTTTAATTTACCGGTGATGTGTATGGAATATGTATGCACATCATGATAATCTGCATTTTTATCATTATATGGACTTTTGATAAATCATAAAATTACATTTTAAATTTAATTTCTTCCTTTATTTTTCTTAAAAATATGTTTTTTTATTTCCTTATATATATATGTATATGTTGTTCTATTTCCCAAGTTCTGTTCTTAATTCTACAAAATTGCTTCTTTTTAAATTGGGTATATAAAAAAAAAAAACTTTCATCTTTGCACTTGGTCCGAGAACAATCTTTTTCTATTACCTTTTGAGGATAATTCATTTTTAAAAAATAATTTGTTACAGAATAACGTCATTTTCTTTTTTTTGAGTGGAAGAAAAATCTATTTATAAATTTAGAAAAGTATAAATGAACGAGAATGAACACACGATAATTATCCCTTAGTTTTGATTCTGTTCAGATGGGATAAGCAAAAATAAATCAATATCATATACAGCAAAGCAATAAATATTAGCAATATTATGCACCATAAACAAAAAATATACAGCAAAATTCTGTTTATTATCTTCCTTTACATTATTCTTTTTTTTTTTCTTTTTTTTTTTTTTTTGTTATTTTTAAAAGCGGTCTATTCATTTTAACGTTGTTGTAACTTCAAATCTTAGAATTAAAACGTATTTATATTTTTTTAAATAAAATTTACTAGTGTGTTAAATGATATATAGCATTTACCCTTTTTTTTCTGTTTTGTTCTTTTTGTTTTCTTAGGTGGTGAATGAAACAAAAAAAAAAAAATTACACAGAACCTTTATACGCGTATTTTATTTATTCGTTACTCGGAACTAAAGTCTTTTTTTTTTTTATTTTATTTTTTTGGAATGTATATAAATAAATGAGTGACTGAGTGCGTGAAAATGGTAAAATAGCTTTTCATCTATAGCAGTATATAAATGGATAGCATGGTATTTACGAAAAATAAAAAATTTCAATTAATGTTTTATTTTAAATTATCCAAAATATTATGGTATATGTTTACAACTGCGTGGCTATGTTTTTCTTTCATTTCCATTCCTCTTTTTTTTTTTTTTTTTTTTTACACGTTTGGCATCGTTACCAATTTGTGTTTAATGTTTTAAAAAAATTTACTAATAATGTGTTACACAAGTCTTTACGGAAAAAGCATACGAATATGATTTAATCTTTTGAGTGTTGTTTCACATTTACATATTTCACAAAGTGTAACCGTAACTCTGCATGCACAATTCTGGTAATTTTTTGTATATTATGTATAAGAATATGTAAAACACATATAAATATATATATATATATATATATATAGTGTAATGCATATATCCTTTTCTACAGCTGACGTTCTGCGTAACCTTATGATAAAAAACATTTCTGTTGCTGCTTTTGGCAATATTGTAAACTATTACAATGAAAAAGATTTTTTAGAAAGGTGAAAAATAATTCGTGTTAAAATTACCTATGTACTCTTTATGTATGTTAGTGTAAGGGGATTTCATGGAGATGAAACTTAAGAAGAACTTGAGAGAATAACATAAATACTTTCACACTTCTCTTCACAACTGGGAAAAATATTCAAATAATACTATAACTCAGGTTCCTTAAATTTGCTTTTGAGGCCCATAAAATAATTCAACAAATGTTACTACATGCGTGGTTTATTATATGAGGATTTTTTATTTTTGTGAAAAAATGACAACAGATGAGTTATTTTTTTATGTATATATACCTTTTCACAAGTATATTGATTAAATTTGTAATTATTTTATACTTATCATTTTATATGTATCAAAAAAAAAAAAAATAAATAAATAAAAATAAGAGAAAATAAATAATGGTACAAATTTGTGTGTGACTTTTGAGTACTTATGTTTTTTTATTTAATTTTTCCTATAGTTCGCGGTGTATAATCTTATAGATATAAGTGCATTTTGCATGAATATGTTATATGCGTGGTATGCAAATATATATATCATGTGTATATGTATATAAATGTATGTACATTAACCCATATGTACGCGTAATATGTATAGCATGAATATATATGAATTTTACCTCAACGAGTTTTTAGTTATATTTCTCAAAAAATCAGGAAAGAAATTGTCAAATGATCAATTAAGAAAAATTGGGACACTAAAAATTGTGAAACTTGTGAAAACTCGTGAAATTTTGGCAATTGCAGGGAAAAATCGTCAAAATTAGTTAACATTCGCAAATAACGGGGAATATTTATCATAAATTATCAATTTTACCAGTTTTGTTAATCATCACAGTTGATCAATATTATGAAATTTTTGTGCCTAGGAATCAGCCCAAGTAAATATATTTTACCCAATTTTTTTAAATATAAACAATGAAAAAGGCAAAGATTAGAAAGTCCATTCAGACTCATATTAAATAAAACGGGAGAAAAAAAATAAAATAAAATGGTTTTTGAAAAAGGGGAAGAGCTTATAATTTATTGTAAAAAAATAAAAAAATGAACGAATATAAATGTAAGCAATATTAATCACATATAGTAAATGAATACATTTATACCAAAAAAAGAAAAAAAAAAAAAAAAAAAAAAAAAAAAAAAAAAAAAAAAAAAAAAAAAAAAAAAAAAAAAAAAAAAAAAAAAAAAAAAAAAAAAAAAAAAAAAAAAAAAAAAAAAAAAACAGAAAGAAAGAAAGAAGCAAGTTAATGACTTCAGTATTAAGGGAAAAAAATAGATGATAAGAAAAAAGCTAGCAAAAAAGAGGTAGCACCAAGGTTGATAAAATCGAAACTCGTCTTGTATAAAGAACCACAGCTTTTCAGACTTGCACTACTTATCATATATGCTGAATTCCAGCCGCTCATAGTAACAGCATCACAAGATAGCACGAAAGCACACATAACAAGGAACCCCCCAAAAGGATAACATGAATAGTAATAAGAACAACAATTTCAGTAAAAGTAATGGTAATAATAATGGAAACAACAACGAGAATTACAACAACACAAGAAACAATTCCAGTGGAATAATAAACACCAATTTGAATATTGCCTCCGCTATTGGCAATCGTCCAAATAACATGAACGGAATGAGCAAGCTACATGGCAATATCAGTAAGATACACGGAAATTTAAAGAATGTGCCAAATAACCTAAGCAACTTAGGAAATAATATGAAACACAGCATGTCTAGCAGTGCAAATAACACGACAAGCAACATTAGCATGTCAAGTAATATGAATATGCCGAGCAATATGAACATGCCGAGCAATATGAACATGCCGAGCAATATGAACATGCCGAGCAACATGAACATGCCGAGCAACATGAACATGCCGAGCAACATGAACATGCCGAGCAACATGAACATGCCAAACAATATGAACATGCTAAGCAATGTGAAAATGACCAAAAATATGAATATATCAACCAATATGAACAATATGCCAAGCAATAAGAACATGCCAGGCAATATGAATATACCAAGCAATATGAATATGCCAAGCAATATGAATATGTCAAGCAATATGAATATGTCAAGCAATATGAATATGTCAAGCAACATGAAGAACATGCCAAGCAATATGAATATGTCGAGCAACATGAAGAACATGCCAAGCAACATTAATAACATGCCAAGCAACATTAATAACATGCCAAGCAACATTAATAACATGCCAAGCAACATTAATAACATACCAAGCAACATTAATAACACGCGAAACCATGCACCCCCTCCTTTTAGTAACATGAACTCGAAAATATCCATAAATAACAGCATTGTAAATGTACAAAATGATATTAACTTGAAAAATGGCATGAATATTGGAAGCGCTGACATAGGAAACACCAATAGAAATATGAACAACATGTTTAATAATGGTAACAATAGTTTAAGGGAAAACATTATGAATAATTTAAGCTACAATTACAACAATGTGAATTATAACAACATTATGAAAAACAATATGGAAATGAACAATAAACTATTAATGAATGAAAATAATGGGAAATCGTTGCATGATAATAATACTAACAGCAATGTTAGTAGTAATTCTGAAAACTTTGTAAAAAAGCTCAATAACAACAAAATAACCTTGAAAAACAATATGAACAACAATCATTACATCAATTCTGATGCAACGAATATGAATAGATATTATTTAAATGATATAAAAAATGTAGAAACTAATGTCATCCCACTAAACAATAAAATAAATAATATAAAAGACAACCAAAATAGTTCTATACCCCAATATATGGAAAAAGAATATTTAGAAAATGTGTATAATAAGAGAGACAAATATTTATTAAATAAAAACAAAAAGGATGACTTGTACATTTCATCTAAGCAGTTAAGCAATTTGAATCAAGGGAGTAGCAGCATCAGTAGTAATACAAGTATAAATAATGCCAATGCACAATCGAGAAATTTAAAAAACATAGATAACCCCCAATTATACAACTCTCTAATTATAAACTCAATCAGTACAAAAACAAATATAAATGAGGTATATAGTTTTAATCAAAATGATAAAAACTCTTTTCATGCAGAAGGTATGAAAGAAGCCAAATTGAACTTCAAACAGAAGGATACAAACTACAATCATATGAACAAAGCAATTAATATGTTATATAATGAGCAGGCCAATTATAGGCCATATAATGTAAATGACGCACACATGGGCAGCAACAACCATGTTGGTATTATCGGTCCAACTGATGTGAATAACGTAAATGCAAAAAACTTTTTTACAGCACCGAACACAGTGTATGATGCTAAGGAGTATAATAAAAATGTAGAGAATTTAAAGGAACTCAAAAATGGGAGTGAAGAGAAACAAATGAGATATAACAATTTAATTAAGGTTAGTAACTCGAACAAGGCTATCCATGAAAATGCTAATATAGCCACATCTCTATACAATGATGTTGGTGATCAGAAGCAGAAAACCAACCTTAAAGGTGGCATTTTGACAAATAATGTCATTCCCAGTGGAACGACACTATCCGGATCATCCATATCAAATAACAACATAGCGAATAACGCAAAAAATATGGACAGTACAGATATGTACAAATTTAGCATGAACAATGAAAACTTAAATTCCAAGGAATCCCCAAATTATATGAATCTAGTGAATATTAGGAAAAATCACCTAAAAGATAATAACAAATCCATGTACTTACCTGAAAAGAGGAATACAAATCATGGCCAAAATTTAAATCCAGTAGATCAACAAAAGAATAAAATTACCCCAATGCAGAAAACTGATTTAGATTTAATAAACACAAAGGTAAATAATAACGATGGAAATAGTACAGGTGCTAATATAAGTATTAATAAAAATAAAGCATTTGAAGAAATTAAAATGAATAGTACAATTGTTCCTTTAGATAAGATAGCTAACAATACACCATCACATTTTAACGAAAAGTTATTGAAAGAAATCAACATGATGAATCTCCCCAATATTAACAAAGAAACGGAAGGAGCTATACCCAACAAAGGCAATGGATACAGTGTTGGTATATACAACAGTAATTCCCCAATAGATAAAGCCTACAACCAGACGAACAGTATTAGCAGTAATAAAAATTTCATAAACGAAAAAGATACACGCAATCCATACAACCAAATGTTGCAAAAAGAAATTAAAGTTGATCCAGAAAATTTGAAAAAAATGGAACAGTTTGAAGAGAAAAAAAGGAAAAAGAAAAGAGAGAAAAAGGAAGATAGGAAAACAGAAAAGATCAAAGAGAAAAAAATCGAAATGGCCAAGGATGAAAAAGCAGAGTTATTCCCCATGGAACAAAATCTCAAAGAGAAAAAGAAAAAATTTGATTACAGTAATTTTATATATAATAAGAATGAAAACAGCGAACAAAAAGTTTTTAATAGTGTTCCGCAGAACTTAATGCAGGAAAGAGACAATTGCATTATTAGCACGGAGGGAAATTCATCCCCTGGATCAAACCCCAATAGGAACATGCAAATGGATGTGCAAAAGAATTCCCAAGCAAACTCCCAAATGAACTCCCATACGAACGCCCAGACGAATGCCCAGACGAATGCCCAAACGAACATCCAAACGAATGCCCAAACGAACATCCAAACGAATATACCGATGAACACCCAGTTAAATGTGAAGGAAGAAAAGTACCTAGACAACAAAAAAAACATGTTTCCTCTCAGTTACGACATAAGTAAAAATTCATCAAAAATGTTTTTGGAAAATGACAAAAGTATGCTAAACCGAAATGATTTCATAAATGAAGACAACTTGAAATCAGCAAAATTGAAGAGAAATTATAATGACGTACATGACTCAGTTTTATCACCCGTTACACCAGAGCAAATGGAAGGTGATAAAAAATTTATTGCATTAGCAAAATTATTTAGTGATGTAATTGACGAAAATGATAACGGAGGAAATGCAAAAGTAAATGATAAAAGTTTGGAAAAAAATGTTTACACATGTGCACCCACCTTCAGAAACCATCTTGTGTCCAATCTTGAATCGTACAAGAATATGCCACTAGATACTTTGTTAAATAATTTAAATATAGATAAAGATGTTTTGAACATACTAAAGGATAAAATAAATAATATTAACAGAAATATTAATGTAAATATATGTGCAACAGCAGCAACCATTGAGAAACAAACAGAACATATAGGATTGGATAATTTTGATTTGCCACATTTGATAACTCTCTTTGATGATTTTATAAATTGGTATGAAAATAATTTAATTCAAATAAAACTTCAGTTGCACAATATTTCATTCTGTTTGTTTTTAGAAATTTATATATTATTATTAACAAATAATTATTACAACATTTCCGATTTTAAAAAAAAATACTTAAAAATATTTTCTGCGTACGAGCCAGTAACAAAAATTTTATCAAACTGTGTTACCCTAAATCAAATGTTTGAAATATCGCTTATTCGTTTTAAAGAGAAAAATTCCAAACATGTGGTTCACATGACCAAGTAAGTTTTTCATTTTTGCCAATACCAATTGAATTTGATGTGGAAAGCTGAATCGTGTTAGACATTGTTTGTTCTTATGTTTTAATGGAAACCTTGTTTGGTTCCCACACATCTATTTATATATCCGACAACCTATGTATCCATTTTTGAGCATATTTTATTAACCCTTTCCACCAACATATTCCCACTTTTGTCTAGACTCGGAAAGAAATCCTTGTGGCAGTACTTAACTGTATACGGGGGAATTTCTCTATACAATTTGATTACAACAAAAATAAAAATAATAGAAATTGAGGACACAGAAACAAATTTTAATTTCTTTAATTCATTCGTTTCGAACAATTTTCTTTATAACACAAAGATAGACGTTCCTGTTGTATGGTCTCTACCGTCTATTTATTCCACAGAGGATGAAGTTATTGAGGTATATTAATATGTAGTGGGAAATTGTGCGTTACAATTTATGCCAGGTGTACACATCTGTTGTTCGTTATTGTGAAAAAGTGTGTTGCATATGTGCATTGAAGTGTTTGTATATTAAAATATATTTCCAACATTTGCATATTTTTTTTTTTTTTTTTTTTTTTTTCATCTTGTAACAACGAAGGACGAGAATAACAAATCAAAAGGTGAAAAGGAGGAAAATCCGTACGTGCCAAACGAAAGCTGTGATGTGTTTTATTACTATAAATATATATTGAAAATGCAAAAAAAGAACAGACTAAAGGTCACGAAAAACCGAATGCCCAGTATGCTGTATTACTGCTTGAACAATTGCAACGACATGACATGTGCAGAAATTTCCGAATTTGATGGATCCTTTGTTGCATCCGCGCATTCGAATAATATAATTAAATTATGGAATATCAAGCAATCACAATTAAATAAAATGAGGCAAAAAAAAAAAGAGATGGAGAAAAATAATAAATATCAATCAAAAAATATGAGAAAATATGATTATTTTAAAGGAAATAATATTACTCCCATAGACTTAGATAATCAGGATGAAAATGATGGAGTTTCCAAATTATATGGAAATGTTTTTAATGTTACTAGCCTACGTTTTGGTGAATCAAATAAAATCTTATTATCAGGAAATGTTAATGGTGATATATATTTATACAGTACTGTAAGTAATAAAAATTATGTTAAATATGTAGGTGGAAATACACCTATATGGTCTCTCGACACGGCCTTTTTAGGCTACTTTTTTTGTTCAAGTGAAGATGATGGAAATCTAAGGATCTACACTACCAATAGAACTTATCCATTTATCACATACAAGTACAACTGTCCTGCAAATGTTTGCAAATATCACTATAACAACACACTCATTGCATGTGGTTATTACGGTAAATTACTCATGTAAATTCTTCTAAGCCATAGTGCCTATTAACAACGAGTTTTAATATGTTTGAATATAAACTGCACATATGGAGTACACGCCAACTAACTTACGTACATATTTTCCTCTTTTACACACACCCATTCATTAGACAATTATATACACCTTTACGATGTTAGAGTAAATTCATTTATCAAGAGATTTAAAAATAACTATCCAAGCAATCAGGGAGTCACTTCATTAAGTTTTTCAAAAGATGGACGGTTGTTATCTTATGCAGGTACATATTCTTATTTTGGAGGCGTTCATTAGAGATTACTGTTAACATAAATGTTAATTGCGTTAATTACATTGATTGAGTTGATTGCATTCATTGTGTTCATTACTTATGCATGTCAAAAGAGTATATGGTATATAAACCTTTTGTACAATGTGATACAGTATCACCTGCACTTCAATTATGCACGTCATCTTCTTTACTTCACAAGGTGGCTATACATATAACATAAATTTAATCGATTTGGCAATGGACAAATTTATTGATATAGAACCCAAAATTGCTATTTCTACAAAATCGTGGAATAATGACGTCGAATACGCCCCCAAATCTAATTCTTTTGGAAATCCTTTAGACCCAAATTTTTTACAAAAAGTAAATGAAGTAACACAATATGACAAATCACCCCTTGGAGCAGATATAAATTTCCATGATGATAAAATATTAAGTATCGATTTCAGTTATGACAATAACTTATTAGTTTCTATGTCTTGTAACAATCACATCGATTTTTACAATTGCTCCAAAGGTAAGAAAAAAGGACAAAAATAAGCATAAAACCATCTTCTTTAACAGTGCACAGATAAATGTGCTTACATTATAGAGACGTAGAGGGTGGTGAAGAATGGTCTAAGTGAGAATCAGGCAATATATATATGGCAGAGAAAATAAAGTCCATGTATACATAACTTTTCCCCTTTTGTTGATAGTTTCGACTTGGGAGATATAAAACATGCTTGAAATTGTGTGCATTTGTAATGATAGAGATACACATTTGTTGCCTTATATGGATTGCTGAAATACGTGAATATGTGATATGCTTAGTATGTCTACTCTTTAATGTTTTTCACTTTCCCCTCTTAGCATCTTATGATATAAAACAGGCTTTGGAGAAAAAGAGAATTAAAATAGAAAAATCAAAAAACAGAAAAAATATACCATATGTCAAATTATCAAAATCATATGGCGTTAAGCACTCAAACTTAATATCTGCCAAATTTACTCCTGAAAATGTGCTGCTTCTACTTGGTAATATATATATATATATATTTTTTTTTTTTTTTTTTTTTTTTTAAGCATTTGTGCGAAGACAGGAGCCTTATTTTTTTCCTATCATATGAAAAAAAAAAAAAAAAAAAAAAAATTGACGAATATATTTTAGACGTGTTTAAAAAAATTTTTTTACTTTTTTTCTTTTCCCCATACACTCTTACGCAGGTATAAATACTTTAATCTAATGGTAAAAAGCCACGAAGACTGAGTATAATGCTCCTTCAAAATTGTTTTTGTTCCGTGATTTTACAATGTTTTTTAATGTTCAAAATGTTAGTATGTTATAACTGTATGAATGTGCTAGTAATACATTAGTGTTTACACTTTTGTAAAAGTATTTCTTTTTTTTTATTTTATTTTTTTCATCTCCCCCTTTTGAGTATTCAATGTTTTATATACATATAATATATCAACGTAGGAATAGCACGTATCACAATTTCTCATCGAACTGTCCTTCTGCCGTTTTTTTTACATAAAATTATTTCCGCAATTTTTTTTTAAAATAATTTGGTTTTTCACTTTGTTCAATTGATTTAACAATTTTGCACGTCCTACTTTTATTATTATTTTTTTTTTCAATCCTATTTTTTGTGGAATATGTTAAATATTTCGCCCCTAATTTTTGCTTTATTATTAAAATGAAAAAATTAGAGTTTGATCCATTTTTTCTTGTGAAAGTTCTTTTTTTTTTTTTTTTTTTCTTTCATTTTTGTGTTTTGGGCTTGCGCAAGTTTTTTGCAAGATATTGTTTCTCATGTTTTTAAAGTTTCACGTTTTTTTTTTTTTTTTTTTTTTTATCTTTTCCAGATATTTTCCACTATTTTTCTCACCCTTAAAATTACTTTTCCGTTCTTAAAATGTTCGCCTAATTTTTATGAAACATTTTTTTTTTTTAATTTATGGAAAAATGCCAAATAGTGCAAGGAGAAAAATAAAAAAATTGGTAATATATGTGAACCTTTAAAATTATAAACGTATATATTATATATATGCGTATATATTTTTGTTATATATAGGTGAACATGCCAAGTAGGCAACTTGTGTCACACACATCCATTTCTAAGATTCTGAAAAAAATCATCAATAAAAATAATAAAAACATCTCTCATCTCAGGGGATTCTTTTAATTTACAAAAAGTGTTGTGCTTATTGGGGAAAAAACCGTTTAAGCCCAAGTTTTTAAGATTTAGAAAATTTATAGAGGGGCGTGAGAAAAAAATATAATTTGTACAATTTAAATGTTTACAATGTAAACATTTTTTTTTTTTACGTTCCACGTTGTTTAACATTGTGAACGTTTTAAAATAAAAAAAAAAAAAAAAAAAAAATCTTAAATTAATGAGCCCAGTGAATTTTTTGTTAAAGAATTTAAAATGAAAAAAATAAGTAATAAACAGATAATCTGTAAAAGTCCATTGAAAAATATATATTTCAGAATTATATAAAATGAGAAAAAAAAAAAAGAAAAAAAATTATTTTGTAAAAATGCACTTTAAAACTTCTTTACAAAAGTTAGAAAAAAAAAAAAAAAGGCACTAAATTATTTTAAGGCTAAATGTACGGTAAAGAAATTATTTGATTTTCCGGCTTTTTTTTTTTTTTTTTTTTTTTTTACTTTTAATTGTATACACAAGTATATATTTATGCCTTTTTTAGGTACTTTTATACACACATTTAAACACACATTTGTACATATATGAATAAAAGAATTTTGCAACATTCATTTTACGTTACTGTTTTTTCATTTATAGCTTTTTTTAATTTAGAACTAGGAAATGAGACTGATTTTCTACGCCACCATAATCAACCGCACCAGAACATTAATAATAGTGCAACAACAGTAGCAACAATCTCTCGTTTGTTTAATTTGCCATCACATCTGCATAAATAAATATATAGCTCTATTCGTACATGTCACTACCCCTATTGTTTTTTTAATTATGGAGAATAACTTCTAAAATGTTTTACAAAAAGAGAAAAATAATAATTATTAGTTGAAAATAAATAAATAAGGAAAACATAATTAAAAAAAAAAAAAAAAAAAAAAAAGATATGTTTTTTTTTTTTTTTTTTTGGGAATCATTAAATTATTAATAAAAATTAGGCTTTTTCGAAAAAAATGAAAAACGTCAAGCAAAGTATCATAAATTTTAAGGACCTAGCCAAGCAGCTAGAGGCATGCGTACAATATAACTCAACTGGTAATTAAACATTAGTTTTGCACACCCTAGCTATTATTCCCGATTCTTCAATAATAGTCTATAAACGTACACACAAGCACAAATGTGTATGTGTTTAATAAGGAAAAATAATGTTCGAATATAAATCAATTTCAAAATATCAATCTTTTCTTTTTTTACCCTTTTTCTATGTAGATATTGAAGTAATGCAGGACATATACGCGGAATGTAAAAAGTAAGGAAAGCATAAAAATATTGAAATTTATTTTCACTTGAACGTTCACGAGTCAAAACATCTGCCATGAAAACATACCAAGGGGGGGAGTTCATTATATGCAGATATGTGTGTTTACACCTATGTATACATATATGTATATATGCATACATACCTACGACATGTCTGTACATATGTGCACGCATTCATATGTTTTCTCCTCGTTAGAGATTTAATCATATTGGAGAAATTAACGCTAGAAGCACTTGAAAAAGGAAACGCATACCTGTTTGAACAACTAGTAGAAGTATGTTTTTTTTTTTTTTTTTTTTTTTTTTTTCCACACAATGCATCATATTGCACAACTTCTTTGCACATCAATAATGGTACACAAATGTTTATTGAACCTTACTTAGGCTTCTACTCATGTGAGCCGATCCATCAAACGGTTTGAAAGTTTTGAAAAAAATCACAAAGATCGGTCTCGTAGTTTTCCAGGAGAATTTGCACAAATCGAAACGACAAAGATGGATTTCGGAGATGAGGATTTTTTAAAAAAAAAAAAAAAACATCAAGGACATAAGAAACATGATAATAAGAAAAAAGGGAAAAAATATAAAAATATGGATTATGAAGAGGGGGACAGTGTAAAACGAAATCGAAGTAGAAGTCAAAGTAGGAGCAGAAGTAGAAGTTGTAGTAGAAGTGAAAGTTTAGGCAGAAGTTTTGGTAGAAGAAAAGAACATGAAAAAAAGAAAAAGAAAACGAAGGAAAAGGAGAGAAGGAAGTATTACCATAGTGATGATGAAAGTAACAATAAAGAAAAATATACATATGATAATAAAAAAATGCTAAAATCGGATTCATTTGCATCATTTAATAAAGAACTAGGAACGCTTAATGGTACACCAAATATGTTAAGTAGTGAACTAGATGAAGATTTGGACGACTTTCAAAAGAAACCAAAAAAAGATCAAAAAAAAAAAAAAAAAAAATTACACGATAATAAATTAAAAGTAGAAAATGCAGATGATAGTGGTGATGACTCTTTTTTCAATAAAACTTATATTGATTCATTAGATGATTTAAATCCTTTAAGTAGCAACAATTCAAAGAACAAAAAAAGTAATCGTGGAAAAGAACGCATCACACATATTAGTAACAATCCATTAGTTATAATAATTCACATATCAGATATAATAAATGTATCATTAGATTTTAAAACAATATATATTTATTTAACCTTAAAATCTTTAGATAATAAAATTAATATTCGAAAAAAAAGTAAAAACAAACAGGTAGATAATTTTACAATAAATGTATCAGAATTGTTTGAATTTTCAGTGTTTTACAATAATCAATTGTTTTTATACATTGATGTAGTAGATACACATAACAACACTTACTATTATACTTGTTTAATAAATTTAAATAAAAACATTTTGAAAAAAACACTATTCTATGTACCAACTGCTTATTTATTAACACAAGTTACTGATCCTTTTAGTTCTCATAAAGAACACCAAAATTTGATCCCCACAACCCCAGTTAGCTTTTCATCTGCTGAACAAAGTTTTGGAGCGCAAAATGCCACCACACAATTGAAGGATTTCAATTTCTCGTCACCCATCCTTAATTCCTTTCCAGAAAAAAACAACTTGGGTTGTCAACCAGTAGCCAATCGTAACATGGAAAATCACATTGTTAATAATAATCCCATCGTCAGCAATTCTACCAATAATGATCTCTTCCAAAACGGAACCACAAATATTTACCATTTCAACAATAACCTGCCACACAAGCGCGTGAATGAATTTTACTTTGGGAGGGCCAGCCCGAGTAACACCTACAGTATGAACAATCATATCTATAACCCCGGTGCAACTAATTTTAACTTTTCAAGAAATCACCAAAATGGGACCAATTCGAACAACTTTAATTTTGTTAGCAGGAGAAATGTCATGAATCGTAACATGTCCAATTTTAATTTTATCAATCCGAATGTTAGTCGTCCAAATGTTATCAGTTCGAATGCTAGCCATCCAATTTTTGAAAACCCTAATTTTAGAAATCCAAACATTGGAACTTCCAACTTTGGCAATCCGACATTTGGAAACCCAAGCAATGGAACTTCCAACTTTGGAACTTCCAACTATGGAACTTCCAACTTTGGAACATCTAACTTTGGAACATCCAACACTGGAAGTCCGAGTCACAGAAGCCCCAGCACTGGAACTTCCAACTTAGGAAGGCCTAATTTTAGCGCCCGTGGCTTTAGCATCCCCACTTTTAGAACCCCTAATTATGAGCCCTCCAACTTTGATATCCCAATGATTAACAATTCTCAAACAAGTAATCCCACATTTGACAACAGCAACTCATGGCAAAAGAATACTAACAGTAGTGCACATATCAATGATGGAAACAACAGGGCTGTGAACGAAAATGAGGAGAAAAAAGACGTTGAGAAAGAAAAAAAAAAAGAATTGGAGAAAAATGAAAGGAATTTTTCAAGCAAGGGTCCCTACATCATAATGAATATTTTTTTAAAAAATAAAAACTTTGATCACGAAACAGAATTAATGAAACAAAACAACCTGAATCTATACAAACAATTATATAATACTTGTAACAAAGAAAAAGTTTATTATGAAAATAAGAGTAAGGAAAATGAAAAAAAAATTGAACAATTGGATAAAGCAGTAATGATTCTAGAACTAGATAATGAGGGCTACATAGAGGCCAATAACAAATTGAAGGAAATAATCGAAACAAATAAAGAAATAATTAAAGTAATTGAAAAAATTATAAAAAAAAAGAATTACAAAATAGAAAAATTGGAAAAAAAAAATGAAAAGGCTGAACAAGCAAAAAAAACAATTGAAGAAAATAAAAAAGAAAATTGTTATTTATCTGAACAGATTGCCAAATTGAATAATGATTTTAAGGAAAATAAAATAAAATTAAAAGATTCTAGTCAAGTGAATGACAATCTGAATAGTAAGGTAAATAACTTATTATTCCAATTACAAAATGCACAAATAAAAAATGAAAAACTTCTCCTTTATTTATCATACTTGGTAAAATATATTCACAAAAACAGTTGTAACGGTAATGCAAATGTTTTAAATCTAATGAAATTAAAAAAAATAAATTGGAATTTGCTAAATTCAGATCCAGATTACAACTCTCAGAACATGTTAGATGATATAGCGAATAATTGTAATTATGTGAGAAGTGTTTTGAAATTTGATGATTCAATGATAAATAGATACATGAAAAGTCAGAAAAAGGAAAATATTAATCGAAAATTTATGCAAAATATTCTCGGTCTCAATAATACCACGAAACAGGATATAACTAATTACAGTAGTGAGAATAGTGAGAACAGTAATAGTAGCCTCGCACATGTTAATAACAAGCGAAAAGAGAATGGTATTTTGAAGGGTCAGCAAAAAGAGGATAAAAGTAAAGTCCACAGAAATAACAAGCACCCATCTTCCCCAAATGCCATAATCATAGATGAAAAGGAAGTATCTGAGGAAGATGAAGAAGAGAAAGAAAAAGACATACCTATTGATCACGTTCTCGTGCAGGAATACAAAAAATACATGACCACAAACGCTTCCAATGATATAAATCAAAAGTATCTTCCCCCAATTGATGACAATCATCCAGATATAAAGAAAAAGAAGGAAAAATTAAATGAAAAAAAAGGTATAAAACCAAATGGATTACATGAAAATTATCTGAACACAGATATTCGAAATATAAACTACAATAGTGATAAGGAAAGAAAGAACAGTCAAAGGCATAACTTCAACATTAATACTAAACGATTGGATAAAGTGCAAAAGGAGGAAGAAAATCAAGGGGAAAAAAAAAATTATCGCTTATTTAATGATGAAAAAAAAACAGAAAAAAGCCCATTTATAAATAAGAGAAAAAATAGTATCCAAATTTTGCATCATCAAAGTGATATCCTCCATGACGGTATTTTTAATCATCAACGAGATAATGTAGACATTGAAACAAATAGCGTGTTTTCCTTTAATATAAAAAATAGTGGAAATTTATCTCATCTAAAAAAATCGAAAAGAACAACAAAAGATAATAAAATTGGAAAAGGAGAATGCAAACAAAATGACGTTTTCAAAAAGGGACTCAAAGATTCAAAGGAAATGAAGAACAAGCCTACTCCTCCTTATAAGATGAAAAAAACAAACAAAAAAGTTACAAGTGGAAAAAATAAAAATGGAAAAGAGACATACACCTGTGATTATAATGATGGAAATTTCCTACTTTCTCACATTAAAATGGATAGGCGGAATAAGGTAAGACATTCCTTACATAATTGTAAAGAAAAAGCCATAAATAAATTGGTATATAACGAAAACTACACTTTTAGTAACGGAGAGTTGTCAAGTTATTGTGATAATGAGGGCTGTGAAGATGTATCAAAAATGAGAAACAAAAATGAAAAAAACGTAGTTAGTGATAGCTATTTAAATTGTAAGAGTAAAAACCAAGGGAAAAAAATTAATCACAAGAAATTACCCTCCATATGGAATGGCTTGTTAGAGCTGAAAGGACATCATAGTGAAAGCCACATGGAGGAAGAAGAATATGAAGACGAAGAAGGTGAAGACGAAGAAGATGAAGACGAAGAAGATGAAGATAATGAAGACGATTACGAAAAAGCTGATGGTGATGAAAATGAAGATGAAGGAAACCTACAGAACGATACAACAAGTGGGAAATATGGAAAACTAAAAAAGGGAAAACGAAATAAAAATAAACAAAGTGACAATCGCTTGAAAAAAAAAAGAACCAGTGACTATTTGAGTGACTACAAAAGTTTTGAAAAAAAATTTAACTATTTTGTAAAAGTGTCAAAAAATTTGCAAGGAAGTATCCTCTCAAATAACAGCGATAAAATAAGCTACGCAGTGAATTTAAATAAAAAAAATTACTTCAGAAATTTGGAAAGAATTATTAATAAATGCAATAAGAAGGACCAGGAACTTTCTTACCTTGACAGCTATCTTAGCACAGAAATCAAGTCAAACTTTTTATCAGACAATGATATAAAGAAGCATAAAAACCGTTTACGACATTTTTACAGCAAAAATACAAAGGGCATAATTTTTGAAAACACCCTTGTTAAGATATATGCCAAGCTTTACTATGTTAATGAAGATTCTAGGAAAAATAGTAAAAAAAAAAAAGGTCTGATTGGCACGGAGAATTATAATAAAGATGATACAAGAAAAAGTAACGGAAATGTAAAAGCTGGTGATGACAAAAATGATGATAACAATGGAAACAGTACAAGTAATAGAAACCTCAAACGTAATCGTCTACGTGATGAGAAAAGAAAAACGATGAATAAAGTAGAGAAAAGTATAAAAAAGGAAAATATTTACATGAACATTTACGTAAAATCCATTTTGTACAATATTATTTACATCAAAAGTGATCTGCGTGAAAACAAAATGGACCACATAAAAGTTGTAAAGAGGAATTTGAAAAAAAATTATAATAAAGTGACAGAAGAAAATGATTATATAAATTTAAAAAAAAATGAAATATGTTTATTATACACCCTATGCTTTAGGAAAAATCTCCTCCACAATTTACCCTTATTCTTGAATATAGAATGTTTAAATAATGATAATTCAACCATTAAGTTCAGAATAGCTTTGCCTCTTCCCCATTTACATCTGCTGAAACCAAACAGTTTATATTTAAATAATTTTGTAAAGAATTTCCCAGGAAGGCATAAATATTATTACAAATCTTACTACTGTAATATGATTGATTTTTCAACATTTAACGAATTTATTAATTCGATCAAATTATACAACTCCTTTAACGTTTTTCATTTCGACGCATATAATATATTGTACAGTACATATCCTCTTAATGCCAAAAATAACATTCTTTTATTAATTGTTTGCGATTTTGTCAGGAAAAAAAATGGCACACCCAATGGCACTGTGAAGTTGCATTTTATATCTCAGTCAAACAGCTTGATTAGCTTCTCTGTAAATTTGTTTAAACAAATTTTGTAATTAACAGAGGGGGGTACAAAGAACTTTTATTATCATTTTGTTGTACTTTACCAAATCCAATGTGCTCTGTTCTGTCTAATCCATTGTGTTGTGTTTTATCAGGTCCATTTTGTTGCATTTTTTTTTATTTTTTTTCAAAACGAGCACTATTATTAAGAAGCGTGCTTATTGAATTCCTCCCATGAATCTTGTACTTATTTGCAGCACTCTTTCTTCTTTACGTCTATTTGGAATCAACTCCACTTGGAATCAGAATTTTTTTTTTTCTTTTTTGTGTAATTTTTTTTTGGTATATTTCCTTTCTCGTTTATTTTGTTCCATTATATTTGTAGGTTTTCCTTTTTTTTTTTTTTTTTTTTTTATTTCTATTTATTTTTTTTTTATTTCTATTTTTTTTTTTTTTTTTTTCTCATTTTTTATAAAAAAAGGAATATTTTCGCAAACTTATCATTTCTTCGTCCACCTTCTGATTTATTTCTACATTATTGAGATTGTCTATTAGTTTTGTATACTCCTTCAGTAATTAAGGGTTATAATCCCGTCTCCCCACATCCACTTTTTTTTTTTTTTACTACTTCACATTATTAATCATTGCAATTATACATATGCGTTGTTGGCCACTTGTTCGTTTGCCTTTATTGTAACATTATGTATTTTGGTGACTTTAAGTTTTAAGTGTAGGCCTAAATGTGTCTAGTTTTTCTTATTTATTCTTATGTTTCCTAGTCTTTCCAACACAAATGTTGCTTACAGGGTATTACTCTTATCCTACCATTATTAATGTGCTCGTTCATCATTACCCATCTTGTTCATGTCATACAATATGAAGCGAATTTTACTTTTTCAGATCCAAAAGAAAAAAAAAAAAATCATACAAATAAAAGTCAAAACATGTAATATGTATTATTATGTAACACATAACGTGTAATATGTAAAAAGGGGCATGGTGTGGTATTAGAGGTTAATTGTTTTTTTTACTTGAAGACCAAACTTCTATAACCACTACTGGAACGTTTTTTCTCCCTTCTGCGTACAGATTGTGATGGCTCCATTTACCATTTCCATTTTCTTCATGATTCATCGGTTTCTTTCAGCCATTTCTAAAATGTTCAGTAGTTCCCATTTTGTCACTTCTAAATTATTCGGTAGTTCTTCCCCCTTAATATTCTCTTCATTTCGCTTTTTCACATTTTTAAAAAACTGCCATTACTTCATATTTCTACACTGAGCATGGAAAAAAAAAAAAAAAAATGATTTTCTTTTACATAAGCACATGTTATGCAACACGAAAAGGTACTTGAAGTGAAAAATGATCAACACGTTTTAAAAAGTGTTTGTTTAATATTGTGTATTCTTCACAACAATTTGTAAAAACCACTTTTATTTTACTCTTTAACGAAGCTATTGACATTTTTCTAGCTTTTTTTTTTTTTTGTGTGTGTATGTTATGCTAAAAATATATACAACACATACAAATGTCAGTTCATTTGAGTATATATTTTTTTAAATTTTAGGAAATACAGAAAATATGAAACATTAATTGACTTCTTTTTAAATATTTTTTTTTTTTTTTTTTTTTGTTTGTTGTTAAAATTGTGTCATCTGTATTACAACATATTTATCTAAATTTCCTTATTCGTTTTGTCACACTTTATTTATATTTTTAAATGCATCCATTTTCCTTTTTTTTTTTTTTTTTTCCAATCCCTGACCTATCAAATGTTATGTAATAATTGAAAACTATGGAATACAGCGATGATGACGACATCGACGTTGAGGAAATTCTGAAACAGGCTGAAAATGTAAGGAACAAAATATTAAAGAGGGAAGACCACAAGCCCCAACGGAGTTAGCTTCTCCCCATTTTACACTCCTCTTTTGCGTCAAAAAAAAAAAAAAAAAAAAAAAATTCCCGCATGCTCTTCACCATGCTTATATGATATATCATCCTTAATATGCACATTATCTATGCCACATAGAAATTTTACCCTGCTTCTTCCCCATGACAGATCGAATGCGTAGACGAAAGCAGTATAAAAAAATTAGCAACAGTATTGAAGAAAAAAAAGAGCAAAAATGAACGAGACAGAATGGAATACCCAGACAACCCCGAAAAGTGGGTGATGAGTGAAGTAGATTTAGATGAAATATTAGTAAATATAAAAAACCTAAGTGTTTGTTCAAATTTGTACATTAGTATGGTTGAAAGCGAAATATTGGGAGATATAATTGATTTGCTAAACCACCCGAATAATGACATTGTAATTGAGGTTATAGATATTATTAAAGAAATAACAAACCCATCGAACATGTACGAATTAAATAAAAAAGAAAATGATGTAATTGTGGAATATTTGAATAAAAAAAAATTATGTCATTTTATTATAAATATATTAGAGAAAGTAAATGAAGAAGAAAATGAAGAGTATTACAATGCCATGTCTTCTATTTTAAACATTTTTGAAAATATATTTGAACTAGAAAATAGCTTGCAAAATGATTTATTGACAAATTCGAAACTTTTATTCTTTCTTTTAAAAAGAATAGACACAGATTTGAAAAATGACGATTCAAATTCTCTAAGCGCAAGTGAAATATTAGTTTTACTGATTTTGAGAATTAATCAATTTTCTCAAAATATATATGATGATTTTTATTATACCATTTCCATTTTTAATTCACTTTTGAAATATATTTCCAAATATAAAGAAAAAGATCCCCCAAATGTTAATAAGAAAGAAATCTTACTTAATGTTTTTCAAGCATTAGGAAATTTATTACTTATAAATGACAATATTAATGTATTTAATAGTACGAATGGTCTTGAACTAATGTTAAAATTATTGAGTGAAAGAAAATTCCTTTGTTTTCCTGCTCTTAAAATATTTGCTATTACTCTTAATGATAAAGAAACTTGTAACAAATTTGTAGAATTGAACGGATTGAAATATTTATTTTGTTTATTTATGTTAAGAAATATTAAGAAAAGCAAAATTCGCATATTCGAATTTGAAGAAAATATGATTACCGTCATTTCCAATTTATGTTTACACTGCACGGACACATGTCTTGGTAGAGTTCTCAACAAATTTGGAGAAAAGAAATGTGAAAAAATAGTTCGTTTACTAGAAATTAGACAGAAATATAATGAAATTATTATGAATGAAAATAAAAAAAAAAAACCAAAATTATTAGTAAATGAAAATTTGCAAAAAATGAATATTCAAATAGATGATGATTGTAGGAAAAATTTGGAATATTTTGAATTATGTGACAAGGGTTATCTCGTTTATCAGTTAACTGATATTATTTTAATAGCTCTTTTTTTTATGAACAATTCTTATATATCAAATAATATTTTTATTCACTTGTACACTAGGAATATTGACATACAATCTATATATGAAAATATATTGGGTAATCCACTGTTCCTGTATTTGTATCGTTTGTGTTCTTTCGTCTCCCTATTTACTGTTCTACATATATAAAAACAAACATATATATATATATATACATATGAATATGCTGTGTTTCATTTTTCCTCCAACTTTGCAGATTTTTTGGATTGTCTAGACAATGACGAATTGAAAGAAAAGCTAAAAAAAATGCTAACGTTTTTTCTAACAGCATCCAAGGAATCGAATCTGTTTCTGTAAACGAAGTCCACATGTGCAACCTTTGAGGGATTCCTAAATCGTTCTTTTTATATTATTTTACTTCATATTGTTTTACTTTATTTTATTTGGTTCTGTTTTACTTTATTTTATTTGGTTCTGTTTTACTTTATTTTATTTAGTTTTGTTTTATTTTGTTTTTTTACTTATTTATCTTTTTTAAATTAACGGGTTTTATATTATATGATTAACAGTTAAATAGGACAGAAACATCCATTAGTTGTGCGATAAAACAGTTTTTACGATACATTATTCGCATGAAAAAATAATTATGCAATATTTTTCTCTATGCATAGCAACAATTTTATGTGCATGTTTGTTTCGCATATAAATATGCGTCAATAATTGTTTAGAGTTTAGGGTTCACGTCTAACACACCAAATCCATCCGTGAAGTCACGATTTTGCATATGGGCTTATATAATTAATGGTATGCATATATATATCTCCATGTAGCAAATATGCATGTAGCAAAATATGCATGCAGAAGAATATGCATGCAGAAGAATATTCATGCAGAAAAATATTCATGTAGAAAAATATTCATATACGAATGTATGTACACTTGTAAAGTCGTATGACCGGCAGGGTAACAGACGAGTGTCATAAATTCTCTACACGAACACGTGAAGAGACATGCCTACATAATAAACCATTAACAATTCACATAATGCCTTCTTCCCACAGTGCCACCTGAATACGCAAATATAACATATTATTATAAAACTACTATAATGATATGTAAATAATATTTTGATAATATTTGGATAATATTTGGTTAATACTTGGATAAAATTTGGATAATATTTGAGTGGTATTAGAATGAGGAATGAAAAAGAAAAGGGGAGTGGGGGGTATATGTATCTTCAAAAAAATGTAAAAAATATTAAAACAAATGAATAAATATATATATATGGATGTTAAAACATACACACACAACGAGAGCGTATGGGGATGAAAGAGCAAGTGTACACATTAGGGCGCACGTTTCTTAATTTATACATGATAGCATGTGTGCTAAAATATAAAAAATAAAAATGTAAGCAACACTAGGATGTGTATGCGTTTAAAGTAAGAAAGAAAAGGCAATTTTCATACATATGAAATGTACTTTTCATATTTCATTTTAATTTTTTTTTTTTTTTAATTATATATTTTTTTTTTCTTCTTCTTCTTCTAACTCCTATTTTTAACGCTTAAATAATATTTGTGTCTTTTATAAATTATTTAAACTAAAGTATTATATATGTGCTTAAATATATTATGTAAGGAAAAATTAATAGAAAACCTGTAATTTTATTTTTTTTTTTTTAACGCATGTGTAAATAACTTTAACTTTTTTTTTTTTTTTTCATATTCGTAAAAAACAACCATATCTTGTAACAAAGGTATATTATTTTCTAAATTATTTTATATTTGAAAAGAAAAAAAAAAAAAAAAAAAAAGCTATGCATACATTCATATGTATACGATTTGCATATGTTCGCTTTTAATATCTCTTATTCGAATAATTCTCTGCTGGCGCAGCCCATATCCTTGACTACAACTCACAAACACAGGTATAGGCCTGCTATGTGCATATTGTAAGATCTAAAATTATTCAATGTCGTCGATATTCAAAAACTTCTTTTCCGTGTGTATTTTATAAACGGGATTATACTGAACTATTAAACAAGTCATATTATCGCATCCAATTCCATCATTCTCTTTATAATTATTTGACAAGCATTCATCACACAATTCTTCGCAAATTTGTGATAATTTATTAAATTTTTCGAATTTTTTTCTTACAATAACTGGTGCAGAATCGAATTTCGAATCATCTTCATCATACGTGCCCATGTCAATTTCATCATGTACGTTCATTTGATTGACATTTTCGTTGTCATTATCGTCATTATCATCATCATCTTCTTCTACATCAAAATCTTCCTCACCAGGAATGTCATCAGAAATGCCTGCTCCGTCTTCTGTATTTTTATCATCATTATTATCATCTTCATTATTATCAACATTTTTGATACTCATTTTATTATTTTTATCTTTATCTATTATCGCAATGGAATTTTTTCTCTCCTCTTCGTTTACGTTATTTTCCTCTAAATCTTTCAATTTATCGTGTTCATCATTACCCATACTATTTACAATATTTTCATTGGTCGTAATAGTGGTGGTTGCATTTTCATTATTGTTATCCGTATTATCAATAACTATTTCATCATTTGTTGGTTCTACAAACTTTTCAAGTCTCGTTTTTACAAAACCAACAACATCTTGTCCATCTTTACAATCCCAGATTCCATCACATGCAAGAAATAAAAATTCATCTTCTGGAGTTAAAGTAACACAAGTAACCTCAGGAAAGGCAGAAATTTTCTGATCCTTTTGTGGTAAAAATGGATCTCTTTTATAGTGTAAATCACCAATAGCTCTAGTTAAATTTAAATTACCATCTACTCTACCATTAGATATATAACCACCTGCTTTTTTAATTCGTGCTTCTTCTTCTTGCAAATGCGGTTTATGGTCAGTAGACATACCTAAGGAACTTCCATTAAAACAAACGATTGCTCTTGAATCTCCTGCATTCGCTACTATAAGATATCCCTTTAATATAACTGCTACTATAGCCGTTGATCCACAACTATATGCTATATTATCTTCATAATCATTTGAATAATAATTTTCAAATAAACGTAATTCATCCGATGAATATACTCCATTACAATCTTCTGTCTCGTTATTTGTATCGTTATTGTTGTTACTACTTATGTTGTTATCAATTACGTTTGTTATAGCTTCATCGTATGAAAATCCTTCTTCGTTACTACTAATCCCTTTATCATATAACTTCAAGGCATTTTCGTCAAAAGGGTTTGTATTTTCATTTTCACCATTATTTTTCTCCTCCTTCGCTGCTACTTCCTCCATATATTTTAGATTGTCATATGTTAGTTCTGATTTTCCTACAGCCTCGTTTCTGCCATATTGCACGCAATTGTTATTATTACTGTTGTTACTGTTTTCGATGATGTTACTATTCAATTTATCATTCTCCTCCTTGCTATTTTTCTCCTTTTCATTAATACAATACTCATTGTCCATATCCTTCTTCAAGCGCTTGGCGTTCATTTCCGTGATTTCACCATTATTCATATACTCATCAGAATACCCCTTAGTGTCCTCATCTTTCGTTTTGTCTTTATTATCACCATTACTGACATTTGGCACTCCTCCATCATGGACTTCCTTATTCCTATTCACTTCACCCTTACTGTCTGGCTTATTTATTTCTTTATTTTTCTCTTCTGTACTAACACTATTTTTTTCCTCATCATCTTCAATTTTTTTGCTTTTTTCCATTTCCGCCTTTACTTCACCTTTTTCTTCCTTATTGTTGGAACTTAAACTTTCAGAATTTTCGTCATCTTTTTTTAATGTATTATTGTTACCATCTTGCGAAATGTCTGTAACTTTGTGATCTTTCTTTTTTGCAGCTTCGTCGTCATCCTCGTCCTCCTCCTGTTTTACGCTATCCGTCTTGTCTAACAAGTTTGAAGATTTGTTATTCTCCTCATCAGCTTGAGAAGTAGACGATTCTGCATTTTCTACATTGTCTACACTTTCTACATTTTCTGCATTCCCTTCTTCTATCGGATTTCCATCTTTATTATATACAACCTGTAAACACCTTTTCCCATCTTTCTCTACAGCTTTAATGCTAATATTTTTGGATATTATATCATTCAAAATTGAATATAAATAATTGTCTCTTGTATCAGACTCTTCTTCATTTTCCTGTGTTGGTACGCTATACTTTTTTAATTTTTCTTGATTTTCTGTTAACAGCATTTCTTCGTCTAATCTCAAAAATGTTTTTTCAAGTGTCAATTTAATTAGTTTTAATTTATAATTTTTCGACTTATCAAGATTTTTTTTTTTTAATTCCTCACTAGATTCTTTTATGCATCTTAAAAATATCCTTCGAAAATTATAAGAAATCCATTTCGAAACATTCGGTCCACCATGGCCATCAAAAACACCATAAATAGAAATATCCTCCTCTATCTCATTCAGTTTTAGGTTATTATAACAAATATGGCTATCTTCCATATTCTTCCTCCATCCTTGCATACATGACAGTCCATATCTGCTAGGATCCAACTCTAAATTTCCTCCGTCAAGGGATTCCTTATTTGTTTTAGGTGCCGACAAATATGCTCCCATCTGTTAAAAATAAGCATGGTAAGAATGGACATGAGTAAAAACAGTTTTAAATCAATGTACTCGAAGAGTTATTGGTTACTCTTTTTCAAGTGCACATCAAATGATTGTGTATATATGTATATATAGCATATTTTCTAAGCGTTTGTCTAATCACACTTTGCACTTGCAATCATACGCACACAAGCTTATCAATGTGTGTTCGCGTATGCATTTATATTTTAAATGTAGGTTGCACTGAATTGTCATACTAAGCATATAATATAAATTGAAGCTCCCCATTAAGACAGTGATTTACTTTCTTATTATTTTCCCTCGCTCTTATATATGTACTTAAGTTGTTCTTACGTATACTGATATAGTACTTCATATCTTATATATATATATATATATATATATATATATATATATATATATGTGTGTGTGTATTTTCTTATGATATAATTTGACAGCGTATTTATGTGTTGCCATTTCCTTTTTACTTTGTTCACCGGCTATTTTTATCATATTTTGCATTCTAATTGTTTCATTTTTTTCTTTTTTTTTTTCTTTTTACCTTTATGGCTTTCCCCTACGGCTTCAAAAATATGCAGGTGACATTTATTGTTCTTTTGTCAAAAGTTGTTATTGTATAATTTTTGGTATAATGTGAGAGCAATATACTCAATGTTTGAAAAACAAAAAATTGTTACCTCTTTTTTTTTTTTTTTTCCTTTTTATACAAGTTATATCCTTTTTCTTTTGGGAGAAGTAAAAAAAAAAAAAAAAAAAAACAGTAATTTTTGTTAAAGATAGAGGTATCATCAAATGCAATAATTACAACATGATATTAAAATCAGAGGAAAATGATAAATATACTTTTAAATTATAATCCTCTGGATTGTATATGCATTGAATTCACATCCAGGATTGTTAAGTACTTTTATATACATGCAAAATATATACATGTGCTTATGCGTATGGGCTTAAAAGTATAAATAGAATATTATTTTCAAATGCGGTTTCCATTATGTATTTATACCCGTACATTGTGTACATATATGTTTTTTCGATAAGCATACACGTGCACGATTTTTTAAAAAAAAAAAAATATATAATTTTTAAGCGTGGCACGTTAATTAAGCTCCTTATATGTTGGTATGAGTTTTGCATTGCACAACATATTAATAATTTTGCATAAAGTTACACTTTGAGTTTTTTGTTATGTTTACTAAGTATAATATCTCATTCATGATTTTGAACAATTGGGTTTAAAGGAAATGATAAGATATCGATTAAACCAAATTACGCTAGAAATTTTGTGCCAAATTGTCGAAATTGTATCAAATTGTTCGAAATTGTACCAAGTTGTACCAAATTAAAAGGATGTAATTTTTTCTTTGAGGAAATAACTCACGCAAAATTCATTCTTATGTAGCGCAAGTATACATAGGATTTCTCATAACACTTTTTGTATGAAGGAAAACGTGTGCTCTCACAAATATACTTAAAAATATACCTAAAAATTCTCTTAAAAATGCGCTGAAACATGCACGAAAAAGTACGCTTAAAAATATGCATAATAGTTCTCATAATTATACGCATAATAGTTCGCATAATTATACGCATAATAGTACGCATAATAGTACGCGCAATAATACAGTTAAATACACACTAAATAATACACTTAAATACATGCTTAAAAAATACACTTTAAAGCACTCTTTGTATTGTTCCCTTAAACATGTAAAAAAAAATTATAGTTACGGTACCCTTACAATCATTTTTTGAGAACTTAAGCAATATATTATGATCAGTGTGTATCACAAAAAAAAAGAGAAAAAAAATTCTGCTTAAAACATTACCTCGAAACAGCAATTAACGGAGTAATGAATGTTTTGCCTTGGTTTATTTCTCTTTCTCAAATCTTACATCATTCTTTTTCACAAGGGCTAGCATATGAGCATTAGTATAAACGCATAAATATAAGCTCCACATTTCATTACCCAGAAAGGAGGCATAAGGGTAAATGGTTAGTAAAATACATTTATTTACACGGAGAATATTATTATTATTTTTTTTTAAAAATATTTATGCGTATAAGTAAAATTTTATGAAATCATTTGATTTTCAAATATTTTTCAATTAAGCAGCATTATTTTGAATCAGGTACTTTTTTTTTTTTTTTTTTTTTAATTGTAGGTAATTACAAATGTGTGAGAAACATAGTTCATATAATTACAAACTACACAAAATACATAAAATATCATTTTCACTATTCTTTATATTACATAGATTGGGGTGGTGATGGAATTGGTTAACAAACAATTCTGTAAAAATATGAGATTAACGGTTCGGTAAACCTTCTAGAATTTTCCCTTTTGACAAATGAAAATATATATGAACACAAAATTTGGAAAGTCTCAGGCTTTTTTATTTATTACACAACTAAAAACGCAAGAGTGTACATATTTCTGTGTATGTTAGTATTGCATAACCATTATTTTTTTTCATTTAATATTACTATGATTTACTATTGTCCAAAAACAGACTGTATATGTTTACACATATGTACATATTACACGTATATCAAATGCATGTGTATGATTTCCAGTTTTTATGATACAATGCCACAACCACGCCATATAAAGATAAGGAGTGAAGTGAAAACAACTCATTGTATCATCCTTTAAATAAAAATTTACTACAGAGAATAAAAATATAGAACGAATCTTCATGACATAAAATATTTTGATATACACTACATTTTAAAATATGTTATCATCCCATGTGCGATTTTCAAAATTAGGATAGTTAATACTACTACCTCGACCTATTTTTTAATATCTGAAAAGATAAAATAGAGAATGAGCATATTTTATAAACTTACGTTGTGTTTAAAGCTTTTGTTTTTACCTTATTTTGTTTTTATTTATTTTTTAATTTTGTTTTTATTTATTTTTTTATTTTGTTTTTATTTATTTTTTTATTTTGTTTTTATTTATTTTTTTATTTTGTTTTCATTTTGTTTTATTTTCCGCGTTTTCGCAACCAACGTGCTTCATGATAAAATCTGCTATATAAAAATGAAAAGGGAAGTTACTAAGATTGCTTTTTTTTGACAAAATGAAAAACTGTATTACGTATAAGGATCTTTTCCATGCATGCTTTATTTACCAAATATAATTTTAAAATTCGAAGCAACTTGCTCATTATACCTTTTTATACATGCATTTACCTCCAAAATATGAAGATAATATAATTTCCGCATAATTGTCGCAAGAATTGTTCATGCTACTAGAATGATCGATTCTTTGACATGGTTTATATGACGAAAAACGTTCTGCAATTTGCTCAACTAGTTTACCCATGGTTGTAAGAAAAAACAAGTGAATCAAATATTAAGAAGTCAGATTTAATGGAATTTTTGTTCTGTTTTATTTTTTTTAAATGAGTGAGCAAGCTGAGGACATTATGTAGCAACACGTAACATTCGTAATTACCTTTCAAGGTATTCTTATCAAATATAAGAAAATACAATGTTATTAATACTATAGGAATGATGGAAGCAATATAATTAAGCATTAAAACGTGGATAAAATATTGCACTAGAAATTTGTTTGCGTGTTTATGGTTGGCACAATGATATATACATAAGTCTGCACATATATTTAAGCAATGGAAAATATTCTAACTCTATTGTTGCCACATTTTTCACCTCCAAGATTTTATTTCATCTACGTCTGTTCTTTCTATTTAAAATTTCTAGGTGTAGAATGGATAACCCATAAAATTTGGTAAATTCTATTCCGTATTCCTATTGCTGCATTTGTTGTGAAGGTAGCGTATTCTTAAAAGGAAATTACTAATTTTTTCCTATAAAACCAATCTTCCTATTTTCTTGTTCCATCCGAAAATTAAGATTGGGTATTTCTAAAAATGCTGAAATGTTATAAATTTTTACATTTCACAATTTAAAGGTTTCATTTGTACATTTTAATTTTCGTTGTCAAACACAAAGTGGGGTATAATGAAATTAATACAGGACGCGAATTATGTACGTGGTACAAACCAGTATAACCCTTTTTTCTCCCTTTTTTTTTTGTTCTTTTGTTTTTAATTTTTAAAAATATTTGTATGGAAAACTGCTACCTTTACGCAAATTACTTTCAACAACAATTGTTCAGAATATATTTTCTCCATAAGTACGTATTTATGAGCACATTATGCCTGTGTATATATATGGAAATATTTCCCCTCTATTACCATGTGAAAATACACTCCTCATTTATATACAAAAATTTTAGTTATACTAGTATTATGTTTTCCAATTTTCAGTCTATTTTTTCATACGTATTTTTAAGGAATTGAATAATGCTCACTATGCGACTAAAATAGGGTTAAGATAAGTGGAAAAGAAAGAAAACAACTTTATAAATTAAAAAAAAACTAGTTTATAAATTAAAAAAAAACTAGTTTAAAAATTAAAAAAAAAAAAGTTTAAAAATTAAAAAAAAACTAGTTTAAAAATTAAAAAAAAATTGACTTAAAAAAATATTCCATAAAGAAAAAAAAAAAAAAAAAAGCTAAACAAGTTCCAAGTGTTAAAAAAATAAATAATATATAAAGTTAAAAAGGATTAAAAGTGTGTATACATGTGTATGCTAGTTTCAATCGCTATTGAATTCATAACAAAAATATGTTAAACTTTTCTAAGAATATCAATTTTTTACGTGATAAAAGTTTTTACACACTTGTTTAAATTTTTCGAATATTTTTCCTTTTTGACTTAATTTTTCTTTACCTTTCTTTGTTTCTCACTATTTTATTTTTTATACTATGTCATTCCTAGCATATGTCCACATTACATTCTATTTTTATGTTCATATATATGCATAAGTTTTTTTTCTTAATTTCCCTTTTTCCTTCTAATTAATGTTCCATTTATTAAATTTTTTTTTTTGAATATTTTTCCAAACAGGAATGTACGAATGTACAAATGGCACAAACTTAGATAAAATTTTGTTTAAAATTTTTTGTGTAACCTTTTCCTAGCACACAATGCCTGTTCACACTTTGTATATTCTTAGATTTACAGATAAATGCGGTAAGCAAACTGCCTTTTATTAGTGTGTGTTCTTCCTCTTTTCACGGATTTTAATGTGAATTATTCACTACTTTGTAGCTTTATTTTTTTTTTTTAACTGTCATTAAAGTATGAAGATTTTTTTTTTTTAATATGTTGTTAAAAAGCGCATCGTATATTTCTACCTCTAGATGAATTACTGATGTGTGTATATAAGTCTGTCTGTTTGTATGCCTGTACATATATAATCTTGTATGCCTGTACATATATAATCTTGTATGCCTGTACATATGTAATCTTGTATGCCCGTACATATGTAATCTTGTATGCTAGCTTGTATGCACGCGTGCAAGACTGTGTGTAGTGCTCATTCTATCCTGTATGTACGAATGCATGTGTGTAGTCTTATACCTGAGCACGATGTTGTTGTCCCTTGTCCCACTGTTTTCCCTTTTTAAAAATACAACAGTGCGATAAAAAATTCCCTAAAATATATACATATATACTTCTGCGTATGGAAATATGAGCATTTATGGTATAGGTACAATATATACATGCTATACTTTTCTCTTTTTTCTTTGAGCATTTTCTTCCATTTCTTCCTCTTATATATTTTTTTCTTCTGCACTCCACTGCTGTGCTTCTCTCTCTCTCCCCCCACCCTTTTTTTTTTTTTTTTTTAATCTTCTAAGGGGAAAAAATGTGCACATTTTTACATAAAAAAGAAAATATTCTTATGATAACAAAATTCCGTAAGACCAATTATGCATATATATATAGGAAAAAATGATAGACAGAAAAAAGAGTCACGATAAAATAAATAATGGATATAAAGGAAAATTCTCGGATAAATTATTAACGAATAACGGAAATATGAAGAATCAGAATTTCAACGAAAATAAGCAACAAAATGATTTTACAACAGCTGAAGCTGCATGGATGGAAAAGAAGCAGAAATTATATAAAGACGCAAATAATCAACCATTGTGGGATTTTAGAAAAATACAAATTAATCCAACCGACGTAGATGAATTGGTTAGTTTTCCTACAAATAAAATAACATCCAACAAGTATGGAACTTACTCGTTTCTTTTTAAGAGCATATACGAGCAATTTTTACGCTTACCTAATATTTGGTTTTTGCTTATATCCTTGTTAGAATTTATGCCTGCTCTCCAAAACCTAACTAATTATATGTATTATTCAAAGCATTATTCCATATATTTATTAATATGTTTTATATGTGTATCTATTATCAAAAATGTGTATGAAGATTCTAGAAGATCAAATATAGATTCTCAAATAAATAATAGATTATGTCATATTGTAGATGGTTCTAATAATCAGCTAAAAGCCGTTAGATGGATGGATTTAACTGTTGGTACTATTATTCGCTTGATAGAAAATGAGCAAGTACCTGCTGATATCCTTTTGCTCAGTTGTAATAATAATGAAGGATTAGTATACATTGGAACATCCCTAATAAATGGAGAAACAAATTTAAACAAAAAATGTTGTGTTAAGGAAACTAGAAATGAAACATCTATTTATGGAATCTGTCATATAAAAGGAAGAATCATTTGTGAAAAGCCAAATAGTAATATGGAATCATTTAATGGGTCATTGAAATTAGATGCACATCCGCGTGCTACATCTTTATCCATTAACAATGTTGTTTTTAAAGGATCTTACATAAAAAACACAGATTACATTTTTGGAGTTATTATATACACTGGGATAGACACAAAAATGATGAAAAATATTTTTAAAAATACATACAAATCTGGATATGTTAATAAAGAATTAAATACATATACTATATTTACTCTTCTCTTTTCCCTCATTGTTGTGTTTATATCAGTTTTGTGTAAGTGGACAGAAGATGAAAAATTCAAAAATGGAACTCATTTTTTATTAATAACAGAGAAAGATAGTCTATTTGAATCCATTATCAAGTATATCTTGCTCTATGCAAATATCATCCCAATTAGTATCCTAATAACTATCGATCTAATTTCTATATTACAAAGTATGCTAATAGAAAATGATAACAGAATTAGTACATTCGAAAATGATTTATCCGAATATTCTATCATGGATGAAAATGATGAATATGATACTTTAAGCATTATCAAATCCTGTAATTTTTTTAGAAAATATACATATTTTCTAAACAATTTTAGTAGAAGAAATTTTACAAAAAACAAAATTGCTGCAGCCAACACAGATGCAAATTCTGAAAACAGGAAAAGTTTTATAAGCACATTTGATAAACTAAGGGTTCTCAAAAGTTATTTTCATAATAGAAACAGTTTAATGAGTACAAAAGCGAACTCCAATGCGGTTTATAATAGGAGCTCCATAGCAGAAAGTGATAATATTCAACAGAAAAATGTAGACACTACTTACAACTTTACAAAAGAAAAAAATGTCCTTTTAAAGAAAAATAAATCTATTAATTTTGAAACGAATATATCTAGAAATCATATATCCTACAATAAATACGTGAAGAGTGCTTCATCTGCCATGGTCTCAAACAGGGAATATATAATGCGAGATAAATATTCTGTTAACCTATCAAACAAAGGATTGCAAAGAGCTGTTGGTACCAATTATAGGATTGATGGCAGGACTCCTTACCTTACGGATGATGTTACTGATGGTATTTCCGAAATCGGTCCTTATGCACCCAGTAATTATTCTAATAATAACAAAGGAATTTTGGTAAATAATAAGAACACAACGAAGGATGGAAGAAACATATTTCACACTCTTTTTCCATTTTTACAAAAGGGAAAAAAAGGAATCAAAACAACTTATTCAGCCAAAAAAGTAGATAAGACAAAGAATATCGGCAAATGCTATTTTCCTGATGCCCGATTTGTTTCAAATGATGATGAATATGGATGGGGCATTTGTCTTAATTCAAATATGCATGGTGATTTGGGAAATGTTGATTTCATATTTACTGATAAAACAGGAACATTGACAAACAATAGTATGTCTTTTAACATGTGTTCCATTGGTGGGAGGACATATGGAGAAAGGCGCATGAGCAAAAAGGAAAAAAGTAGAAAGGGAAAAGATGTCAATCAGAATCCGATGTATTTTTACGATAGTGATAACAACGACATAAACAGTGTTTATAACAACAATAGTGTTTATAACAGCCACGGCGATCATGACAACAGCAATCATGGAAATGGCAATAGCTTCTATAAAAAGCGAAAATCCGAAGACGTGTTTGCAAAAAAAATCTCCTTTGCTGCCAACGTCTACAATGAATCGTTTTCTGAATGTGGAAAAGCTCAAGAAAGTAAAAGTAAAAAGAAGAATCGCCATTTTAGCCGTGGGAACACCACATGTGAATATCAGCCGCATTACACTTGTGAAAAGGATAATATACAATCCATAGATCATAATAATTTAGATGAAGAAAGTAATGTGTTTCCAAATTATAAATCTAGTTATTTTTGGCATTATCGATCGAAAAGTGTTAATCGCAAAAATTCTGGCAACTCCTTAAAAAAGTCTTCAACATTGAGAAACTCATCAAGGTTCTCCTCTTCATTATCGTCAATGTCTTCCTCTTGTTCTTCTTCTCTCACATCATCCTCTTGCCTCTCATCTGATTCTTATTCACAATCATCTGCTTACTCTTCTGATATTTCAAATAGCTTCAATTCTTCTTTCATGTATTCATCGTCCAACAACGACAAATATGAAATGAATAACGATTTGGACAACACTAGAAGCTACTCTGAATTGAGGGAAGAAAAAAATGACAAAAATCATCTTCAAGATGAAACTAAAAATGATGATATAGATAAAGACAAATGCAATGATAATGAAAAATACCCTAACCAGTCTAGGTATGGCTTCTACTTTTTTGACAAAAATTATCAAAATTATTTAATGCAACAAAAATGTTGCAGACCAAAAAAATTCAGGATCAATATGAACCCTGAGTCTATTAAATCCAGATGTGATTTCAAGGATAAAAGAATTTATGAAGATTTGAATTCAGACACTTGGAGAGGTTATTATATAGATGAATTTTTTAAATGCATAACACTTTGTCATGCTGTTGTTCCATTTATTCAATTTGATTTTATCAGAAATAAAAATTTATCTCATTACGCTTCACGAAGTTCTAAAGGCGCTTCTCAATATCAGGAAAGATATAATAATACTCCTAAAGGATCCTCAAATGATGTAGTAAAATCGAAAAATGAATCCAATGTTCAAACATCCATAGATTACGACTGCGAGGAGGAGTTGGATGACGAGGATTTAGAGGATAAGGATGGAGGAAGTAAATTAGAAAAGTGCCAAAAAAAGTGGACCTATGAAAACTTGGAAAATGCTAAGGGTAGGACTAGTAGTAATGCTAACCAAACAGTTGTTAATACAAAAAAACGAAGTGAACTAAATTTGTATAATTATAACACTATGAAGAATTTAAAAGGCAAAAATGAAAAGACAAGGAATAATATTAAATTTAAATTCCTTTTCAGTAAGAATTATAGAAAAAATAAAAAAAGTTTTACATCACGAATTAGCTCAGAGACATTCAAAGGGGTAGAAAAAAAACATTCAAATAGATGGAATAGATATTTACATATGAAAAAAAGTAAAAATTTATTATCGAATGAAAAGAATAGTAGAAAGAGTGAGAGTGTATACATCTCCAACAGGATTAGCGTAGTTTCCTTTAAACAAATATCCAAGGAAAAATTGTTAACCTTGAGCAGTAGTTCGAGTATTCAAAATAGCAATGGAAGAAACGGAAGAGGTGGTGGAGGAGAAAAAAAATGTAAAACTAAAACTTGCAATTTAAAAGAAAGAAGTACTGAAGTAACTTCATTTTTTACTGAAAAGGGAGATTTCAATAATGCAACAAATACTAATAACCCATCTTATGATGAAAGAAGGATTTCCAAAAAGCTGGAAGAAAGAAATACAATACATCAATCTTATTTTGATTTGGATAAATGTAGGGATATAAAAATGGGAGATAATTATACATCTGAATCCTATACCTATTGGGATGCTATAAAATATCAGTCTAGTTCTCTTGATGAAGAATGCTTAATATACACATCTAACTACATAGGTTATAGACTAATATTAAGAAACCAAAATACTATGTGTGTCGAAATAGACGGAAATTTACACAAATGGACAATAATTGGAGTAAATGAATTTACAAATAAAAGGGGTAGAATGTCTGTCGTTGTTAAGCCAGAGTATATGCAATCAGGATCTATTCTATATGTGAAGGGTTCCGACACTTCCATTCTATCCTTGCTAAATTTGAAGTATAGCAAATTTTTGGAAAAGAAAAAGAAAAAGAGAAAAAGAAGAAAACAAAATAGTGAAAAACGAACAACAAAAGTAAACCAATCTAACAATGATGGAATAAAACAAAGAAAAGGAGACAAATTATATACGAATAATGAGAAAAGAGACAACGAAGAACAACATAAAAACAATGAGGATTGTGATAACCCTCAATCGGAATTTTGCAATCAATCAGTATGTTACAAAAATGAAAATATGGGCTACAGTTATTCTGAACAGTATGACGCTAATAGTGAGCACCCCGGTGGAGATATAAATGACATTCATCTCTACCCTGAATATAATATGAAAAATTCAAATTGGAAATATATAGAACGGTATAGGCATCTAGAAAAACAACTACGAAAATTTTCAGTAAAAGGGCTAAGAACCATGGTATTTGCATTTAAATATTTAAATGAACACGAAACAGCAAAGTATAAAAAGATGTATGATGATGCTCGCATGTCGATTTATAACAAAGAGGAGAGACTCGAAAAGGTGGCTGAAACTGTAGAAACAGATTTAACCTATTTAGGAATCACAGGGGTTAAAGATAGATTACAAAAAAATGTATCCAAGACAATAGAAATATTAAGCCAATCTGGAATTCGAATATGGATGCTAACAGGCGATAATGTAGAATATTCATTACACATTTCCTTTTTATGCAAATTTTTAAACTCACATACGAAAATATTTCATGCCATGTTAGAAAATACGAATTATAAGAAATTAAAACGAGAAGGAAAAGCATTATATGAATTGTTTCAATTAGAGAAAGAGGATAAAAAACCTCATGAAAAATTATGTTTATTAATAAATGGAAAAAATTTACAGAATTTTTTAAATCATACTGATTTACAAACCCATTTTTTAAACATGGCATGTACTTCAGACGTAGTTATTGCTTGCCGAATAACCGCTAGACAAAAGGCATTCCTAGTTCAACTGATAAAACATAGACTAACACCAACACCTAACACATTAGCTATTGGAGATGGAGCAAATGATATAGCAATGCTTCAAGAAGCAAATATAGGAGTAAGCATTATGACACCTGATTGCATCATATCTGCGGGATATTCAGACTATTGTATAAAAAAGTTTTGTTATCTTAGGAAACTATTGTTAATATATGGATCAAAACATTTATATACTATTAGTATAATTTTATATTGGAATTTTTTTAAAAATATAATTCTCATATTACCTGTTTTTTTTTATCAAGCATATGCATCCTGGAGTTGTGTAAAGATATACCCAGAATTGTTATACACCTTTTTTAACATTTTTTGGATATTTATACCGATAATTTATTATATATTTTTACAACATAATTTAAATTATGACATATTGTATAACATTCCTTTATTTTATGCTCTTAGTAGAAGAAAGTATAATATGAGTATGCTAAAATTCTTTCCATGGGTAATTGAGGCCATTTTTTATTCAGTTATAGTATTTTTTTTTGCATATACAGCACTAAAGGAAAATTCTCATTTGAGTAATGGTGAAGTAGTTACGATCAGTACTTTTGGAAATATTTGTTTTCTAGGCTGTTTTTTAATTTCCATTCTTCGTCTTTTTATGGAAGGATCTCTATGGTCTCCATCCATATTGATCACATGTTTGGGTTTTTGTCTTTTTGTTTTTTTCCCTTCTATTGTGTTTATCTCATTTGCTTACTTGTCTAATGATTACATAAGGGAGGTCTTCAGACAGACCTTTTTGTGGACCCCTCTTTACATTCTTCTAATTCTTTGGTTCACAACTTGTATCATATGTTACATATTTATCAATTTTATAAAAGCTGCTATGTTTCCAGACATCTATAACGTTGTCAACCATTGGTTATTCGAGCAGTATCAGGAAAAGAGAAATAAACACAAGTATGTCTATTTCTTATCGAAGCAGAAAAAATTTTTAAACTTAAAAAAATTCGGAAGAAAAATTAAACATAGATTCAAGAAACTTGTATGTAAGAAATACAAATTTAATTCCTCTACGAATGATTTAAATCGAGAACAAAAATTAAAGGGTAATGTTAAAAATTACTTGAATAAACAGCCAAATATGGATATCTCTTATCTCTCTTCAAAAGCATTCAACAAATCATTGGATTCAAAGTTTGATCATCATGCCTATGAAACAAATGTCGATAGTTTGGATTACAACGACGATACACATTTTGATGAAGAGAAAAGTTATGCAGGTGCTCGAGTTTCATTGTGTGAGCAAACCATTCATGGGATGGAATATTTTAGTCAATCTGAAGATGATGAATATGAGAAGCAGGGTTACCGGGAAGACAGGAGAAACATGATCAATGGGCATAATAAGAATAGTGTAGATAATCCGAACGAACTAGAAATTAAGGAAACACAATATAAACGCCATGAACAAAGCGAGGGAGAAGAAAAAATAAACACATGGAAGCAAGCGAAGGAAATAGGGAAATTCCGATTGAAAGAAAAAAACAAGAGTGAATATGAGACAATGGGTGATGCGCCTAAAAATAGGAAGGGTCAAATTGAGGAATATAAAGCATCAAAAGAGGACCCAAAAAAGGATCCAAAAAAGGACTCAAATAACGAAATGGTGAACAAATTAGGAAAGGGAAATGCTACAAGAGCTGAGAAGGTAGATGTTTTCCAAAAGAAGAGCAAAAAAGAAAATCTTGTTACTTCTAACACAGGAAAAAATGAAATAATGTTTAAAAATATACGTAAGGAAAGCACACATTCGTATAAAGAGCATGGCAACGAAAATAAAGACAAAAAAGACGTCATAATAAAAAATGGTAAAATAAAGAATGTCGAAAGGGACCTATCTAGTAGTAACATAATGGATTACAAAAATGAACCAACATGTAACAGTACAGTGATTAGCGAACATAATGATCAGATGGAAGATTCAGAACTATTATATTCACCTTCAGATGAATATGCAGAATCGTCAGTTTCTCGAATTGATGAATCGTTGATGTCTGAAATGAAGAATTGTTTAAACCCATTAAAAAATACTTTTTTGGTAGATTTGTTACCACAAGGGAAACGATTTCAAATTAATGAAGATCATGTATTCTTCAAAAATAACGAAAAGATGGAACACATTCCTGAACCGTTAGATGTGAATAAGAGAAATTATCACATTATACAAAATAATGCTGAGTTTTATGATAATGAATCTACGTCCGAATTTTCCTATACAAGCACAGATAGTCTGAATGATTACAATGATAAGAAGAAAAAACAAAACGAAAATTCACAAAAAGAAATTGTGAAAGTTAGCAGTTTGATTAACAGATTTACTTTAGCATTTAAAGACATGCAACTGGAATCTGGATTTCAAGTACACAAAAAAAATAAATTTTACAAAATTTTTACCCCATGGTATCGATTTATTTTTATTCTATTAGGTATCTTTTTTTTGTATATTTGGAAGTTAGAATCCTCCTTGAGGAAATATTGGAATGTATCATCAAATGCTTCAACAGATTTGTTTGTACTTATCTTGTCCTTATTACTAGAATTGGTGCTCATTGCTGCAACTGTTACTACTTTTTTACAAAAGATATTTATAGAAAATTTTAACAAAATTATTAGTGCAGTAGTTATAATAATAATAACTCATCATGTAGTTACTTATTCAATTACACATATTGATGGAGTTTTTCAAGCAGTTCTTTTCCCTCTATACACATTCGTTATTTTGAGACTACCTTTTGTTAATGCTGTATTGTGTAATATTATTTTTTTAAGTCTCTTCATTATAAGATTTGAAGGAGATCACTTTTTAGATAAAAAAGGACTAGCTCACTATATCCCTTTATTTATAGGAGTTGATGTATTTGTAGGTTTCGTTGGGTATCGTTTAGAATATAATCAAAGAAAAAATTTCTTATTAGAATATTCCGTTGAATCTTCTAGAAGAAAACAAAGAGAAATATTAAATACTATGCTTCCACCCTTTGTTGTTGATGAAATGATATATTCTGAATTGAATGAAGAAGGAATACCAACGTCGTTAAAAGCAGAAGATATCGAAACTGTTACTGTAATTTTTTGCGACATTTATGAATTTCAAAATATTGTTGCTAGTATTGAACCTACTAGACTTGTGGAAGTGTTAGATAGACTCTTCCTGTGTTTTGATAAATGCACAGAACAATTTAACTGCACCAAAATCGAAACAGTTTTTGAAACTTACCTTGCTGCATGCGGATTGGTGAAGAAAGAAGGAAATGATTCCAAAGAAAATAATGGGCAACAAGACGCACATGATTCTATCGATTTTGCATTATCAATTCTACAAGTCAGTAGTCATATAAAGTACGAAAAGACAAAACATATGTTCAAAGAAAGTAATTCGTATGACAATGGTCTTGGGGATAATATATATGAAAAAAAAAAATCCATGGGAAATACATACAAAGGTGAAACAATTGAATTAGAAGAAGGATTAAATGCAGAAACAGGAATAGGAGTAAACGTTCTCAGTGGAAGCAAAGATACAGAAAGCAGACCGACCAGAATTAGAGTAAAAATAGGAATAAACTCAGGAAGAATTATTGCAGGTGTGGTTGGGTCTAAGAAACCGCAATATGCACTATTTGGTGACACTGTTAATACAGCATCTAGAATGAAAACTACAGGAAAGCCAGATTACATACATATATCAGAAGCTACGTACAATTTGGTTAAAGATGACAAAACATTGATTTATGAAAAGAAGGAAACAGAAATTAAGGGGAAAGGTAATATGACGACATATCTATTAACATCTGTGATTGGATTGAATTATCCATTTTTAGGAGATGCACTAGATGAAAAGAATCATTTCTTATCAGAATTTTATGCTGATAGCAATGAAATAAGTAACAATATAAGTCTAGACCCCAAACAGAATATTTTAGGGTGTTATTCTAATCAAATTAATCAAAATAATGAATACACTATAAATGATACTATATATAATGATGAAAAGAGTTTTAATAATTCAGATAATGACACAAACAAAGATTATGTAAATTTAAAAGATTTATCACTTCATGATTTACCTACTGAACATATAAGAGATGTTAATACCCACTATTACGAGATTATAAAATTGAGAAATTTAAAAATAGGTACAGCTGTTGGGCATCAACTAAAACATAAGGATATTTTCAATATGACATTCTTAAATAATGGTATGAACAATGAAACTACAACAAATTTTAATCCTTACATTGAAAGTAGTAAAGATTTGGATGACATAAAAGAGTTAGATGTCAAGATGAATAAACTTTCTCTAAGTGACTCCTTATATTATTTAAATGAAAACTTAATAAAAAAAGATCAAGAAAATGATAATCATCACCCCATAAAATCTGATACTCAAGAGTTAACTGAACATCATAGTAAACAGCATATGAGGAACACCATGATGCAATTCAACAAAGAATTTCAAAACAGTAATGAAGATGATTATAAGAATATCGAACTATGTACTAGTAAGTGTAATAGCTGTGGTGATAATTATTGTATTCCAAATAATTGTATCAATTATGATCATGTGAATCATGTGTCATATCATAAAATGTTAAGTAATATAAGGAAGAATTATCTTAAAAATATAAGAAACGATGCAAAAAAGGATGTTGATAGAAATGAAGAACAGGGTGGAATAGGCCTTAAAAGAAATTTATTATCCCCTTCAAATATTTTTTCATACTGTTCAAAGATTTTTACCTTCTTTGGAAGAAAAAAGAAAAGAGAAAGACAAGAATGTTACAGTAAGAGTCGCAAAGTGGACAACTATAGAACGGAACAACAAGTAGACGAGAAGGAGACAAAATCAAAAAGTGTTATGTCACTAAACAGGGAATGGATTTTTCTGAAATTTAGTGACAAAAATTTAGAGGCAAAATATAGAGCACATTTTTATAGTAACAAATCGAATATTAATTCAATAGAACAAGCTTTAATTATTTTCTTGGTTACTTTTGTTATGCAGACGTTAATTTCTAGTACTGTTTCCATTGTATTTGTTGATCACAAGCTAGCTACTCAGACATTAGAAGTAAACTATTTTGCTTATTGGTCTGTGCGGTCTTTATATACCTATTTTGGTTTTATTCTTTGGCTACTTTTTCATTATAGAACTAGACCTGAAGTTTCTTCCTTATTGAATGTAAAATGGATGATATTTTTTTTAAATTTATTATTTATATCTGCTGCATGCATCTTTTCCATTGCATATTTATGGGCTATTTCAGAGAGGGATCAAACAACTTCTTACACGATTTGGATGACAAATGATACAATTGAATTTTTTTTTTACCTTGTTATATTACACCATAATACAGGAATGCTATTTCAGACATGTATATTAGTTGATCTGTTATTCATCACAATGTCCCTAACATTTATATCAACAAGCGTAGTAAAAACGTTAACAACTGATTCTACAATTATGCTTATCCCATGGTATGTAACATTTAACTTAATATCTACCTACTGTAAAGAATCTATAGATAGAAGAACATTTTATGCTAATGAAAGTGCAAAGAAGACAGAAAACAGAGCAACAGAATTGCTTAATGATATGCTTCCAAAAAATGTATTAGATGAATTTCAACAAGATAGATTGAAATTAGCATATACACATGATAGATTAACTTTTCTCTTTGCTGATATTTGTGGTTTTACTTCATGGGCAAACGGAGTAGATGCATCTGAAGTTTTAACATTATTACAAAAATTGTTTGCAAAATTTGATAATGATAGTACCAAATATGGGCTATACAAATTGTGTACTATTGGTGATGCATATGTAGCTATAAGTGAACCTGTCACAGAAGATAATCAAGACTATGATCCAGTTGATGGAACCGAAAGGGTATTGGAAATGGCATATTCAATGATTAGAATTATAAAAGAAATAAGAGAAAAATTATCTATTCCTAATCTAAATATGAGAATTGGATTACATTATGGTTCATGTGTCGGAGGTGTTATTGGGTCTGGTCGACTCCGATATGATTTATGGGGAATTGATGTGCTTACCGGGAATCTCATGGAAAGCAATGGAATACCTGGAAAAATTAACGTTTCTGAAACTTTGAAAAATTTTCTATTGCAACAATTTAAAAATAGATTTATATTTAAGCCACATACCACAGTTCGAGTAATTTACAAGGATGTCAAATCTTTTATCATAACTGATAAAAAAGAAATCGATGCTTCTAATAACTCCCAAAACTTACATAATAGAGGATATTTACTTAACCGAAAAATTAAAAGACCAAACCATTTAGATGCTAACCTACTATTTGGAGGCAGAAAACGAAGTAGTTTCAATTCATCAATGTGTAATTCTAACTCTTTTGATAATACACAATCAGCAAAGAAAGATTTGTATTACATCAATATGAATGATGCAGAATCGAATTTTTAGCTCAACACAGTGAAGAACTTCTCCATCCAATTAACAACCTCCCTAATCCAACTTTACGTGAAGAAAAATTTTTATTTTGTTAAAATACATTGGACCTGGTCAATATTTGGTAACCCCTAACGGTTATATCTTTTCTTCCACATTGACAAACTTTAAAGGTATGTACCCGGCACAAATTTTGATGAAAATCGTCTTATTAACGATGCCAGGAGTTATTTGGGGTCTAGTTCGGGTTTTCTAAAAGTATACATACATATGTATATGTATATAACCTACGTCTTCATATTACATATCCCTACGCATTCCCTTAACGCGTATTATAAATACTTCACAAATATTTAGCTTTATATAATTAACTCAAATTGTATTTTTTTTTTTTTTTTTTTTTTTTCCCCCACACATTTTGCACGTTTCATTTTCCCTTTTCAGTACTTTATGTATTATTTATTATTCACTATTTCTTGCTACATTTTGATGCTTCCCCATTTTTAATTTTTTTTTTTTTTTTTTTCATTTTTTTATACAGAGTTTATTTCCCCTCAGAAATGCATTTATGCGAACATGGAGTTAAACTTTTCTTGAGTACTCTCTCTCCATCGTTTATTATTTTGAACCAGCTTCTATAAGAGGATTTTTCGTCACCCATCTGTTGTACACTTGTCTCTCTGTTTTTTTTTTTTTTTTTTTTTTTTTTTTTTTCACGCTTGTTTTTCTTGATCTTTGACAATAATACACATCCTACATACACGTATGTACATATACATGTGTAGCATGTACCTATTGCATAGGCAAAATTACATGAAACACAAGAGAATAATGTCCTCCTAATTTTTACGTTATCTTTCACAAAAATTGCACATTATTGATTTTTACTACCTTGACTGGATGAATATATTCACACATATTCTTTTAAATGCTTTTAATATAATTTATTTCTTTAAAAGACTCATTTTGTCCTTGCGATTTTTAACGAAATGAGTAAAAAAATTGAAAATTTGAAAGTTCTAAAATTGGCTGAACGCCTTGTGTCACTAAAACAGGATGAAATTGGTACAGAAAAAAAAAAAAAAAAAAAAGAAAAGTATCAACTCATAGAATGAAAAGGGAAAAAAATAAAATTAATTTATGTATTCCTACGTATGCCTACATTATCGTTCATCCAATACCAAACTTGTAAAGAGTATTTTTTTTTCACGTAAACCTTGCATCGTAGGAAAAATCAGTGGAAACCAGAGAGTGTTTCTTTTACGTTTTTTCACACTTTTCCACGTTAGTTACCCAATAATCACGTTTTATTCGTGTACTACTCATATTGTACTTTTTCTTTTACCTGTCCATGTGCACACACGCACGCCTAAACCAATTAGATGACTTTGCACACTTATTTAAAGAAAGAATAGCAGCAAAACCCAAATTCTCAAAAAAGTCATTTCATGAGATTGAAGCAGCACAAGTGCACACGAAGCGATTTCCAAATCCGGGGAACTTCAATCATCAGAGAAAAAATATAATTTTTAATTTTTATTTTAATTTATTTCAGACCATACGAAATACCCTTTTTTTGGTAAGAAATGTGTAGCCCAAATAAGTTCTATGAAATGCTTTTCCAGGCGTCCATGTTTTATTTTAAAACGTTTCTACATGTACATATACACGAATATGTATATGCACAAGCGTAAATATATTAATAAATACGTGTTTTTATTCTTTTTATCACCTCCCATCACCACCCGCTAGATCAGTAAAAAGTAAAAGTGATGTGTGTCCGACAACTACTTAACAAAGTTTCCAACAGTAACATTACTAAATCATTCATTAGTAGCCTCTCAGGGACATTAGCATCTGTCTTTTTTAAAAAGGCATCAGATATATCTATTTTTAGAAATAGTTCTGTTACAATAAATATAAAATGGATTATCGAAATTAGCCTAAGAATAATTTACTTTTTTCTATTTCTTATTTTTAACATGCTGATGATTAAATATTACATCTTATTAATGAATCATTACTCAGCTTTTATTGCAACTGTCCTGAATTTTTTTTTAAGCTTTTTTTTAAGTGCTATAATGGGTACACTTTTTTTTAATGAAAAAAGGAATTACTATTGGATATTAGGAGGAATTCTTATTATTATTGGTTTGATACTCATTATGACCGATACTGCAAATGAAGAAAAGAAAAAAGGGTAAACAAAATTATACCAATCTTGTTTTATTACGCATGAAACTATAATATAAAAGAATATCATTCAAATAATTAACTTTTGAGTTATTATTTTTTTTTTTTTTTTTTTTTAATTTTTAATTTCTATTTTGTATTTGTTTATTTATACAAAAAGTAGTATATAATTTGAACTTTTCAATTTCGTACAAATTGCATAATATGTTTGATAAAATCTGCATTCTTGGAAATACTTTTCTCCAAACAAATTAAAAATAGTGATAAAAAAAAAAAAAAAAAAGGTAAAAGACATCCAAAGTTATGTTTCAAATCATGCAAATAATCAAAAATTGTAGAAAATGCTTAAAAGCGGAAAAAAAAAAAAAAAAAAAAAAAAAAAAAAATTTCAAAAAAAAAAAAAAAAAAAAAAAAAAAAAAAAAAAAAAAAAATTATTTTAAAAAAAAAAAAAAAAAAAAAAAAAAAAAAAAAATTTAAAAAAGAATAAAAAAAAAAAAAAAAAAAAAAAAAAAACACACATTTCTAAATACATTATAAGCAAAACACGATGTCATGCACGAAAACAATTATTTTGAGAAAAAAAAAAAAAAAAAAATTTAAACAATATTTCTATTATCCTGTAATTGTCTGTCTATATTTGCCATGAGTAAGACATACACAACAATGCTAACTATAGCAACAACTAAATGAAGGAAAACTACGAAAGCATTTGATGAAAAAAAAAATATAGCTTTGTAACAATTACAGTCAGGCATGCCTGTAATATTCGTAAACACTATATCAATAATTGTACACAATACATATATACCGTAACAACTGGAACCAACATCAATAATTGCCATAACTGCTGAAATGATTGCAACTATAGCCCATTCATTTTCCGTTCCCCATTCTCTACAACTAATAACAGAGTAGTACGGGGCCATGAAGTTTGATGCCCCTTGAGGATGTAAAAAAGGTGCAAATGGGGAGAAAAAAAAAGAAAGAAAATTACTTTAAATTCGTTATTATTTATGATAATCATGGTTAAAAAAAAAAAAAAAAAAAAAAAGACAAACTGACGAGGCGAAAAAATGGCAAAATGACAAAATAACAGCAGCAGTGGAGGGAAAAAACTAGAAGTTTCAAATTTTATTCTATTGAATTTTTGGAAACACTATGATACAGGATGTAGATTATCACTACATGGTTATAAAGTGAAAATAAGTCAAGACAATATATGCTTACCTATGGATAAGGAAAATTTGAACAGAGAGTCAATTAAAGGTGAACAATGTAAATCCGATACTTTAGGATATAAAAATACTCCATATGAGAAAACGGATAAAAATATGTATAGTATCATTAAAATGATTAACCATTTTCGAATAGGATTGTAGATGAGTGGAGCCGTTCCACCGCTTCTTAGGGGGCGACCACATATGTAATTCAGGATTTTCATTTTAAACAAGAAAAGAAAGAAAAGAAAAATATTCAAGAAAATTTCCTTTTTCCTCGTTTTGTTTTTCTAAAAAGATGAAAAAGTTAGTACATATGCTTGGATACCCCTATATAACAGCGATATTGCTAAGATATGCCTTTTTTATTTTTAAAAAACATAAACAGGTTTATGCCAACATGTGTACAACTAAAAAATGAATTTTACAAATTCTTCGTTAAAAAGAAGAAAAAAAAAAAAAAAAAAAAATACATATATATATATATATATATATACATAGATTATACGGAGAAAATAACAAACGAAAGGAGGACAACTCAAAAAAAGGAAAGTGAAAAATCCAAGTTTCAAAAAAGTACAATGTGCACATGCTCGAGCATATATCCCAAAATATATATATATGTCATTTTACCATGCACAATTAAGGGTCCTCATGATTTATCTGTTTTTTTTTTTTTTTGTCTTTTTCCGCTTAATCCAAAAGGGTGATGTGGGTTAGAAATCCTAGCATTTTTTTTTTTTTTTTATTAAAAATGGAAAGCGCATTTAACTGTTCCTATAAGTATTCGGGGTGCAAAAGAAAATGGCAATACCTACTATCACAATTTTTAGTACTACAATTAAAACCAATTGTAAAAATGTTTCAATTCTTGATGTGCATGCATTTTCCCTCATCATGATAAAGTGGTAGGGTTAACTACACATACTCCCCCTATCCCCAGATGCGACAATTGGACACGCACTGGGTATATAAGAGCAGGGAACTTCTTCCTGCTGCACATTGCAGGAATATACATGTCAGTATATATAAGCACAGTCATCAGTATGTATAGGTACATATATCTACATAACACAATCGTAGAACTATAAGGAAATGTGTCTTCATTCCACCTCAGCCTCCATGCAACGTTGATAAGAAGCATAATTTGTCGTCATCTTTAATCTTATATTCATATGTATTCATAATTTCCCAGTCATATTCATTAATTAAAACTATTATACCAGGTTTTATTTTTGCCTTCTCATTTAAGTTATAGTTATCACGTTCTACTTTGTCAAGTAGTACTTTGCAAAAATCGGCACCGTCACTTACAACATAATCTGCAAATACATCCTTTCTTTCAACAAGTATGTGGTTTCTTATGTAGGCAGCTAAATTTTCAAAAGAAAATTTCTCTGACTCAATTTCTAATGTCACATAATTTTTTTCCTTATTTTCCAAATAGCTTTCTAGGCCACCCAAAAATTTTAATTCTACTTTTCTTTTCATAATGTATAGTTTATTTCTTGTTCATCTAAATAAGGAATTTTTTTTTTTTTTTTTTTTTTTTTGTGCAAACGTGAGATTGGTTGATTAAATTTATTTTTCACATTTAACAGGCAGATTCAAAAGGTAAAGTGAAGGTATATTTTATTCATTTTTTTTTTCTTTTTTGCTATATTTTCTAAATTTATTTTCTATCCATACACCTATATATATATACTTTTTTTTTTTTTTTTTTTTTAATTCTTTTCAACTTGGCAAGTATAAGGGCACAAAAGAATAAATTTTTTCTAAAATTTTTTGTTTTTTTTTTTTACACCCATGTGAGGCAACAACAGGTTTATTTTATTTTCATGCTTGTGAATTTATTTCTCATAGTTTAAAAAACAATTTGACCTTTCCCTTTTTTGCCTATGCATTTCTTAGGTATAATTTTTGTGCGAAGCTGGTACTCATCAAATGTTGCAATTTTTCTATGTGACATGAACGCTGAACCTATGTGCTTGCATAAATTGCTAACTCGCATCATATGAACATACAGGTTAACTCATTATAGAAAAAGAAATGAAACGGGGAGAGGGACGAACGAAAAAACGAAAAAGAATTAGTCTCATCCATGAATTGTCACACATGTTGCATGAAAACTGGTAAACATTGATCTCACTGCATATTCATGCCAAGGATTACGCGCATTTTTTGTGCTACACTTAGATGCGACATTTGGATTTGCATTTTTATGTTACATTTTTATATTCGTGAGTTCCTTTTGGTCTCTTAAAATTGAAAAAAAAAAAAAAAATTCCTTAAAAATTTAGAGAAAGCAAAAATAAAGGTGAAATACGCATGGTTCTCCTCCCTCCATATGTGAAGAACATATGATCATTACAAATGTGCATTGCTGCACGCATTACATACACAAATTACACACACGCCTTATATGAACGCGTTGCGTATGTGCATCTGGTGTAGGAGTATAAAATAGAGCACAAAAAAAAAAAAAAAAAAAAAAAAAATGTAGCAAAGAATTATGACTGTAAGACAAAATATATTAGAAAAGGGGCAATTTTTGATCCGTTTGGAAAAATATAAAATTGTTCTAAATTTTTCCTGTTAACCCAGAATGCCTTTTTTTTTTAAGGCTTCCCTGAAACTACTTAAGTTTTTGCGTGTTTCAGACTGAAATTGGTGATTTTCTTCATTATGATTATAAGCTAATATGCTTGAAGCAAAACTAGGAGTTGGGATTAATTTATTATTTAAACCATTATTTCCAATATTTGAATAATTATTTAAATGGTTTTCTTTTAACACATTATCGAACTTAAATGTATTAAGTGGAAAATTGCTCAAATTTGAAAAATTAATATTATCCATGTTGCTATTTAAATCGACATTTATTTTTCTATATTCGTCATTATTCTGTTCTTCCAAAGGAATGTAAATATCTTTTTCTATTTTATCACAATTTGAATAAAGCCTAGTTAGTAAAATATTTTTCTCATTATTTGTTTGTATGACATTGTCATATACTTTGTCTCCCGTGACAAAATAATTATTCGTATGAACATTATTTGATGTGCTTATATTTTTCAAATGCTGATCATTTATATATTTCCCCATATAATCATCTTTTTCTTGTTCATTATTGCTATGAAATCCTTTCATCATATTTTGCCTTGTACAGCTCACATCATCCGTTCGAGATGTACAAGATTGATCATTCATTTCCTTATACTTACAATTTGAGTCTAAATTGATAGAGACAGAACTATTTTTAATAATAGGTTCTCCATCATAGCAATTGGATTTATTATTTTCAATGTTAACTTTGTTTGCGTTATTTTCATCAAACATTTTAGAATTTTTATTATTCATTTTGTTACTATTGGTAGAATTGTTCTTATTAGGAATAATTCCGCTGATGCTATTATTCATTTTTTCCTCCTTGGATAATTTTTCAGTTATATTGTTAACGTTGAATGGAATGAGAGATTTCATATCCTGAAGAACTTTATCAGCATACGTTGACATATCTCTCAGCCCGTTTTTTTTATTTGCAGAATAGTTAAATATCTTTGTTTTCATCTTAGGTTTCATAGAGCCTGTACTATCCGTCAAATCATTTTTCGTTTCATTTTTTTTAACATCCACCGATTTAGATCTCTTTACATTTTTTTCAATATCACTCTTTTTCTTATCTAGAAAATCCTCTCTTACTACCTGTTTCGTTTTCTTATGATTCTCTTTGCAGATATTATCTCCTTGCTGTGGCTGATTATTCCCTGCTTTGGGATAGCAAGAAGGAAGGTCTAGCTTCTTTTTTTGACCTAACTGATCTGTATCATTCATAACTAAGTTCATTGTTGCACTTTTACCTATGCCAACTGGAATCTCTTCATCATTGCAAACATTATTATTGTCCTTTGGCTGAAATGATATTGGACTAACAGAAGTGTTATCTAAAGGACTTTCCATGTTTCTCTTTATGAGGTTATTTCGATCCAGCTGGTTGTAATTTAAAAGTGTATTATCAGAAAATGGGGAATTTACATCCGGTTTCAAAGAGTTAATGTTGAACAAGTAGGAACTATTCAGCTTGTCGATTTCGAAAATAGTGTTGTTCTGATTAGATTGAATATTCTCATAATTGTTGAAACGAATGTTTTCATATTTATTCGATTGTTCTAACATATCGTAGTTATTATTATAATTTGTGTTTCTTTGAATTCTGGAATTTAATGCAAAGGAGGAAGGAGTGTAAAAATCATATGTAATGACATTATCCAATCCTTGATAATTATTATTTACTGTATTTTTATCCCACCAATTATTGACATTTTCGATATTATTATTGTTTGCATAATCTGTAATTGTAACCACTTCACTTCCTATTCCATTAATATCTTTCCTCACGCTTATATTAAAATCGGTATTATTCATTTCCACTTTTTTTATGTTTTTCTTCATCTCTACATTGCTATTCCTAATGTTCATCGCTTCCTTCACAAATGCATTCAGGTTACTATTCCTCAAAGGGTTAACATTCATATAAGCGTTATGACTTAATTCATGAATTTTATTTCTATTCCTGCTTTCGTAAAGCTCCATATTGTCTAAATAGCTACTTTCAAAATTATTCATGTATAATTCTTCCCCTACCACATTGTTAAAATTTAAATCAGATGCCCCAGTTTGTTGTGTATCATTGAAGTTTGGGTTTACATATGCAGCATTGTTGAGGGTCTTTCCATTCAACGTCAAATTTTTAGACAACATACCATTGTATAGATGGTTTTCCTTACCTACCAATGTCGTGTCCTTTTGGAACGGAAATAATTTATTGTCATTCTCCTTATGGACAATGTGCCTTCCTGCTTCTGCGTCCTTTAGAAGATACATATCATCAGGGACATTCACACTTTCTATACCAATTTTTCGCAAACCAGAATCCATCGAAATACCACCAATATTTTTGTTTACACGTGCATGTGTGTCCCTTCCACTTATGCATGCATCTGAACTGTCAATTCCGTGCGTGGAATGAGATTTCCCCTTGTGATTTTTTAAAATGTTTTGTGATTCCTCATTTTTCTTATAATTATCTATCATCTCAAAAGTATCATTTAAAGTTTCAGAAGATAAGGACATAGAATCACTACTTAAAATGATAGTTGTATCTTGTCGTTTATTATTTAAACTATCCTTTGAACCATTGGATTTTTTTTTTATTTTTGTTATTTCAAAATTTAATATATCTTTTGGGATGTTTTTGTTATTTAGTTCATCTTTTATTTTGTTCTTAACCAGATTCGAAATATTATTAACTAGTAAATGTAGTTTTTCTTTACTTTTCGCCTTTTGTGCGACTTCTTCCTTTGTACATTTTTTTTCAATCAGAAAATTATGCAAATTTCTCTTTCTGTTCGTGTTCATATCTTCATCCATTCTATTCTTAGTTTTCCTCTTCAACATCTTCGCACTTTTTGAGGACCCATTTTTCAACCCATTCCTAGAACCTATTTTCTGGTTATCCTTTTGACTACTTCTGGAACAAGTGTCTGTTTCCTCATCTGCTAGAAGTGTGTTTTGTAGTTTCCTATAAGGGAACACATTATTATTGTTAATGTCAATTATCCACGCTTGTGATTTTTTGCTTTTATTGCTTATGTTGTTTTCTTTTGATTCGGTTCTCTGTCCATCGTTTTTGCTTGCAATACTCATTTCATAACCTTGCGAAATGGCACAAGTGTTTTCATATTTATTGTTTTCATGTAATATGTTTTTATTTTCATACCAATTGTTTTCTAACGCATGAATATTATTCTTCACCAATTCATTATTTTGTGATGAAATTATATCCTTTTGTAACATTTGCATTTTATTAATATTTTTTCCATTTCTTGATTTGTTAATATTTTCTGTATATTGACTATCATATTTTGCATCTTCTTGCTGCATTTTTTCCATGTTCTCCTTCGCATAACATTTAACCTGTTGTGGATAACCCTCAAAATTGAAGTTTCCTATTTCCTCAGCTTTTCTTTTATCGTTTATTTTGTGATCGAAACTGTTTCTCAAATAGTCTACATTCTTCTTCACCATATCATTTGTAGCATTTCTAATATGCATACGATGTGAATCATTTGTTCTATTTGTGCTGCTTAAGTAGTTATTATTCACGCTATAAGTATTGTTAATGCTATAAGACTCAGCATTATCCTTAAAATTTTTTTCATTGTGATTCTTCTTTTTCCTTTCACGCAATTTTTCCTCCACATTCTTTTCATTATTTTGGAACATATCATATATATCCCTTGTAATACTATCGATCTCGAAAATATCATTTATGTAGACATGCTTATTTTCCTTATTATCCATGCTCAGGTTAACATTTGACTTTGCATTAATGGGCGATTCACAAATGAGTGATGCATTACTCAGAGAAAACTTTCCCCCAACATGTTCCGCAACATCGTTAATCTTAAAAACATTGTACGGTTTAACATTATTTTCCTCTTCCACATCTACATTTTTATAATTTCTACTTTCTTTTGTGCGATTTTCATTTAGGTCCTTTTCCATTCCTGCTGAGTTCTTACAATCGTTATTCCTATCTGAACGGTCGGGAATTTCGACGCTTTCATTTTTTTTTTTTTCCTCATCATGTGATATTTCTTCAGATATGCACTTTCCTCTATCTAGTATATTTACACAATTGTGTTGTATATTTCCTCCCTCCTGTTTGTAATTACCTAATCCATCTGACACATTTTGAGCTCCTTGATCAATGCTTCTATGGTGCAGAGAAGGCATGATCTCTTGGCTCAATGGATCCAATGATAAAGATAAATTTTCCCTTTGTATTTTTAAAACATCCTCATCATATTTCCCTTTTAATTGCTCCAAATAAGTAAGACATTTTTCATATTTTTTTCGCCAAGTTTTATTTTCTCTTAATATGTTTTTTATTTTTTTGTTTAACTGAGTTGATTGACTATTAGATGTTTTGAGCAAGTCATTGAGCATGCTGATTTTAGATTTACTTTCTTCTAATTTGATTTTTAATAAGTTAATTTTTTCCATATATACTTTTTCTGTCTCTGTTTGTATGATTTCTATGTCTCTATTGCTGCATCCTGAGTCGCCTTCTTCGTTATTTTTCATCATCATAGAAAATTTCTTTAAGTGGAGATTTTTTTCTTTCAAATCTGCAATTTGTTCATTTAGATCAAAAATTTGCTGCTTCAAAGTATCAATATAATCTTCTAAATATTTTATTCTATTTTCTCTATCCCTTTTTAAATTCTCATTTTCTCTTTCCTGATAATTCGCACGAATAGTATTTTGCTCTATGTTAGGATTATCTAATGTGTTTTTATCACAAACTGGTAAAACCATCATCATATTTTCATGTTTTAACTTGACAATATTTTCACACATATTTGAATTTTCCTTACATAAATGGAAATTGTGTTCATTTAATTTCCCAATGTTATTTTCTAACTTATTTATGTTCTTTTCATACTCATGAATACTAGAATTTTTCATACTTAATAATTTTTTCAGTTGTTCATTTTCCAGCTTTACAGATTCCATCTTTTTAAGATCATCTTTCAAAATATGCAATTGGTTTTGCAGTTGGTTGATCTGTTCCTTTATTTTCTTTTTATCTTTAATTTTCCCTTTATATTGGTCTATTTTTTTGTTTAAGTTTAGGTGCTCAAATTGTTTTTCCTCGTTATTTTCCCTGAATGTGTGTAAGTTCATATGCGATAATTCTTTGTCAGAATTTGTCTTTCTATTGGATCCCCACCGGGCATGAGCAGCATCTGAATTAGCTTCATCTGAACTAGCAACGTCTATTTGAGATTCGAGGGCAATGATTTTAATGTTCTTTTGTTTCAAATCACCCTTCATATTTTCATTTTGTCTAGATAAATTATCCAATTGATCGTGTAATTTTTCAATATGCTTTTCCGTTGCTAAAAATAGGTTGTCCTGACTTAGCTTAATTTTTTCCATTTTTAAGTAATCACATTTTATCCTTTCCTTTTCCACATACAACTTTTCAATCCTTCTTCTTAACCTTTCGTTATGTGATTTAAGTAAATTCATTTCTTTTTCAAAGGATTTCATTGATTCGAATGTTTCCATTGTGATTACACTTTTGTTTTTATTTTTATTATTTTTTTTTTTCACATTGTCATTCTCTACTCGATGAGTACAGTTTCTTCTACTATTATCCATCTCATTTGATTCACCAATTTGTTTGTATTCGTTTCTATCTTGCAACATCAGTATGGCTGCTTCATCATTATTTTCGCTCATGTTTTCATAGCATGATTTAATTTTTTCTAAAATCTTTTCTTTCAGTTCGCTTACCTTTTTTAGTTCATTGTATTCATCTCGGTTTAAATTGTTGCTTCCATCATCATGTGGTAAATCATTTTTTGTTTTCTTTTCTCCTCTCGCTTCAAATTGAGAAATGGATATATTATTTTTATTCACACTTGACGCAATATTGCTATCCCTACTTAAATTTCTAAAAAAAATAGAATCTATACTTGTCTTTTTGCTTATCATTTCATTTTTAACACACAATTTTGTATTAACATCTTTTATATCTGTTTGCATAAAATTGTCTTCCATTTTTATATCTTTATTGTGTGTTTGTACATGTTCATTTTTTAAACTGTTGTTATACGTTTGTGTATTTTGATTATTCATCAGCAAGGGATATCTTTTTTCTGCTTCTTTTTCTTCTGCTGCTACTTCTGCTGCTTCTTCCAGATTTTCTTTATTAGTCACCCCTTCTTTTTCTTTTTCGATTAAGCACATTTCCAATTGTTTCCTCCTGATGTCGTCATCTTCATTCTCAACAAAATATTTGAAAGCCTTATTTAATGAATTCCCATCAATACATTTTAAGTACTTTAAAAAAATATCCATTTTTTTGTTCTTTTCCTTTTCACAAAGTTGTATATTTTCCATTTCATTTACATTAATATGAAAATTATTATTTGCATTGCAGTTTCTAATGGTATCAATCATAATCTGCATATAATCTTTACTATTCATATTTTTACACCCTTCATCATTTTTCTCAAAATATGCATTTATTTTGTCGTAAATGTCGTCCATATTGTTACATGTATCATATGTTTCGTATGTTTTTTTTTCTAAATTATTTTCAGATGAAGTACAAAAAACACTTTTTTCATCTGTCTTATTATCATAAAAAAAGGAATTATCATGTGTTGCTGCACTACTGCTCATATTATTTTCTTCAGTAAATTTTATTTCCCTCAAATCGGGGTTCATATCTAATTTTTTTCGTACTACTGTGGTCCTATTATTTGAATATGACTCCCCCGTTTTATTCAAAATTTTAAATTCATTTGCTTTTTCACTTACATTCACACCAATTGGACTCATTTCATCCTTAGGTTTTACTTTTTTAATATCATTTCTTGGGATATACATTGACCAGTTTCCTTTTTCAAGTTGAACATCGTTACTTTTCTCTTCTCCGATGGAGAACTCCTGACTTGTGTTATCTGAATTATGTTCATTTTTACTATGTTCACTTGAAAATGTGGAATTACTGACATTTTCACTGTTCTCATGGAATGTAGTGTTTGAAGTAAAATCTTTTTTGTTCAAGTAATCATTAGGGTTATCTATCAAACATGTGGGATCATCTTCAATTGGTTTTATCTTTCCATTTGTTGTATTCTTATTTTGTTCACCTTTTTTTCGAATATTTATATGATCTGCATTTTTCCTATCCTTTCTCTTTTGATACTTTTCTACATAATAAGAAATATCCTTTGGTATTTCATAACGATATGATATTTTTCCCTTATTCATGTTTCCCGTTTCTGATTTTTCTAAATCGCCATTATTTCTTGATTTCTCATCCACAGTTTCCTCTTTTTCATTAATTTTCCACCACTCAAAGTTCATTTCTTTTGCAATATATTCATTCGTCAGATCATTGTTTATTTCTTCCTCATAAAATGTATTTTTTCTATTGTCTCTACTTTTATCTTCATCCCTTTCCTTACTTTGTTTCTGTTTAGCCTTTGTTTTTTTCTTGAACAAATTGACTGATTTATCGTTATGCTTCTTTCCAGGGTATTTTTTTTCTTGAACTTTAACCTTTCCTTTGTTTTGTTTACATTTTGTAAAACCTCTCTTGTCCCTTTGAAGATTCACCTCCACGTCTTCCTCCGTTTCTTCCTCCACTTGTGCCTCCATTTCTTCCTCCGTTTCTTCTTCCACTTGTGCCTCCATTTCTTCCTCCGTTTCTTCTTCCACTTGTGCCTCCATTTCTTCCTCCGTTTCTTCTTCCACTTGTGCCTCCATTTCTTCCTCCATTTCTTCCTCCCTTTCTTCCTCCATTTCTTCCTCCCTTTCTTCCTCCCTTTCTTCCTCCACTTGTGCCTCCATTTGTGCCTCCATTTGTGCCTCCATTTCTTCCTCCGATTCTTCCTCTATTTCTTCCTCCTGTACACCTTCTCCTCCCATGTTATCCACGGGTATCTTCTTCAGAAAGGAATTTTTCATTCTTATAGAACTTCCTAAATGCCCGTTCCTCTCTTTGATAATTTTTTCGTTCTTAAAATGGACTTTCTTGCGGTTTATTGAATCATGGTCATATGTGTCTGATGTGCTATTCTCAGAAGACAAAGTAGAGTTCTTGTCTATATTATTCGAAACACTTTCCAATATTTGTTTGTTTGTTTTTCTTTTCAATTTACTGACATTTTGATTGTTCCTATGATTAGCTTCACTCGAATTGTGGGAGAATTTCCTATGGGAGGAATTATCATTTGTCCTTTTTCCAGCGTTTCCTATTTTTACCACCTTCGTTAACTTTTCATGTTCCTTTTTCAAAAACTCGATATCCAACTTTTCATCATCCAAATCACAAAAAAAACCATTCTTATCCTTAAATGTTTTGGGCTTCAGAAAGTGTTTAGCCGCCTCATCATCACCTTTATTTTTGGAATTTTTAAAAATGCTTAAGTTATTGTACATGTTATTTTCGAATTCTCTTCTGAAGTTATAGTTCAGGTGGTTTGACATGGACATATCTCCATTTGAAAAATTTTCAAATGATTCCCTACCAGTTAGTCCTTTTATTTCACCATTTGCTGTTTTAAATGGGTCAAAATTTTTAGAGCCATTAACCTTTTTCATGAGTTCATTTTCCCATTTACCTTCTCTTTCATAGCCTTTCGCTTCGTTCATTTTTCTCACGAATTCTATGTCTCCCTCTTCATCTTCTGCTTCTTCCGTTTCATATGGCTCATATGACTCTCCTTTGTTACGACAGTGTTTCTCATTTCCTTCATCTTTATCCACTTCATTTTCATCCTCTGATGTGTTACCAAATCTTGGGGACTCCGCTTCACTGTTCCATTGCTCATCCTTACTATACTCATAATCTGAATATGAATTTTTTGTTGTCTTTTCAATATCGTAAATACTTTTCCACACTGGTTTTTCTAATTTTTCTTTTTTATAATTTTTCAAGTTACTATCACATGCATAATATGGAATTTCCTTAATTGATGCTACTCCTTCCGATTCGGAATCGCTGTATCCAATTTTGCAAGAAACATCTGAGTGAGTTTCATAATCCTTTAATTCAGTTTTGTTGCAATTTGTGTAATACTCGAATTCGTAATTTTTGTTCATTTTTTTATGTTTCAATTGATATTTCTACAAAATTAACAGATGCTCACATAGGTTTTAAGAGTACATTAAAAAAAAAAAAAAAAAAAGGAAAAATACAAATCTCTGCTTAAGTGTGCATGAATACTTATTCCATTGGGTATATTATAGAGTACCTCCCCTTACTTTTGAAATGTTAAAAATAGAATAAATCTCGGTATGTAAAAATATTACTTGGGTAGCAAGAAGACTGGGTATGAAAACGCTCCCAAATAAAAATCAATAGTGTGGTGTTTATCTATGAGAGGACTTTCTCCTAATTCATCTCAAATGAAATCATAATTCAAAAAGTTACAAACTTAAATAGGTATGTTGCTAGACATACACACATTTATACACTGATACTTATTTACATGAACATTTATGTATATACTTACATGAATATATATGCATATAAATATGAGAACATAAAGCGGTAAAAATGGACCATGGTTGAAACAGGACCCATCCTGTAAAAAATTACAAACTGGAAAAATTCAAATACGAAGGGAAAAAATTATAAAACAAATGCGTCTGCACAAAGCATGCATATTTCTACTTAATGTAGCAAATTTTATACATTCCCCTAAAAAAGGTATAAATAAATATTCACATTCTTGCGATTTTATAATGTAAATGTCCAAAAAAAAAAAAAAATAAAATAAATAATAAATAAAAAAAAAAAAATAATAATAATAAATAGAAAAAAACAAAGAATAAATAAAAAAAAAAAAAAAAACAAATAATAAATAAAAAAAAACATTTCCACGATTTCCAAAATAAAACTAATTTGAATTCATTCACTTTTTTTACTTTGTCTAATTTGTTTTGTCAGCATATGCATTCTCAGGAATATGAAAACAATGACGAAACTAAAAATGAAAATAAATAAGTGAATAAATAAATGAATGAATAAATGAATGAATAAATAAATAAATGCAAGAATTTCTTCTTTAATTATTGTGAGGTTTTTTTTTTTTTTTTTTCAAAGTACACAGAATGTGAATTAACCAAATGTCGTAAAAAGCGCAACAAACACGTTCTGGGGAATTTCAAAATTGCACTTTTTGCATTAATATATATACACTAGCATAAGCATACGTTTGCACATAAGCTTGCATACATACATGTTTACACATACACGCATGCATTAAAAACACACCTTTAAAAAGTGTAACAAGGTATCCCCATAATTCACACAACGATCTACTGGTAACAATATTTTTGCCTTTTTTTAGAGTCCAAATGAGTTGTAAAAATATAAATTTTTGCTAAAATAAAAAAAATTTATTTAAAATTTTAAAATGTATTCCCCTTTTCTAATGTATTTCTTTGAAACAAAACTGTCCAAAAGTGATAAATGCGCAACGTATGCTAAAATTGAAAATACTTAAAAAAAAAAAAAAAAAATGCACCATAGAAAAGTATAAAAAATTCAAGAAAAAAAAAAATCTTAAAAAAACTGCAAAAAAAAGCTGCAAAAAAAAACTGCAAAAAAAAACTGAGAAAAAAAAACTGCAAAAAAAAACTGTAAAAAAAAACTACAAAAAAAAAATTGCAAAAATAATTGTAAAGAAAATTTCCACAAAATCGTTGCTGAATTATCATTCAATAATATCACTGAAAAGGCATATATTTTTCTCCCTCTACATTTGCAATCATTTTTTGCAGTTTCTTTTCCGTCCACTTTGTTTTTTTCAAATTTGAAGTATCTCTTGGTAACTTTCCTGTATGCTTTCGTTAAAGTGTGGTTTTTCCGGACGGTAAAATTAGCAAATGGTTGTGGCAAAAAAAAAAAAAAAAAAAAAAAAAAATTAGTATCATTAAATACACATGTACATGAATATAATTTTAAAAATTTTTAGACAAAGAGCTCATTTTGTGAATCCAACGCAATTGCCTTTCGTTAAAATTACGTGTTTTCAACTCCTCTAATAAAGCATTATACTCTTTCATATCATTATTTATGATTAGGTTAGGGCATTCATATTTTTCCATAAAATCCACACATTTGTCCTCTATGGGATTTATAAGTTTCAATCCATCTGCACCTTGAAAATTATTCATCAGATAATTTGCCTTTTCATTAAACTTTATTGCAGTGTCTTTTAAAATGGAAAATAATTTTGTATTCTGCCTTATAACTTCATCATACCTTTTTCTGAAGTTTTTTCAGGGGTTTGAAAAAATGAATGTAAAAGAAAAAAGGGATGTAAGGTGCAAACCGGAAAACGAATATGCTTATGCATGTGTACCCCCACATGTGCATGCAACTTTTTAAGCACAAAAGTGAGAAGTGATTCTTATGTTTTGTTTTATTTTGTTTTGTTTTATTTTGTTTCGTTTTATTTTGTTTTATTTTGTTTTGTTTCGTTTTATTTTATTCTATTTTGTTTTGTTTCGTTTTATTTTATTTTATTTTATTTTATTTTGTTTTATTTTTATTTTTTTTTTTATTTTGTTTTATTTTGTTTTACTCTTTTATTTTATTTTATTTTATTTTGGGGTGCTGCACCATTTGTGCGTTCGGGATGTTTCCTAACTGCTTATCGTTTTAAGCAAAGAGAAAACTCCGCTACTTGCACATGCATATTCGATAATGTATATAAAACATCATAGATTTGTTCTATATAATTACCTCATGTCCTGAGTCTCTCGAAACATTTTCTTCGCGTGATTCATTACTTCGTTTAAATTTTTCGAATATTCTTCTTCTTTCTTTTTTCGGATATCTTGTATGTCATTTTGTGAAATGATGTTATATGTTTTTAACTCTTCTCTTTTATTTTCTTCTACCACTTTCGCCGTCTCTTCATCTTGCTTCGTGTCCCATTTTCCTATAAAATTGTTATTCACTAACGATTCCTGTCGAAATTTTAGTAATGATTCGAATTCCCTATCTAGCACACTATCAACGTATTGGAATTTCTTTGATTGTTCCTCTTGTCTGTTTTTCTCTATGTGGCCATATTTGAAATTGAATTTCTTATGTTTTTCTATTTCATTCTGTATTTCTATATTTTGATCATTGATGTACGATATTTCCTTAAGAATTCGATTTATGTCATTTTTTTGTTGCCTTTCTTCTTCCTCATAATGTTTCATAATTTCGTTTTGCTTTTCCACTATACTTGTAAAACTAGTATGAATTTCTTTCTCTTTTTTTTTGAAAAATTTACAGTTGTGTTGAAATGTTTTATTTAATAACGCAAGTTTGTTCAAATGTTGCTCAGGAAAATTCATGGCTTCCTTTGTCATGATACATTTCGTTTTTTCATCTAAATCAATATTATCGAATAATATATTTTCTATTTTTGCCTGTGTTTCAGATTTTGGTGCCATGTTTTGGTTTTGTAGACTTTTTGAATTTTTGAAACTATCACTATTTTTTCCACTCTCACAATTTTCCCCCAAACTGTAAGTTAATATTTTGGACCTCTTTATACACTTTATGAACATTTTTAAAAATTTCTCCAAAGGAGAGTCGACAGAAGAAAGGAAATTAAAAATAGGTTTGTCCATTTCGTTCACATTACTATCGTCCAATGTATGCAAAGTAACATTCAGATGAATAAGATCAAAATTGCAACAAATTTCGTATATTATTTTTGTCACTTTGTTATAGATTGAAAATCCCAGGGGGGGACTATTTTCCTTATGAGGTTGACTAAGCAAGATGCTGAATTGCGTGAACACGCTATTAAGTTGTTCCAACTTGTCTAGCATAACCATATCACCATCTTCTGTTCCCTTTTCTCCTCTTTCATTTTCCTTATTGTCGTTTTTATAATAAATTTTAACAAAGAAAAATGTGCTCCCTTTCGATTTGTCATTTGTGTTATGTGTCATAAACCTTTGCATAAGCACTTCTCCCTCTTTTGCATTATTAATATGTATACTTATTATTGTACAGAATAAACATTCCTTTCTGTTTAGCTTATGCATTATGACCTTTTCCTGTTTTTCTGCAAAATTGAGAATATCATTTAATTTTTTTGAGTCTGAAAATTCCACCGAGTTTGTCTTTTGAATGAATTTCTTCAATTCACTTTTAGGAGGAATGTTTTTTTTATTAAATCTCTTATTATCAATCTTTCCTTTGACTTTTTTTTCATCACTTTTTAAAGTGCAACTTTTTATTTTTTGATAATATTCTCTATGTTCACAATACTTTTCCAAAAGATCATATGAACTGATTGAATCGAAAAATCCATACTGTAATGAATAATTATTTTGATTATTTTTATTTAATGTTACTTCATTTATTTTTATAAAAAATTTATTTACTAAGTTTTTTATTTGCATATCCCTTTCGTTTCCGCTTGGGATATTTCTTTTGTTCCGCTGCCTGCTATTTTTACATATATGTGAATTTTCCTCATTAGTAAAAAATGAGACAACGCACCCGTTATTGTTTTCTATATAATTATTCAAAAGGTGATGCACTATATCTTTATTTATTTGATTCTCACTCGAACATTCAGGGCATCCAGAACAGTTGGGAAATTCAGTATATTCTCCAAATTCCTCATTCTTATTATCATCACAATGATAGCAGAATTTAAGTTGTCGAAATTGTGTAGAATTCGAATTTACATACTTTTTATAACATTCTTCCAATTCCTTTACCTTTCTGCTTACTTCGCTATGGTTTATAAGGCTTTGTTTAATTCTTATGTATAACATTAATTTACCATGGAACTGGTAAAACACATTACTTACAATTTTCTTCTTTTCATTTGTCATTGTAATACTGCAAAACTCCGGACAACATGCTACTCATGCATGTGTGTGTGTGTGTGTGCATATGATCACCTATGTGTATATGTGCACATGTCTAATCATTAATGCCAAAATATATCTACATGCCGAAAAAAAAGAGATTCATATATTTTGCATGTGTTAGGGCCACTTTCAAAAATAACCTCAAAATGGAAAACGCTAATTTAACTCAGATTCGGTGAAAATTACGTAAGCATGAAAATTTTCGGGGTCTATTATTTTACTCTATTTTATTTCCTCTCTTCCCAACATGATATTTTTGTGCTATGCCCAATTTTGCTTTTAAAAAGGGAAATTTAAGAGTAAACATCTTGGGGGAGAAAAAATTGAAGAAAAATAAGTGAGAAAATGTAAGAAAATGTAAGAAAAAGTAAGAAAATGTAAGAAAATGTAAGAAAATGTAAGAAAAAGTAAGAAAAAGCAAGAAAAAATAAGAAAAAATTAAGAGAAAGGAAGGGGTAATATGGATGGAACTAATAAATGGAAAAATAGGGGTGCAAAAAATGAGAAAAAAAATTTTAAAGGTGCAAATGTTTTAAAGCGCAAAATTGAATGAAAAAAAAAAAAAAAAAAAAATCGAAATACAAATCGAAACAGCTTACCTATAGACAATATTATTCTTATACACCGATTAACACCCCACCCACCCCCAAAAGGTGCATATATATTATGGCAAAACAAATGATATATAATTTTTCACAGTTAATGTTAAGATTTTAAATTGTGTCTCAAAAAGGAAAGACAAGAAAATTTAGTAATTATCGTTCAACTAGGTACAAAATCATGCTTATTTTTTCATTTAAATATTTTTCATTTGTATGAAGTAGATATTTATGCAAAGCATATTTTAATTAATTTAATTGTGATTATACTTGCATTTCTTTTGAACAGTATGTTTTATAATTTTGTGAACGGTAACACATAAGACAATTTGGTTGCATTTTTTTTTTTTTTTTTTTTTTCTCCCTTAGTGTAATCGATTTTCTTAAAAATATACCAATTTAAGAGAATGAAGAAGAACATATACATTCCTTACTTATTTATGATGAATTCAGAATTTACTTAAGTAAGACCTTGAATTTTTTATAAACTCTTTTTCGTAAGACTACGTCATACACTTTATTTTGTATGTAATTCTGTCCATTACCTTTCGACCATTTCTCATTGTGCTTTTCATAAATCTTTATAAAAGTGATTCAATTTTGATTTTTCCTTTTTGCGAGAAAAACATGTGCTTAAACAGCTTAATGTTGCGCTTTTAAGAGAACTTTTTTTTTTTTTTTTTATTTTAGCGCAATTTTGACCCAGATGTTGTCTTAATTGTTATTGTGAGGAATAAGGGAAGGAAAAAAAAAAAAAATTCACTTATAATTATTTATCAACACATTAAAAATTTTGCACATTACAATCTATTTTATTTTATTTCATTTTTTTTTTTTTTTTTTTTTTTTTGTAAACTTCAAACCTTTAAAAGTTGTTAAATGTTCAAATGCACACATTGATAGGTTACCTGAAATGTTTTCCATCCCTATTATGGTCGGACATTTAAAATGAAAGGATTCACATATGTATTACAAGTAACAATATTTTTGATCTTTACAAAAAATGTAAAATAAAGCAGAATAAAATGAAATAAAACAGATTATTTAGCGCATCTTTTTTTTTGTCACTGATAAACTGCAATGAGAAAACGCACTATTCACAATGTTCCATGCAAACACATAAAGACACCAAGTCCAGAAAGGGATCAAGTTAACCAAAATTAAAAAAAAAAAAAAATAAAAAAAAAGAGCCAATTTGGAAAAGGATAAGTTCATCTAAGGAATGAAATGAAGGTAACAATGACTTTTATTCAAGATGGATGTCACGAACATGCACATCTGTTGTTGTTTTAGAGCCTTTTGAGTTATAAAATGCTTTTTGATCTAATCCTTTTCTTCCCATATTAAATCATTGAGAGAGAGAGAGAGAGAGAGAGAGAGAGAGAGAGAAAGAAAAAAAAAAAAAAAAAAAACGCAAAAAGGAGAAAAACAAAAAAAGAAAAATCCATTTTTGCAAGCCCATTTGTACACACAGGTATTTGAAAACGAATTCGTAAAAGAGTGAAAAAAAACAATTACTTGTGTTAAAAGTTAAAAATGCAGTAATAAAAGAACTTAAAAAAATTTCCAAATACGAAATTTTATACATAAACATTAATTTAAAAAAGAACATTGAGAAAGTTTCCTTTTTTTTACGTAATATATATATATATATATATATATATATATACACATATACATAAACCTTTGTATGGGAAAATTTTAACATATTAAAAAAATAGACATCTGGAAAACGTACAAAATGAGTCCTCTAATAGTAGATACCTATGATTGCGTCTATTTAAGTAATTAAACCAAAAAAAAAAAATAATAAAATAATAACTCTGGAGTGTATATCGTATGTATACTCCCACAGCACCAGTACATATATACTTGCACACTCAATTATGGATTATTTTTCCCAATGTGCATATTTCGAAGCACTCTATTCATTGGTGATTATATTTCCACAACTTCACACTTGTACATTCATGCATATGTATATATATATCTGTACATGTACATGCACATATTTTTATTTATTATTTTTTTTTTTAAAGGACCACAAGCAACCAGCACCTATTATTATCCCTTGGGAATGACGTGGAAATATGTGACAAGTTCGAAATCAAGTGGATGTTTTGGTAGTACAAAAAAATATACTTTGACCCCAGAAATATACTACTACCCATATTACTATTATTATGTTTATTACACTCCCGCCGAATTGCCCACTATCACTATATGCGACAAAAAAAAAAGTAAAGATAAGAAAAAAGAAAAAAATGAAAACAAGGAAGAGTCAAAAGACAAACTTTCAAAGGAAGGTAGTGATAGCGAGGAATCATCAAAAAATAGTTCAGGCAAAAAAAAGTATGAATATGTTGATAGAGAAAGGGTGGTGAAGACTTATGTACCTGTAGTAGAACCCTTTTATTACACCAGCAGTTACTACGTTCCACGTGCAATCCTTTTTCCATAGTTCCACATTTTTGTAGAGATGGAGTTCTATGTAAACTTTTACCCTCTACACAACATTTGGGACATATGCTATATATGTTATTTTGTACACAAACTGTGGCACATATAGATATTTTGTTTCCTGAAGCATTCAAATCATAGTTACAACTTGTGTAATATATATATTATTTTGCTTATACGCCAATGAAAAATACAAAATTAAAAAAAAATAGAGAGACACATTTTATATGATCATTTTAACATTTTTTTTTTTTTTCCCCATCCTTTTCTTACCCTCTTTAATTGTTGGATATCATTCTTAATTTTTTCTGTCTTTTATATTTAATATGTTTTGTAGTAACACATTTTTATCCTTTGTATTTTTAAAATAATTTAATTTTACAATATTTTTATGGCGTTCTAATAACACTCCTTTTCTATCCTTATTCTATTCTTTTTTTTTTTTTATTTTTTTTGCTTGAATCGTATATACAAAATATTAAACCAAATAAACGTCCCTTAATTGACCTGCAATGTCACTCGAGTAATATTTAAAAACACACCTGTTTTTACTTTTTGCGGTTTTTTTTTAAAAACAAAAAACATTAATAAAATAAATCAAAAAAATAATGCATAATCGAATGAATGAAAGGATTCCTTCGATGTGAAGCATAATCCTTGTAATGTTACAAAAGAATAAAAAAAAAATAAAAAAAAATAAAAAAAGAAATCATAAGAGTAAATAAAATTACGAGAGGTAAAATATAATGCATACCTTAAAAATTCTGCTATTAAAAACCAAAAAAGGATGACAAGAACCTAATCTAAGATATCCCAAAACAGGTTTCTTTCAACGTAAAGGCGAACGCATTTATGAAAAAAAAAAACTAAGAAAATTCGCCTCAGGATTTGCTAAACATTATTATATGCTGCACATATTTCCTATTTTTATAATATATATACGTTTTTACACACAATTGTGGGAAGTTCTTTCTAAAAAAGTAATCCAAACTTGAGGAATCGGATTGCGTAAAATTGCTATGCTACAATGCACTATTTCATGTGTGTTTTTATAATCTTTTTATTTATTTTCTACAAGTGCGTATTTAAATCAGTACACACCGAATTATATTCTCCCCATAGTCTTTAAAAAAGAAAAAAAAAAAAAAAAAAAATTATTTTTTTGCTCCATGCGATACAATTTATATGTTGTGTAAATTACTCTTCATCCCTGTATCCATAATTATTATAATTTGTTGTAATTTAAATTGTATGTTGTTTTAAACCTTAAATTATCACTCATATACAAGTCTGAACTTTCAATAGGTTGTACTATGTTAGAGGTATTTTTGTGTCCTGTTAAGTGGAACCGAGTTGCCTTTAGATGTTTGTTTAAAAAATCATCTTTTTTAGCCATAAAATTTTCTCGTATTCTTTCTCTTATCACATAAGAAGGGCAAAATGGATCCAATTCTAAATTGTAATTTTTTATTACATTATTGTATTTGTTTGCATTGTAAGCATTTTTATTAGTTAAGACGTGCTCACTTGTGGCTCTTTGCCTAGAATTTTGACTAGGGTTGTATTTTTCCCTTTTTAGGTTTTTAACAAATTCGAAATATGGTTTATTAGTATTTTTAATCCAATTAATCATTGATTTTTCTTCAAGTTGGTAATTTGTCAAGAAATCGTTGACATTGATATATCCCTTTTTTTGTATATCTATATACTTGAGAAATATATTTACATCCGTGTTTGTTATGTTTTTAATTTTTAACTTTTGAAAACTTTTATGTAAATCTTCTTTAGTTATATAACTATCCTTATCAATATCTAGATGTTTGAAAATTTCATAAAGGGATAAGTATGAATTTTCCGAATCAATTTTGTTGCTATTTTTTGAACTTACATAATTTGACTTGAAATTATTTCTGACAGAATAATCTATTTCTTCAATTAAAAATTTGGCTCTTTTAATTTCTTCTTTATTTAATTCGTCTGAGTAAAATTCATCCACTACTTCTGTAGGTGGTATGCTTCTAGAGTAAAAATCGTATGCATCTTTTATGCTTTTGTTTTGACTATGCAGCATTTCATAATCAATATTTAAATTATGTATGAAATGTTCGACTAGTATTTCGTTGTTTTTATTTGATAACAAGGTGGATATATAAGCTTTCATGTTAAATTTTGTTAATCCTTCTTTTTTTTTTTTTGCACATGTCTCCTGTTCCACTTGATCAGTATGATTGCTAGAGCTATTTTTTCCACCAACAGGTTCAATATTCTCCACTCGCTCTTCAATTATTTCCATAATGCACTTTTCCAGTTCATCTATTTTTATTTTTTCCCTTCCTTGAAACAAACTTGTTAACTCCTTTTCTGACATAAGTTCTTTAAAATGTTTAGAAAATTCAGAAGCCTTTAACCTAACATTATCAATATAATTAATTGTCTTTAATTTCACATCTGAGGGATTGAAATTGTACTTTAACATTTTATTTTTTAATTTACTACATACTATTTTGTTCACATAACTATTTTCATCATTCCCGCCTTTGGCATTTATGAAATTTGAAAATTCTTTATAATTTATTATGTCCTTTTCACATTTTAAATTATTTTTCAAAACACACCAAGAATATTTTATTTTGTTATCTGACATACTTGGGAGTATGTATTTAACCATGCTTTTATATTCATCATAGTTAAAATTGTCATCTTCTCTTTCTCCACCTCCTCCTTTGCCCTCTGGTACATTTTTCCTGTCTTTATCTCCTCCACATGTGTTATTTTGCATCTCTTTTTTATGCTTATCATTACGTGTGTCTATTATTTCATTAAACTTATACCTCAGTCTGTTACCTCCCGAATTGTGCACATGGCTTAAATAATTCCATAGTTCGGTTATATCAATTTTTTTTTCAATTTTATCATTTGTATTATCATGCACCGTTAAATTAGTAGCATTTATTTTTTTTTTGCATTTATTTTGTTTAAATTTACAGGGGGTACCTTTAAAATATACACTTTTTTCATCATCCAGAGTTTTAGGTAGATCAACAAATTCTTCGTTTATGTGCTTTTTTTCACTTTTCCCAATTTTAAGAAATTTCTCTTGTTCATTTATATGTCTATTCATCAATTTGTTTGGATACTTGACACAATAGTTTACATTTTTATTATTTTCTCCATTATAATTTAATACAAAAGAATGGTTTCCTTCACTATCCCAATTGTTTTTATGATGTTCCCTTTTACCGATTTCATAATCAGATGCACTAGAATAATGAGACAAATTAAGGTAACAACTTTGTTTATTCGATTTCCCTGTTTTATGGAACCTTTCTTTTTTCTTTGTTGCCATTTATAATATTAACATGTTCGTGTAAAGGAAGGGTAAGCAAATTTTTTTTTTTTTTTTCTTTTTTTGTATATTCTTCCTACTAGAGATATACACATAAGCATGTATAAAGAGGACAATGTATTCACACAAAAGATCGAGTTATACAGAGATAAAAAAAAAAAAAATTTCTACACAAGTAAGAACTGGGTACACAAGCATATATAATTATGCATTCTTTAAATATCAAAAAAATGAATTTTTAAAAAATGAAATTTTAGATATATCTAAAAAAATTATTCTTATCGTTGCATCCCCAAAATGGATGTCTTTTTTTTTTTTTTTTTTTTTTTTTTTTTTTTCTCCTTTTTATTATTCTAATACCGTAATATACTCTATTTCTATTTATTTAAATTGTCGCGATGATTTTTCTTTCGCATAAATGTGTCTTACTGAAATATTCATAAAAATGGAATGGATAGGGATACAAACATATTCTACACAATCTACACATTCTGCATACAAATGTGCTTTAACATTTTACTGGGGACACATGCTTATTCTTCCCACTTATGCATTTGGAAAATCGTTTTATTTATATCCACATAAGCATGTATATTCTAATGCACCAGCACAAATGTAAGTTAAAATTGAGAGAATTTTTATCCTCTTTCTCATCCCTAGTTTAGTGATCTCCTTAATGCTCTATAAGAACATCTCCTAGTGAATAATTGGAGATATAGGAAGAAGAAAAGGAGAAAAAAAAAAAAAAAAAAAAAAAAATTAACCATACACAGAAGAAGGAACACAACGATTTTTATAAACAGAGACAGAGTCATACATATATCTGGGAGAGGAAAAATGAAAAAAAATAAAGAGGGTGCTGATAGACGAGGAAAAATCGAAAAGAAATATATTTCGGATATGCTTAAAGAAAACGAATGTGAAACGTTGGAAGAATTGAAAAATTTAATAACATTTTTGAATGCTGAAAATAAAAGGCTACATTCAGTGAACATAGAATCACTGAAAAAGATTAGCATTTTAACCGTCAGAGCAAAGAATTTAGAAAGTTTAACAAAAAATTATGATAAGTTTTATCAGAATGGAAAATCCTACAGGAATAAGTTAGAAGAGTTGAACCGAAAAGTAAATGAACTCATGAGTTACACAGTAAGTTTTTATGATAAGGGTCTTTCATGGATCATCATATCATGTTACTTATCTTTCGAAAGTTATCAATATATGAATGTTTTCATGTACTATCCTCACTTCCACTTTTATCTGCCCTCTAGTCAAACCCTACACACACACACACACATGCACATACATACTTCCTCCCGCAGAAGGACAAAGAAAATGAATACAAAGAAGTAGTAGGAGAACAAGATAAATACTTTAAAAACTTCTTCACAAATTTAAATAAAATCACCGAAGCAATTGCTTCATGCAAATTGGATAGCATTAAAGGCGAGGAAAGAAGTTCCTCTCCCGATGTTGGTGATCTATTTGATAGTGAAATGTATCGTCACAAGGGGTATCCCAAAATTTCCTTTTCGGTTAATACATCTGACAAGGGAGATGATGAAGCTGGCAATGATGATGAAGCTGGCAATGATGATGAAGCTGGCAATGATGATGAAGCTGGCAATGATGATGAAGCTGGCAATGATGATGAAGCTGGCAATGATGATGAAGCTGGTAATGATGATGAAGCTGGCAATAATGATGGTGGCTCTTATACCAATTGGGGAGAAGAATATATGCAAAGCGCGAGGAAGGAAGAAAGGCAGCTACACACAAAAGAGTATACTTACCTAAGAGCAACAAGGGAACGTTTAAATAATAAGAAAAATACACAAAGTGAGCCACATTTCCAACCTGATATATCACCCTTTAATGAATCACGAATAAAAAATGAACAATATTTATGCAATGAAAAAATTGAAAAAATAAAAAGTTTATGTGAATCCTTCAAAAATATAGATAATGAATCCTTAAATTCGGGGAATTCTTCCAACATAAGTAAACAAAATGACAATTTCAACATTTCATCAAGACAAAAAAAAAAGAAAAAAAAAAAAGCATTAAACATTCATCAGAACAATTCATTCCATTCAGCATCTGAAAGTGAAAATATCAAAGAGTGCGACATGAAAAATAAGGACGATATCAAATTCGTTCTTAATGCAAAAAAGTGGGATGGAAAAATAGGTGAAAATGTTATGCTAAACAACAAAAAAAAAGGAATAAAATTGGAAACACACAAAGGGGTGGACAATATTGTAAACTGTAATACGGACATAAAACAAAGATTAACGAATTTGATAGAAGGTATAAATAGTAGTAAGGGGAAAAAAAAAAACCATAACATATCTGCAAAGAATATTTCCAGTAATATTACTAGTGCTCATAACAACATAATGGAAATTTTAAACAATAGAATAAATAATACCTCCTTTGAGCACATAGAAAATAGTAGTGCTCCAAAGTATGTAAAGTATAACACTATACATAGAGAAATTATGAACCCGCGTGAACATTTTGTTAATCAGAACAAGAATTCAGTAGATCACATTATTTGCTTATAAATGTATGGGGTAATGTGTTCCACTCCCTCGTCCACTGAGCTATTACTCTAAATGCATTGTTGCTACTCCATTTCAGTGTAGGGGGGGGGAGGGGGTTAAAATGGGTGAAAATGGGTAAAAATGGATTGAAACGGGTTAAAATGGGTAAAAATGGATTGAAGCGGGTTAAAATGGGTAAAAATGGATTGAAACGGGTTAAAATTGGTTAAAATGGGTTAAAAAGTATCTTTCCTAAAAACCCAACTGGGAGGGACTCTTATCCTTCAATTGAATTGACACACTTCATTAGAAAATGAACGATTCGATTGTAAATTCTCTCTAAAAATATTCTTTTGACTATGTAAACCTCTTTAATTATGAACCCTTTGTCTTGTGAAGATTTTTTTTTTTTTTTTTTTTTTTTTTTTTTTTAGGAGTTGCATATAAAATATGCTTCTTATCTATGTGTATTATTAAAATTTTTGAAGTTTATTTAAACACTTTTTTTAAAAAGAAAAGAAAAAAAAAAAAATTCTGGGATTTATCAATTTTTTTTTTTTTAAAGTTATGCTAGAAGGAGATTTTTCAAAATTTTAAGTATTTTTTCAACTCCTTATAAAAAAAAAAGGGAAGAAATTCAGACCCTTACAGAAAACATTAGGCGGTGCACCTGTTCCTTTTCCACTTTCTTTTGTTGAAAATTTGCACAAAATTTTTTCTTCAGTTAACTTTAAATGATCAAAGCGTAGGAGGAAACTTTTATTCAATATTTTTTTTTCGTATCCAAGTGTAATTTTCAATCACTTTTCTTCCATTTAAGAGTAGTATATTAAGTTTGTTACCCTTTAAGAACACTAAAAGGGTATATTTGAACGACATGAAAGATGGCTCATTTGAAGGGCATTAAAAGTGGCTCATTTGAAGGGCATTCAAAGTGGCTCATTTGAAGGGCATTAAAAGTGGCTCATTTGAAGGGCATTAAAAGTGGCTCATTTGAAGAGCATTCAAAGTGGCACATTTGAAGAGCATTAAAAATGTTTATATACATGATGCAGCAAATACGTTTATGCATGCACTCCTCTAACGAATGAACAGCATTTCCCACTAAATAAACAAAAAAAAAAAAAAAAAAGAAACGCAAACATAAGGAAAATTCCATTTGTTATGTACATAGTGCGCTTATAGTACACATATGCACATTGACATGTGTGAATGTACTTGAATACACGTACCTGATAAATGACACTGAAGAAATACCACATAAATTGGTATGTCAATCAATCTAGAGACTTATTAATCACATTCATGTAACACGTTTTATTATTTTACAACCCCATGGTTCTCCACATAGACACGAACATACGTCTCTACAGGACACGTATTCTCTCCAAAGCATGACGATGTGAAATGCTGAAATTAATAAATTTTTTGTTCTTTTATTTGGTTTTAACCAACTCCAAAATTCTTCGCCCAAATAAGAAACGCGCATTTCAACTGTTCTTAAATAGATTTACAACATTTGTTTCCAAAAGGAAAGGTCAAAACAATATAAAAAAAATAACTCCTTTAAATTTGAAGAAAAGACTAGATCCTAACGATAAGTACACAGTAATAAAAAGACATGAAGCAAAAGTACAGAGAAATTTAAAACGCAAATATCTAATTGAAAGATGTAAGGAAAAAAGAAATTTGTTGAAAAAATATATATCAGAAGCATCATCACCTATAGAATATGTTTATTGGAAATACAAGTTGTCTTCTTTACCACGGGATTCTTGCCCAGTCAGGTACCGGAACAGATGTGCAATCACAGGTTCGTGCTAAATTCACACATGGGAAAAATGTTTGTATGTGTATCAAGACACACACAAAAAAGGAGTTTATATATGCGCATACATATATACTGAAGTCGCTTACATATTTAAACATGGGCGTGCAATGAAGTTGCGTACATGTGCACACATTGATGCATGTACCTACTTTACCAATAACATGAACACAAATTGCAACTCCTGTCCTCCCGTACCACACACTTCCCCTTTTTCAGGCAGGGCGCGAGGTTATTATTCTTTCTTTGGTTTGTGTAGACATCAAGCTCGAGCACTGATACAGAAAATGTTTTTCCCAGGTTTTGTTAAAGCATGTTGGTAGTATTTTAAAAGTTACCAAAATAGAAATGGAAGAATTTTTTTTTTTTTTTTTTTTTTTATTGTAAGAAATGATTTGTTAAAACATATTACTGTTTTCTAATTTTCTACATTTTTTCATTCGATCATGTATTTTTACGCTACTCCTCCTATTTTTTTTTTTTTTTTTAAACAATGCAAAGATGCTATCACATACTGAGTCCAGAAAGCACTTGTTTTTATGTACCCGTTCGAAAAACCATAAACCGAAAACTGCTACAACAATGGCATAATTGTAAAAAAAAAAAAAAAAAAAAAAAAGAAAAAAAAAATGGACATTCGATTAACAACGTAAGTTTTTTTTTTTTTTCTTTTTTTTTTCATACGAAGGTTATGGTACAATGTTATGCCAACGTAGAAACACATGAGGATTATTTCAATGTTTTCACAAAGTTGTAAATTTGTATTCCACCTTATTCATTATATACTATATATATACACACACACACACACACTTGGTAAGAACAGGAGTAATTTTTAAAATTCGCCTGTATCATTTGCTAAGAATTGCATTTCCCTCCTTTTTTGCATATACCTTGAAGTGTTAATTTTATTTATATCATAAAAAAAAAAAAGAAAAAATATTTTCCCAATTATTATTATACATTCTTTTGGATCAACATGATAGTGTCCCCTACATGTATCTAACGAGTACACCCTATGAATATATATCTGCAAGTTAGAATTAGTTTTTTTTTTTTTTTTTTTTTTTTCAAATGTTCCACTATATATACCCTGTGTGAATGCAGGTATGATAAAAAATTTGCAAAGTCAACATTTTTACTTTTTTAGATTTTTTGCATGTTGCATTGTATATTTGTCTGTGAAGCAGGAACATTGGTAGTACACGGAACATATGTATTTTCACAAATTTTGTATGACGCAACAGTTTATTTACAAAAGTCTGTAAAACTTTACTAAAAGGGGTAGGGAAAACAGAACAACGGTTATTTTAATTTCTTTTCCTTTTCCTTTTCTTTTTTGTAAAGAATGACTTGTAGAACGTGTTATTTTATTTCATTTCATTTTATTTTTTATTGACAATATATTGCATACATTTTTTTATTTTTTTAAGCACTATTATTATCTCTACTATTATTAATTTTATTTATTCTATTATATTTTTTTTTTTTTTTCGCTTTCGCCCCCTTAAAAACCTCAATTTACTTTTCCCGCACATTGATCATTCACATTTTTTTTTACTATAAAACGTAACCGCAGAAGAGAACATCATTTTCTATCCTTTGAAGAGTTACATAGCTTGATGTGGTACATTTTTGCAAAAATTTGACAAATCAGTCAATACTTGTAAAAAAAAAAAAAAAAAAAAAAAACATAAAAATAATATTGTTAACTTGATACGTAAAAATAAAATTTCCATTTAATGTTTTTAAACTGAGAAGGTTTACAACATTTTTCTTTAGTGAATGGCTTTATACTATTACCATTTTATCTCTCTACTTGTGGTTAATTAATTGTAGGAGTTGAGTTATGTGATATGATATAGATAACTGCAGTAAAGTGAGATGTGGCAAAGGTGTACTAATGAAAAAATACACGCTGTAAAGAGAGAAAGGATTACAATAAAAGTTCTATGTGACAGATTGTGATATGTCCCTCTCGAGATTTGCATTATAGGAGCAGAAGGAGAACTGTCTAGGAAAAAAAGTGGCCAAATTATTTGCAGGAAAGTTCCAGGGGAAAAACTCCTTTCCAAGTTTGCATATATATAAAAGGTATATATTTTTTGTGTGTAAAATGCAAAAATGCAAAAAATTCAAAACGCAGTGAAGAGAAAAAATGGATTTTTCAAATGTCACATAAAATCCTATAGCAGCAAATTAAAAATAGGGGAAAAGATAGAAAAAAAATATAATCTTTGGAGATGGGGATGTTCGGGTGAAAGTATATTTTCATCTATAAAAGTTGGAGAAAAAAATAAAATGCCTGAAAAAATACCAAATTTTGAAAATGTAAAAATTGAAAAGTTATCAGCTGGTTGCAATCACGCAGCTTTTATAGTAGATGGAAAAATTTTCACTTATGGTTTAAATGACAAAGGACAACTGGGTAGATCTATAGATGAAGAAAATAATCAAAATAAAAATTATACATTAACACCAAAGGAGGTGAAAACTCAGTATAATGTAAAATTTAAAGATGTATGCTGTGGTTACAAACACACAGTAGCTGTTGATGAAAATAATGATTTATATAGTTGGGGATGGGGTGGGAATTTTTTTAAAGGTGCAAATGGATTGGGACATGGAAATAAACAAAATTTAAGTACCCCTAAAAAAGTTGAATTTATTAAAAATGATGATGCAGAATTTATAAATATATGTTGTGGTGATCAACATAGTTTAGTTTTAACAAAAAATGGAAAAGTTTATGGGTGCGGACGAGGTGAATTTGGTAGATTAGGTAAAGGGAATCATGGAGATCAATTATTTTTTGAAGAAATTGATTTTTTTATAAGTAATAATATTATTATTAAAGAAATTTCATGCGGTCATAGTTTTTCTGCAGCTTTATCATCTGATGGGGAAGTCTATGTTTGGGGAAGGAATGATTATGGACAATTAGGTATTGAAAATAGTATCGGAGATTTATATTCTCATGAAGTGTATCCAAACAAAGTAAAATATTTCGACATGGAAAATATTAAAATAAAATTTATAGCTTGTGGAGACAATCATATGATTGCTTGTTCAGAAAATAATGTTATTTATTTCTGGGGATCAAGGGCTTGGTTAGAACCTAAAGCTATAACACTAAGTCCAGTATATGAAAATAGTATTATTAAAAAAAACATTGATAAAATACAGGCAGGTGGAAGTACTTACTACTATTCAATGCTCCTTTCTGATAATAAGTTATATTCATGGGGAAAGTACAACTCCTCATGTTTGGCATTAAGTGATAAAAAGAATCATAACGAACCTACGCTAGTAGATTCAAAACTGTTTAATGATGAAATTGTTTGTGATATTTCCTGTGGAAGGGGAAGAGTTCTCGCAAAAACGTTGGCCTCTAATTGATGTGTCTGTGGAGATTGTGCTATAAAATTTTTTTTTTTTTTTTTTTTTTTTTTTTTGAGGGGGAGTGGGGGAATATTGCAATGCAAAACATGATAAAAATATAGTCCTCATTTAAGTTGTCATATCTAAATGGTTTATTTACCATAACATATTGCACCATTTATCACCTAATCATTGGGTGATGTATCTATCCACAGTTGTTCTGTTTTTAACATTTGGAATGTGTGTGTGTGTGGGGGCCTATTTTATCAATAATTTAAAGTCCTGTATAATTCACACTAATCATTTTATCCTTTTCCCCTAGCTACCCCTGAATTTATCGAGTTATGAAATTTATAAAGAAACATGTGCAAATATTTGTCTTTCCATCTTTCTTCCACTTTTAAAAAATTTAAAACTTTATACACAATGACACTGCATATATTATGTGCATGTTTATGAAGTGCCATGTAGTCTCTTCCACCAATTTTGTTTAAAAAAAAAAAAAAATGCGAATGAAAAGGAGCAGTTTACGGGTTTTCCCTCATTCGTTTACAGCATAGGATGATTTCTATGCTCTTTTTTACACACCCATTTGGGATAATATTAAAGAAAGAGCTTGAAATTTTTTACCTAATTCTATCACACTCTTGGATACCTCTGTACATATACCTCTATGGTATATACATACTCGTTCTGAGACCTAAAATTTTAAAATTGAGAACAGGGTTTATTTACTAATTGGAAAGATATTTCCAAAATATTGTACACTAAAAATAAACGGAAATTTTGGAGCACAAGTATGGGATAAATGCCTCATAACTTTACAAGTATAAAGGTTTCTTCACCACCCTCCTTTGGACTATTAAAAAACTGTGCATATTTTTATAGTCTTCTATAAATACGGAAAGAATATTCTATCGTTTAACATTTTTTTCTTTCTTTCTAGAACACTTTAAGCAATGGAAATTATATATGGTGGTACTATATTAATGGAGAAAAAAAAAATAAAACAAAAAATATAGACCACCAACACCCCGGTGTACATTGCAAAATGTGCCTACTATTATTCATGAAAAAAAAAAAAAAAAAAAAAAAGGAAAAAATTTAAATTTTGGAGATTTCGCATGGGCAAAAAAAGGCCCATTTTATATGTAGTTCCAATTATGTTTCATCATTATCTTGAACAATGAAATTGCAAATAAGGTTCCACTAACAAAATTGTGGACGATGATATGAGACACACTTTAATATTCACATGTCATTTCTACGTTTTTGTTGTATGTGTGTATATTAGAGTAACAAAAGTGTGTTTCATTTAAAACGGCGAAAAAATTTTGAAAGGGGGGGGTGGGGGAAGTTAATATATATATATATATAGTTATGTTACTTTTCCTTAAATAACATGCAAAGAAAAAAAAAAAAAAAAAAAAAAAAAACCATAGGGTTTTTCCTATTTCAGTATTCTCCTTTGAATACATGTGAAAAAACATGCATAAAACCTCGCGTTGTTTTGATACATGCACTGTGACTAATATATGTACAAATCGCGCGCTTAAAATTAAGCAAAAAAAAAAAAAAAAAAAAAAAAAAGAAAGAGAAAGAAAGAAAGAAAATGAAAAAAAATCATAATTTTACAAGTTATACACTTCTTTACCTGCTCTTTTAATTTTCTTATGCATAATTTGCGCTTCATTCCCGTGTTCTCCACAGAAGGAACTGAAATTTGACTATGGGAAAATATTTAGGCTTTAGTTTATTTACTTATTTATTCTTTTTTTTTTTTTTTTCTTTTTTTTCTCAATCAGTGCTGCAAACTACACAGAAACAGAGTTGTTATATTCATGTTGTATTAAAAAATTACTGTTGATGAATGTATTATATGCGAACAGAATTATAATACTCTTAAGAACTAGTTAAGTCTATAGAGGTGTCTTAAAAGGAAGAAGGGAGGATCTTTTTTCTTTTATATATTCTTCCATATTTTTACATTTCCTTTTTTTTATTTTTTTGGGCAGTGTTGAATTGTGGTTGGCGATTTCCATAAATTTAAAAAGTTAAACAATAATAAATAAACTTAAGGAACAGATTAAAAAATGTTTGTTTTTCCTTTGTTATATAACTTATAGGAGGGAAAATAATAAAATCTATGATCTTTCCTTTATATATTCATTTTACATATGAATATAAAAAAAAAAAATTTATATAGCGACACTCTGGATGAGATTGTTTTGTGAACTTTTCCTATTTCAGCCACACTAGTGTCACATTTCATGTTTTTTTTTTTTTTATTTTTAATTATCAAAAATAGAAAATAAGCATAGCAACTTTTCTCCAGCAGTGCGACGTAAAAATTTGTGCCTAAGAAGGATTAGTTTTTTTACAGGAATGTTATGATAAAAATAATATAGGGAAAAAAAAAAAAAAAAAAAAAAAAAGTTTATGCTATGTCAAGGATGACCATGTTAAAATGATGAGAAGTAGTCTATATTAATTTTTAACTCATTTGTACATATATGTATATTTTTAGATATCGTCTCAGTTATAAACAGCGAGGAGACCTATTTATATATATATATATATATATATATATATAATATATATGCACATATGTAACATTTTCATTTTGTATATGTTTTAACATGTATATGCTCCAAGCTTTCCTCCCGTAAAATCATATGTACAAAAAAACATATAGAGAGTGTACCTCTATAATTCCCCCTGTTTATTGAAAATACAGAACTGTGGATAAATATACACACTTAAGATGTCATCGTAAGGAGGGAATATAAGTGTGTAAGTGAAGGAAGACTTATATTATAGGTTAAAAACGAATATTTTCCTTTTCCTTAGGCAAAAATTTTATAAACTTATCAACAGGTGTGAGAATACTTCCTCGTGACCCCTCAAAAAGGCACAATCGCAATCACAGTAACGTTATATACGTAGTATGCATGCACTTAGATCTACATTTCAGCAAACCCCAATGTAAGAACATTGAAGAAGAACACGAAACACATGCAACAATATATAGATACAACAATATATAGATGCAACAGTATATAGATACAACAATATATAGATGCAACAATATATGCATACGTACACACACACACACATACGCAACGCCTATTCAGAACAAATCAGCCAATCTGGCAAAAAGTAACGCATCTGGGTTTTCAAATTTCCAAGTACCGATAATCAAGGAAAAATGGGATCCACGTTAAGTTCTCCGAGCACCGAAGTGGGTGAAGCAAGGAATGGAAATGAGAACGGGGCTGGGGGTACGAACGAAAATGCGAGAGTTCCTTTTTTTCAGAAACTAATTTCAATAATTGTGCAAATGCTAATCATGCACATGGTTATGTACTTTTTATCAGGAGGGAAAAATAAGATGGCACCAAAAAATGGAAATAATGTAGGAAGTCAAAATTTAATACTAAGTAATAGTTTGGAAAATGGGGATATATTTGACATATATGTATTTTTAAGTGATAACCATTCAATCGATTTTGATTATATTAAAAAGAGTAAAATGATACTAGTTAGAGAAAAAGAATTGTATACATATAAAAAGTTCAGTGCATATGACAAGACTGATTTCAGTTTTTATTTAAATGATTCATGGAAAGGGGAAAAATATTTAAGTGTCGTTATGATACCTTTACATTTTTATAAACATCGAAATAGTCAATCGTTACTGAGTAGCACTATAAAGAATGAATTTAAAAAACAAATTTTAATTGATAATATCCCACTGACAGTTAAAATGAAACCGTACGAATCGGAAGAAGATGAAAAATATAATTTGATGGACGAAAGCTATAAGAATAAAAAAAAAAGATTAAAAGAGAAAGAGAAAACGAAAGGAGAAAAGGGAGAAAAAGAAGAATTTTATCATATAAAAAAAAGAATAGATATTAACATTATTTATGACCAATCAAAACACAGAATTAATGAATTTAACGTACCACATTTAAAGAGATGGAGAATCAATGTACACAACAATACATATACCCCTCCATTATTTCTATCCGATTTTTGGTTAATAGAAAATGATTATTACGTCTTGGATCAAAATTTTTTAAAAGATAAAGACAAAAGGACGAGTTATATATCGGTTTATGATCCATACAGAATAAAAAAGAGTGAAGAGGAAATTCATTCCTATGTGATAGAAAAAAATGCAGATGAAAATAAAGTACTAAATATAGAAATAAATTATTCTACTTGTAGTTTTATGTATTACATGTTTATAAAACAGTTGGATACATCGATACAGATGATGGATAGTGATAACAAAACTTTTTCATTTCAAAATTTGACTAATGCAACAGCTAGTAAAGAAATAAATATGATGAAAAAAATTATAATGACTACAAATATATATATGCTAATTTTTTCAGCCTTATTTATCTTACTTCATTCGATATTTTCCTTTTTTGCATTCAAAAGTGATATGCAATTTTGGTATCAAAATGAATCCATGGAAGGTTTATCAGCTCTCAGTGTTATAACGACATTTGTATGTGATATCATATTAGCATTATATTTATACGATTCAGAAAATACGTCATGGTTGCTACTATTCGAAATGTTCGTAGGAGTTGCACTATCTGCATGGAAAGTTACAAAAGCTGTTCATGTGTCATTTAGTAAATCATATCCATATATTTTATTGAAAGATAAAAAAAATTATACAGAATCCATGACAAAGAAGTATGATAAAATAGCTGTAAAATATGTTGGAATTGTTCTAATACCATGTTTTATTGGTTATGCAATTTATTCTCTTTTTTATTACAAATACAAATCTTGGTATTCGTACATAATATCAGTATTAGCCGGAACTGTTTACACTTTCGGATTTATTATGATGACTCCACAACTTTATATAAATTACAAATTAAAATCAGTTGAACATCTACCATGGAAGGCTCTCATATATAAATCATTAAACACATTTATTGATGACATTGCCTTTTTCTTAATTGACATGCCTTGGATGCATAAACTTTCATGTTTTCGTGACGATATCATATTTTTATGTTACATATATCAGAGGTGTATATACAAAGTGGACAAAAATAGACACCAGAAATTAGCACAGGAACAAAGTCAAGTAGCAACTCAGAATCAAGCAAAGGACAAGAAAAATGATTAGAGAACATTGGGATCTCCAGTGAAATTAGAAACATGTGTGTATGAAGTTTCTATATTATTTCACTTTTTTTTTTTTTTTTCTCTCCCCCCACCTCCTCCTTCCTATACCACGACGTCACGAGTATGTGTTCTTTCAACATTTCATATGAGTCTTCAATTGATGAATAAAATTCATCACTGTGAAGAATAACAAAATGGGACATCCTATCAGTTTAGGGTAAAAACAGTGCAAAATTTAGATAGACAGAAAATATCAAACAAGAGGGTAGACAAGAGGGAAGACAAGAGGATAGACAAGAGGGTAGACAAGAGGGAAGACAAGAGGGAAGACAAGAGGATAGACAAGAGAGTAGACAAGAGGATAGACAGGAGGATAGACAAGAAGATAGATAAAATGTATGAGGAGTGAACACAATAAAGTAAAGCAAACATAGAATATAACGATTTTCTTTATTTGGGTGCACCCCATACGGTTTGAATAGCGAAAATTTGTACATATATTTTCTTTTTATTTATGCGAATATATTTATGGCTATTTACTTATCATTGTTTATTTTTACTTTGTCTTATTTTTTTTGAACCATCATCCACATTTTGCCGGCTATAAATTAATCACAATTTGTGCTTCGCCCTTTTCCAGGAATGTGTAAATGTTCCCTATTTCCATTCTCGCGTGGATTGTGGGAAGATCAAAAAAAAAAAAAAAATAAAATAAATAATTACACATCGACATAGTGTATATATATATTGTCGTTTCCCGTATTTTACAAATGCAACTATTGGTGCGTTTGTATTTTCTCTGAGCACCGATGGAAGAGGAAGAAGAGGCAGGAAATGCACTACCACCTGTTGATAACACTTATACACCATTCTCTTTTGTTTGGCACAGCTCCCATAACGTGAGTTGCCCGAAAGATGCATTAATTTTTATTCTTAGAATTATTCTCACTTTTTACTTAAAATTGAAAGCTCATGTTTTCTACTTTTTTAAATTTACTTGTAATAGGCCAATGTGCACATACATTTCCTATTTTTCCATTTTTTCACCTTTTCATTTTCCATATCTCCATCTCATTGTTATAATTTTACATAATTCGCTTAACTTTCGTTCCAAATAAGTTTACATCTTTATTTTTTTCTTCTTCTTTTTTTTTTTTTTTTCCTGTATCAAAGGTTATTCCAAAAAAAAAAAAAAATTACAAAATAAAGTTTTAAAGAAAAGCTAGAAAATTAAAGTTATAAAAATATTTAAAATTGCGGATTGTTATAAAGAAGAAACCCTGAAAGGTGTCCATACATTCCTACTCTATTTTGATTCGCATGTGTGCCATACTATATATCCTTTGTTACATTTTTTTTTTTTTTCACAATATTGATTCGTAGAAATAACTCTCGAACAATTGTTACTCTATTTATCTATATATAAAAAAGTGTGCATGTATCTGTACACCTATTTACGCATATTCATATTGTTAACATTTTATAGGGGTGGAAGTTTTTCCAAATAGGAATGGTAAAATATAACAAAGCGATGAACCTACTAAGTGATAATATCACTCTTATATCTTCCTAGTCATGTATAGGTTCTTTTTTTTTTTTTTTTTTTTTTTTTTGTAAACATTCGGTCAGTTATACCAATGCAGTTCTTTGTTAAACAACTCTTTAAAAAAAAAAAAAAAAAATGGTAAAATACAAACTACATTTGCATAATATTTATGAAGTTAAAACTTTTTCCATCTTTTCAGAAAAATTGTAGATTATCCCTAAAAAAAAAAAGTGAATAAAATTGGTGTTAAACCAGTTATGTTTTAAAATATCCTAAAAGGCAGAATCTGTATCTGTGTCTGTGTGTGCGTCTTTGATGGTGGTGAGGTGCTTAATATACTCAGTGTGCATCATACATGTGTTGACAATTTTTTTTTACTGTCTATGTTTTAAAAGTTTTCGATAAGGAAATTGATGCGTCTGTTCTATCCTTTCCTTACTTTTATTTTATCTTTTCATATTTATATATATTCGTAAGTATATACATAAGTATATATATGCATATATACAATACTTATGTTTACATTTTGCATATATTTTTCTTTCCCGTGTCATAAATTTCTCATTTTTTTTTGGTGCATCGTGGGCACAGTGTTCGTGAATATGTTCATATCACATAATGGTTGTATAACATATTCATTTGTGCGGTGTTTTTTTTTTTTTTTATATTTATTACTTTTTTTTTTTTTTTTTGTAAACATTCGATCAGTTATACCAATGCAATTCTTTGTTATACAACTATTTAAAAATAAATAAATAAATAAAATAATAAATATGAAAAAAAAAAAAAAAATAAATAACATACCCACTGCACTACGACGAACGGATATGCAAAATGTTCATTATGTTTACAAACAGTTTATACAACGCTGTGAATGGTAGGTCTCATTAACAGACGTCTTTTCTGGTTAGAAATAGACCTATAAAAAAGGGTGGGAAATATATTTTCGCATACATTTAAGCGGACATTTTCGCATACATGTAAGCGTACATTTTTGCATACATTTTCTCACACATTTTCGCACACATTTTCGAACACATTTTTGCATACATTTTCTCACACATTTTCGCGCACATTTTCGCACACATTTTTGCACACATTTTTGCACAGATTTCGCCCTTCTTTTAGACGCTTCATAACTGAACAGGCATGGAAAAACTGTTCAACTGCGAAATTTTAGATGAACCTGATGATTTCGAGCGGACAAAAGCAAAACGTGGGAGTGTCACATTCAGTGGTAAGACAGGTTCAATAGAACACCCCAATTTGACACTGCACAATTTTTTAGATTACACTCAGTTGTATAGAAAATATAAAGAAAAAAACTCAGCTAAATCGTTCAACAAACTTCCTGTATATGCATACAGATATCCCCCAAATTTTAAAAATGCCAATTTTGATGAATTAAAAACAGAGTACTTATATGACGAAATAAATAAGTCTTGTAAAGAAGGGAAATCTGGTGAAGAAAAGAAAAATGGAAAGAGGGAAAATGCAATTTTTTACGAGGGTAATTTGAAACTTTGGATTCCTCGGGATGATGAACAAGTAAGACAACAGGAGAAGGAAAAAAAAAGTTTACGAAAAAAAATATACGATGGAGAAGTAATGTTTTATGAAGATTACATAGAACAACAAGCAGCAAAGGATTATGAATACTTTTTTAAAAAACCTTATGAAATAAAAAAAAAAGATGAAGGAGGAAAATACTATTTTTACGGGAAAAAACTATATATGAGCGAACATGAAGATATATACAGAAAGTACTACAATTTGGATGATGAATATTTTATCAAACGATTGCAACTGTATGAAGAATTAAAAGAGAATAAGCTAAAAAATGTGGAGAAGGAAGAAGAAAAAAAAAAAGAAAAAGAAAAAGAGTTTCAAAAGGAATATGAAAAATTAAGTTTTAAAGATCAAAATTTTATAGTAAAAATAAAGGAAGAAAATAATTTGGAAAGTTTTCTCAGTACCTACAAATTTTACAAAAAAAATAAATGTATTTTTGAAAAAAACATTCCAGAAATAAAAAAAAAAGAGCTACTATATGGACACATTCCAGATATCATTTTACCTGCTAACATTCGAAAGACAAAACATCCAAAAAACTGCATAGTTCCTCTTAGTAGTCTACACACGTATGCAAATTTTATTGATGATTTATTTAAATGTCCATACATTTATACTGCCATTGATGCAGAATTGGGAAAGTACTGGAAAACTAATGAAAATGAAGTTGTAAATAATATAAAATCTGAAAAAATCAAAAAAGGTTACAAAAAGGATATATATGCAGTAACCAAAGAACAGTTGGAAAAGTCCAATGAAAAATTGAAAAAATTAATTCAAAATGAGGAACACGAAAATAAAAAAAGCACAAACGTAACCTTAAATTTTAAAATACCAAAAAACGAAAATAAAAAGAAAGTTGTGTCTAATGGCAGATACATTATATAGCCAACCATATCCACCATGAACATATATTTGGAGATGCGCTCAGGGGGTGAGTAGGGAGAGTCTCGTTAATAATTATTATGTAAATTTTTTAGTACAACAAGGGAAGCACCGAGAGGAAATACAAATTGGAAGTTATATTCTTCTCCTCACCATTCATCTCGTCATTCCTGTGGCCATTCCTTTTGCTATTCATCTGACCATTACTCTTGCCAATCATCTTGCCAATCATCTTGCCATTCATCTCGTCATTTATTTTTTTTTTTTTTTTCCAAACTGACAAGGAGGTTTATATACCCAATTGTGCAGGTATAACCGTTTATTTGTTTATGTATAGAACAAATAAGAATCCCTTAACTAGGTAGCTACATTCCTGAATAATGTATAATAAGGAATATTTGAAAGGGACACATACACCAAAAAAAAAAAAAAAAAAAAAAAAAGAAGAAGAAGTAACAAGGTATGGAATGATATTCGATGGAAAAAAAATCATCTTTTGGACCACTGCTTCATAGCCCTTGACTTTTTCCTTCCAGGCATTTTTGGAAATTTCTGTCTCATATCTTCATAAAGAATATCATGTTCTTTGAGTTCGTCATAAATGAATGGACATGCATTGAGTAGGGCACGCCCTATAGCCAATCTAGCTGCTTTTGATTGGCCACTTATACCACCTCCTTTCAATTTTATAAATACATCAAACACACATGCAGTATTGGTTAGATAGAAGGGTTCCAATACATCAGTTCTGTTATAAAAATATGGCCATCTAATGTATAAATCTTCTTGGTTATTTACCTTGACAATACCGCTACCTCTTCTTATATAGACATATGCACAGGATCTTTTGTTTGTTCCTATGCCTTCTGATTCTTCTAACCATTCCATATCATTATGGATAAATGTTTTTGCCCTCTTCTTGTTAAACTTTTCAATAAGAACTTTGCTAAGAATATCTACATTGTTATTATCCGCACCGTATAGAGAACCTTCTTTTATCTTTTCTTTTTCTGCATCCTTTTCATCCTTTTTATCATTTTCTTCTTTTTCCCCTAGTGCTTTTAACTTCTGATCAATCTGGTCTATATCATCTGAATCGCTATTCCTATTTTCACTACACAAAAAGTTGTCAATGAGAAACGGACTAGTATCAGCTGAGAAAGGGGGGGACCTCATGATCATTTTTTGGATTTCTGTAGTTGTTTTAATCCCCATTTCTTTGGATAAATATAATGCTTCATCAAGAGATAATATGTAATTCTTTGTGTTAACTTTCACTTTTACATTTTTTTCATTCTTCAAGTTGCTGGTGCTTATATATTTGTTAGGAACCCATAATAATACCACATTGGTTTTTTTTTTTTCGTATCTTTTGTGTAACTGCCCAATTTTCTTCACTATGTTCATCATTTTCTTCTCAGCAATTTTTCGCAATATAATATGAACCTCTGTATTGCCACTTAAGACTCAGGAAATGGTACCTCCATGCATGCCCATATATATATATATATATATATATATATATATATATATATATATATGTGTGTGTGTAAATCAAGCAACCTACTTGATTGTGTATATTTTGTCACATATCGCGATCCCACGTTTGGTTACAACATTGGATAAGGTATACATATATAGCTTCTACACTCCATCCCCCGCTTTTCCATTGTGACATGTAATGAAAGTTGCTTCATCTGTGTCACAGCATAATTATTGCTTCTATGTGGTAAAAAATATTTTCTAAAGATCGAAGGGAAGGGTTTACGTGAAAAATCCAGATAAAATAATGTAGGGGAAAAAAAGAAAGAAAAAGGAAAAAAAAAAAAAAAAAACCCTTCTCGCAAAAGTTTTTAACAAATTGGGTTATAAAAAAGTGTGACTTAAACATGTATATATATATTCTTTGAAAATATCATTTTTCCGATCTGCAATAAATATGCTTCAATTTTGACGAATATTTAGAAAGCTACAAAAATAAATAGATAAATAAAGAAAAAGAAAGTCGAGTAAAAATCGCATGTTCATATCAATTTAGCAAAAGCAACAAAACATAATTAATATGCTCCCAAAGAAGCATAAGGGGGGAGTTGGATTTAAAATTTTTCTCTCTGTACATCTATATATAATGTGTATGTGCATATGCACAAACGTGAATAGGTTCGAATATGTTTCACACTTTCATCTATTCAAGCGTTGTACTTGCTTGTCTATGTATGGTGCCTTTAAAAATTAATCCCATATGTATATACGTATATATATATATATATATATATATATATAATCATATATGTAAATATATATATACAGAATTGCCAGGGATCGACAAAAAATGAACGCATAATAGGTACACTTTTGGTAGCGAAATATATACCCAATGGAATTTCAAATGTTAAATAAGTTAACCTTCTCGGCCTCTTGGCTAAGATCAATTTGTAGTACCTGTTCTTATCAGCGTGATAGCTGATATGGTCTCAACCGAGACCTTATCAATTTTCACAGTAATTTTTTATAGGGGAAAGGATAATTTTGAAGCTTGCTTCAAGTAACCTTTCGCGCGTTGCCTAACCCTAGCACAAATAGGTTTGTACAGTGCACCCTTTACAATTATAATGAATCAATTTTTTTTACCTTATTTATTTTTTTTTTTTTTTCCCTCATGCAAAATAAAAATATCATTGTTTTTAATTCTTTTTTTTTCATTAAAAATGGCGTTCATAATTTTTATAGAATTTTATAATACACTAACTCCCCCCTTATGTATAAAAATTTGTATTGGATGGAGGAATGGCTTGTGGCGCGGGAAGTGTATATGAAAAATTATGTATCAATTATCAATTTCTTATAATATGGAAGTTGTTTGTGTGTTTGGGCGATATATACTTTTTACTACTTTCACTGATTGTGAAAAAATGCCAATATTTATATGTATAACATATATATAAATAATATTATGCATCAAATTTTTTTCAGTTATGAATTTACAAGCTATAAGAAAATTTATATATATGTTGGAAGAAATTTATTTCATTTGTACATGTATATATTTATACATAATATATATATATATGTATTTTTTTTTTTTTTTGTGATTACGGCTGAGCTTTTTTTTCAAGCAACTTCCTACTAAACGGTGAAGAAGTTAATTGAAATATTTTTTTCTTACCAGCTGTAAGGAATAAAAGCTAATATGTATCAAATTTGCTACGAATAAATCCATCTCATATCATCATATCTTATTTTTGGTTTTCATATTTTACATTTAATTAAACTAATTCGTTATCCTATCCTATCCAACATCAATAATCTCCTTTATCACACAATGTTTTATTTGATAATAATATAAGTGGGTCTCAATATATTTATCACAATTGTCGGTTATGTATATATGGGGTAATTTTACTGTTGAACGTTGGCTTCTTTTTTTTATGCAAAACTTTGCTTTGTAAAAATAGTGTTCTTAGGGTTTTATTAAAATTACCAAATTGGATAGATGTTGGAAATTTTTTAGTCTTATATAATATATTATCCCAACTTGTTTTTGTATATTTTTTTACAAAGGAGGAAAAAAAAAAAAAAAAAAAAAAGTGGAAAAATGTGTGTAAAATTTTTTTTCTTCTTTTCACATTGAACATTATTTTTTACAAATTTTGTCATTTTTCCCCATCCCTTTCTCTGTTATAATTCTCCCCATAGGATGAAGAGAATGTGGGGGTGGAATCCTCGTGTAAAAAATAGAATGAAGATAACGAAAGGATATAATCTCAAACCTATGTACATTTTTTTACCTGTGATGGTTTTTATTTTGACATCCCCAATTGTAGTACCGCGTTACATGCACATATATATATATTATATATGTTTATATATGTGTATGTATTTTTGCATATTTAACACATGTCCTTTTTTTTTGGTAAAAATTTTGTTAGCACTTTTTTTTTTTTTTTTACCCACTATTCCCTACCGAAATGATTAGAGGAGAAACATTCCTTGTGTTCATTTATAATGTCTGTCCGTTTTTTTTTTTTTTTTTTTTTTTTTTATCTTGTACACATTTTTAGCTACTAATTGTTTTAGCTTAACCGATTGCAGGGGTTAAATAAAATTAAGGAGTTTGTTTTGTACACAAATATTGTGCACATATATATATATATACATACATACATACGTGCATATATATACACATGCATATATGTAGATAAAGAAAACACCCGAATAATAATGTTCCCTTTATAATTTTTAAAGAGATGAAAAGTGTTTTTTTTTTTGCCTCTATTAAAAGCTATTACAAACTACACGTGTTCCTCACACTTAACACGGATATCGCAAATGCAGCATATGCATGTGGCGCATGGCGCAGGGAGGGGGGGGGGGGGGATAATAAAAGTGTAAAAGTAAAAGTTAACAAAACAAAATAAATATATAAAATTTAAAAAAAAAAAAAAAAAGATAAAAAGTGTATAAGGGGAAGCGTATATATACATATATATATATATATATATGTATACCAAATTATGGGTCCTTAAAAATCATAAAAAAAGAAGAAATGCTAAAGAGGGAGAAAACGGCAATTAGACCATATGAACGATTTGAAATTGTGTAGAAAAAAACATATAAGCAATACTGAACAAATATGTTATGTCTATTGTACACATGTCTAAAGATAAGGGCAAAGAAAAAAAAAAAAAAAAAAAAAAAAAAATATATATATAAATTTTTCTTTTTTTGACTATTTATTTTATTTTTTATAACAAACTATTGTCAAAAAAAATTATCGGCAATGATGATGTGGTGCTTGCGTTTGTGTCACTTGATTTTGACGAGTGACCAGTTGAAGCAAGTAACAGAAGAACAACAACAAAAAAAAAAAAAAAAAAAAAAAAAAAAAAAAATTCTAGAAGAAAAGAAAAAAAAAAAATTGCAGGAAAAGTTGAAAAAAAAAAAAAAAAAAAAAAAAAAAAAAAAAAAAAAAAAAAAAAAAAAAAATGTCTTCAGAAATGGCGTGAAAAAATTAAATAAATCTCTTTTATCCACCTTTGCGGATTCATCAGGATAATATTCCCTTGTCGGAGGCAAATTAAATTATTCATATCGACACGCATTCACTAAACGTAAAAGTTGCTATATTTCAACATCTTTTACTTAGGGGGGGGGGGCCCCCCCAACTCCGAGGTTTTTCTATATGATTGCGAGGTTATTATGTGTTCTCCATACATGATACATATATGTATGTAGGTGTGCATGTATGTAGGTGTGCATGTATGTAGGTATGCATGTATGTAGGTGTGCATGTATGTAGGTATGTATATACGTAGCTACATGACTGATTTGCTTCTTTCCTCTTTTCCACCACTAGGGGATTCACTGCCGTGGTCAATCTTGTGATTCATAAATTTGCTAGTTCGTGATTTGAGAATAGGTTTATCTTTAGAATCGTTACTTTTTTGTGAATTTAATTTTTTATATCCCCCATGGGTCATGAATGAAAAATTTTTATTATTTCCTTTTACAATACTGAAACGGACACCACTTCTGACTTTTTCTGCATGTGCACGTTTTGTAATTTCAAGATCTTTATTTATGTTTCTGCCTAAAATATGATTATGTTCAATAACACTATTCCTCATCATATTATGTTCATGATTTTCATCATCACAGCATTTAGTAAAACGCGTTCTTTTGATATATAAAACAGTTCCTACCACTGTAATTATAAATCCAAAAAAAAGTAATACTAAGGAAATAACAAGGAAATAACTATCCAACTCGTATAAATTATATAATGCGTTTTCACAAATATAAGACAATATTTCATCATTACTTGCTTCATTTTCATCGATAATCATTTTTTTCCCAGTTCTTGGTGATTCTTTAAAATTTTCACTTTTTGTATTAGTTACAATTCGTATAGGTATCAATATTTCTCCGTAAACATTTGAATTTTCTTCCGTAGGTATTACTGCTATTACTATATCAGTTTCATAAATTCCTTCTTTATAGGCTGAAAATACAACAGGGATATGTTTTTTTTTTCCTTTATCTAAACTAAATTTAACAAAATGACAATCCATCTGCATCCATAACCCTCCTAGTAATGTAGTTAACACAGCTGCTTCTGCGTTTATTAAACTATTATTTATCGTTCTTCTTCCTCTTGATATAACTTTTATGGATGTTCTTGTTATGATATCCAGCACTTCTTCTGCTTGTGGTATAAACCCTTGGTTGTAACACACTGAGTATATTAATGCATTTACCCCACATACATGTGGTGCTGCCATAGATGTTCCTGTGTTTATTTTGTACGAATTATTTGGTGTCGTGGAATATATATGATGACCAGGAGCCATGATATGCACACTGTTCTCGCCGTAGTTTGAAAAGGGGGATATTTCAAAGTTCTTGCTGATGGATGCAACGCTGCAAAGGGTGAGGAAGTGGCAGGAGTGGTTGAAGTGGCAGGAGTGGTAGGGTAAGAATATCAACGCAGCACAGAAAAAAACATTTGCAAAAAAAAAAAAAAAAAAAAAAAATCAGCAGTAACCCTTACACACCACAGATTGAAGCATTGTACCACCCGTGAGCTAAATGAATGTAAAACATGAAACTATAGACTTTTATACAACGTTTTAAATAAAAAAAAAGGTCTCGAGGCATTTACCTGTAAACATGAGGCATTTTAAAACTAGCTGGATACAAAGGATGAACATCATTATCTTTATTCTCGTTTCCAGCAGCTGTAACTAGAACAGTACCTTTTCCATTGAATGTATATTTCAATCTCTGCACAGCATGGTATATATTGGCGTCATATTTATTAGAACCCCAACTAGCGTTAATAATAGGGGCCTTATTTAAAATACAGACATTTATAGCTTTAATAGCATGAAAACTTCCTCCATATTTGACCCCATCAATAAATCGTAATGATATTAATGTTGTATTAGGAGCTACACCTACCATTCCCAAATCATTAGCTGCCCCACCTACAATTCCAGTTACATGTGTTCCATGCCCAGATGAATCAGTTGGGTTTCTTACCATAAAATCATAAAAAGCATCAGTCATTTCATATTGTTCTGAATATTCAGGGATAAAAATATTTTTCGTTAAATCAATATGATTTTTATCAACTCCAGAATCGACTATACAAACCTTAACATTTTTATTTCCATACCCTGCTAAAAACCAGGCATTAAATACTCGTATAACGGACAAATTCCATGTAGAATATTCTCTTAATTCTTTTGGTAGGAAATTTAAGATTTCTTTTTCAATGTCTAAATTCCTTTTATTTATTTTTTTTGCAAGTGAAAATATCGAATTGAAACTCCAAAATTTACGTAAAAAGGAGTATTTTACATTATATAAATTTTTTCTTTTCTTCACGAATTTTTTCTCCTTTTTTTTGGGATCTTCATCATCTCCTTTGTTATCTAAAACACTATCTTTACCACTACTACTACTACTGCTGCTACTACTACCACTACCCATGTGCATCTGATCAAATGTCACGTACGTGTTGGAAAAACTCCAGTTCTCTGTGTATTCTTCCAATTCCCTGTGTAGCACTATCAACGCTTCTTTCAATAAATGAAAATTGCTCATATTGAAAACATTGGGGACAAAAAAACACAGAAAGTTTATTGGTGATGAGACGTCGTATAATATTTTGTCTACTTGTTCAAAATGTTTTTTTATTTGATTCTCAAATTTAGATTTGCCCCTTTTTATAACATTTCTCATGTGCGTGGAATTTAGGTCTAGATCTCCTCTCAAGACAAAAATTAATTCTTGTTTCGAGGACTTAGTGTTTTTTAGATTCAGCAGGTATTGATCAACTAGCTTGTCGGCACTTACAGCTTTGTTCATCTCCTTTATTACCTGGTTCTCTTTTTCATAACCTTGATTCTTTTCGCTATTATCACCCATGTCTTTATCGCTGTCAGTTCTGCTATCTGATTCGGTGCTGCTTTTCCTACTCGTATTTGTGGCATCCACGTTAGGGCCATTTTTAAGTTTTTCTTCTCCCCTTACAGGTATATCTTGAGAACTTGTAAATGATAAAAAACTAATCATTCTACTTATCGTTCCTCTTATTCCCCCGTTTTCATCAGCACCATCAATCTTGTTCATTTCTTCCTTGCTGCGCGTCTGTTTGTTTCTATCGTTATATGATTTACTAAAATCGAGAGTTCCCACTCCTTCATATAAACCTTTCGGATCATGATTTTGCTGGCCTCTACCAGGTTCTCCCTTTTTTTTTATTTTTTTATTTTTTTCTTGTGTCTTATTCTTTTCAATGAAGGTATTAGTGGTGGGATTCTCATTTGGGTCATTTTCCGGTTCAAAAAACTTTGGATTTTTTGTCATTAAAACAACATTGTATTTTTTATTTCCATTGTTCGTGAGTACTATGTGTCTCTGATGTGTGAATGTGGATTTGTTCTTTTCGTTGTATGGAATGTTTATACTTTCGATACTCAATTTTGATATATCTGATGCATCAATTATAATATCATTTATAATTTCATTTGAATTAGTTATGATGGTATAATGTTCAAACTCGCGTTTTATTATATCTTTTTGGTCTACACTCTCTTCATTTAATTCATATTCACTCCATTTTTCTCTTTCCTCTTTCACCTCACCAGATGAACCAGAACTGTTAGACTCACTCGGAGCATGCAAATTGTTAGACTCACCCGGCTTTTCCAAATTGTTAGACTCACTCGGTGCTTCCAAATTTTCAGACTCATCCTGCTTATCCGCTTCTTCTTCTTCTTCTTCTTCTTCCTCCTCCTCCTCCTCATTCGTCTCATCAACCTGAACAGAATTATCTTTTTCATTTCCTCCCTCGTTTGTCTTGTCATCTTCTCTCTTTTCTCTTTTAGCATCTCCCAAGTTTCTCACTGTCTTTTTTTCTTCACTTACTATCTGGTCATTCCTGTGTTCATCTTCCATTTTGGGCTTCTCTTCTAGATTATTATTTTTTCCATGTTCTTCCTTCTGTTTTTTCAGCTCCTCTTTTTCTTCTTCTTCACTCATATAGGTAGATTTATGAGGGATGTTTTGTCCTTCCTCTTTCTCTATACTACCCGACTTTAGCTCATATTTTCCCCCTCGTTTGTGATAATTCTCATGTTGGTTCATTCCTGTATCATCATCCAAACTTTCAAAATCTTCTATATTCCCATCGTTAATTAATTTTCCGAACACATTTCTTGCATTCGCATCATCTATTTCAGTATCTTTATTTTTATGGGATCCATTACTATTTAACATACTTTCTGAATTATATACATGATTGCGTATATCTTTTGTTACGCTATTATTTGAATTCTGCTTAGCTATCCCGTTTTTAGAATCTATCAGAATATTTGTATGAACATCAGGATTTCTAGAAGACAATTGGATTAAATTTATGTTTGTTGTCTTCTTATTACTTTTTTCCTTTATTTCTTTATATTTCTTTATTTTATTTATTTTTTTTTTTCTTCCTCCTGTTTTTTTCTCTTTCTCTTTTTCTTTCTCTTTCTCTTTTTCTTTCTCTTTGGCATTTCTTAATTTTTCAAAATTAGCTGATAATTCATAAACTTCAAATAATGGCTTATATCCTTCTTTAATTTCATCCAAAAAATTTCCTCTATCTGTTACATTGTTTAACAGAATACGATTTCTCCTTTTTACAAATTTGTTGTTATAAATCCTTAACTTGCTTAAAATTACTTTATTATGCCAATCGTTTTGAAATAAAATGTTCATCAATATTAACGGTATTACATAAAATGTGTTCAGCATTTTATGAACACTTTAGAGATTTGGAAAAGTACACATACACAAAAAAAAAAAAAAAAAAAAAACAAGGAAAAAAAAGAAGAAAAAATAAGAAAGAGGGAGTGGGAAAAAAAGAAAATGTGGTTCATAATATAATAAAAACTTAATTACATTTTGAGAGTGTTATTCTTCAAAATAGAAATAAACTAGCTTTCATCTTTCCTGTTAAAATGAAGCAACTAAGCTACAGACAATTGAAACCTACGACTTCATATGTATATGTTCATATATAGATTGTGTACAACGATAGGAACACCTTTCTGCAAATGGATTAAGTATAACACTGCACAGTGAGAGCCCGTCCACTTATGTAGACACGAGTCCTTGCAACTACACCGATGGTGCACGTTCACTCTTTCTCTCGTTCTTTCTCTCGTTCTTTCTTTCGTCCTTTCTCTCGTTCTTTCTCCCGTTCTTTCTCCCGTTCTTTCTCCCGTTCTTTCTCTCGTCCTTTCTCTCGTTTGTTTGTTTTTCTTTTTTCGTGGCAAACGAACGTTCATATTAATGACTTTTAGTAGAAAATCTAGCACAAAAGATCACAAACATGCATACGCAAAAATTAACATATGATCCCTTTAATCAGGCTACATATTAGCAAAAAAAAAAAAAAAAGAAAAGGACATCTCTTTAGGAAAAAATGTGAACGGAATGAATAGTATGAACTGCACATACGTGGAAAAATCGGGAAATAAAATAGAGTTAAAAGAAAGTAAAATAAATTAGAGAATATGAAGATTTAAAAAAAAATTAAGGATAGACACAAAAAAAAAAAAAAAAAAAAAAAAAAAAAAAAAGAGGTTTGAAAAATTACATATACGTAGCAGGTTTAACGAGTTATATAACTCTTTTAAAATTGATTTCCATTATAATCTTAACTGATGACATGATGTATGAAATCTCTAATGTACATTGCTGTGCGTATCTGTATATACGCACATACATATATGGACTCATTTATATGAATGTAGAAAAATATATACAAATATATGTATATTATAGTCACATGTGTCTGCATATACACAGTTCTATGATTATCTTCACGCAAATATGTTTCTCCAGTGTGTGTATAAAAAAAAAAAGAAAAAAAATTCTTACAGCACAACCAATTTAATATATTTAAAAACATATATATATGTTTTTCAGACTTCTTCATCTGTAATACTTAATTTTTTTTTTTTTTTTTTTTATGATCATTTATGGTCTATATAATTTCAATAATTTTGTTGTAAACCATTTTCAATTAAATTTTTATAAAGGGGAACTTGAGCTCTTATAACGCTTGTAGGAAAAAAAAAAAAAAAAAAAAAAAAAAAAAATCAAAAGCAAGATAAAGGAAAAAAGCGGAAAAGAAAACAGAGAAAAATGGAAAAAGTGGGAAAAAATGTCTCTTAAAAATATTGAAAAATCAGCTGTGAAGTTTTTCATAACGTACTCCCACACATGTGTTTTGTTTGTGTATAAATGTTCCTATTGACATGTGTATATTTTTTTTTTTTCCATTTTTTTTCTTTTTTTTCTTTTTTTTCTTTTTTTTCTTTTTTTTTTTTTTTTTTTTTTTTTTTTTTTTTTTTTTTTTTTTTTTTTTTTTTTTTTTTTTTTTTTTTTTTTTTTTTTTTTTTTTTTTTTTTTTTTTTTTTTTTTTTTTTTTTTTTTTTTTTTTTTTTTTTTTTTTTTTTTTTTTTTTCCTGTTTTTAAAAAAGTGAACCGTTTGGGGAGGTCGAAACTAGTCGACGCAAAAGTGTAAAAAATTGTCAAATTGAGAAAAAAGTTTCAACAATGGTTCTAAATGAGTCTATTAATTTTTGTTTTTTTCATGGTAATGGGGGGAAAAAAGGGAAAATTTTAAAAATTGCAGTAACATAAAACACACAACAGTCATGCGAATTTACGTCAATCAAGTTCTTTTATGAAAATTCAATTGTCCATGGAATATTGGAAAACGGTGTAAAGAAGTTGTGAATTTTATAAAATTTGAAAAAAATTCCATAACTTGTAAGAGTGGAGGAAGCTTATAAATTCTATATATTCTGTGAAAAATTATGGGAAAAAAATTATAGGGACAAAAAAAAAAAAAAAAAAAAAAAAAAAACCACGCTGATCCACAATTTCATTTTTCTATTAAGTGAATTTTATAACTTATTCGAAAAAAAAATAAAAGAAGATCGTTTTTTTTTATGGTTGGAAAATTTTCCCCTAATGTTAAAGTTTTGTCAACAAAGAAACGATTTTAGTGTAACATTTTCGTGAAAAATAACACAAAAATTAAAGCAATAATTGGGGAAATAAAACAAAAGCAAAAATTACGGAAAATTAATACAATAATATAAGGCAAATGAACATAAAAAATTTGGCTAAAAATAACCAAAAAATTAGGGAAAATTTAACAAGAATTTACGGAAATTTATGAAAGTATTTAAGGAACACTTGGGGGAATTTTTTCTTTTCATATTTTATCTTTTACATCTGTAGATCTAATTGTGGCAAAGTACACACCTTTTCACACCTAACTTATCGAGTTCCGTATTAGTTTTACACTATTGTGGTATATTTACCAATAATCTAAAACAATTGCTTCTTCACAATTTCTTCCATTCGAATGAGCTTAATCTCTAAAATGTAGTTCCTTGTTCATTTTAATAAAGAAAACAAAATTGAAAAAAAAAGAAGAAAGGAATTGTTACGAATGGACGGTTGGAAAAGATAAAAGGGCAAGGGGAAATAACAACTTGCAAAAATGGTTGTCATCAATTGGATTTTTAAATCTCCTTTATATGTGCGTTCCAAGAAAAAAAAAAAAAAAAAAATAAAATTTGGGAAACAACACTCCTGTTGGTGACAACATGCAAATGTACATACATATATAACAATACCATTTATGAAGAACTGTGAGCACAATAATTGTCCCAAAAAAGAGATGTAAATGTATAATATATTCCCTTACAATTTCATATTGGTTTACAATTTATTAAAACATTCAATTTTACATGGTTAAAAATGTTCATAAACATGTTGATCCATTTTCACAAAACGTTAAAAAAAAAAAAAACTTAACAGAAATTAATATTATAAAAAAAGTATTTTAGTTGAGTTATATATGTAAAATGAATGGGCCTCAAGTTGGGAGAAATATAACCTTCATTTTTTTTTTTTTTTTTTTTTTTCACACCTTATCACTATATGTCCTATTATTACACCCTTGCATTTTCACGTTTCTCGTGAACTATTGGGATAAAAACATAGTAGAGATGGTATTTTATTTTGTTATGAACACGTGGAAAGGAGGATGAAATAAGACAAGAATGGCTAAACATATAAAGTTGTATATGTAAATATACATATATATATATATATGTACATACCATTAATATACCATGGTGTACATGCATTACACACTTTCCTAACGAACGCGCATAGCCTAGTTCAGTAAACGTCTTTTTTTCCACACATCATTTTTTTTCGGTAATCATAAACATATATACATATACAACTATACAGATCAGGGAATTGATATAAACCATTATAATTCTTATTTACATCAAATAGAAAAGAAAGACAACATTCCACATCTGGAATAGTTATTAAGGATTTGTAAGGACATTGTTTGTTAATACAACTGATTACCCTTTCAAGTATATAACTCCCTCAACCCTCCCTTATTTTTTCATTTTTTTTTTTTTTTTCCCCTTCTCATTCAACATTTGTCAAACATAAGTACATATTTATCTGGAGTTATATCCCTTAATTCTATGGGGCTTTGTTTTGCTATGTTGTTCTCATTTACCCATTCGTCCATTGAGTTTATTTATTTGGTTTAATGTTCCCCTTTCAATATTACATATATAAAAAAATGTTATAATATACCCTCTTCCATTTATACATTTCAAAGTATATACCCTAAGTTGTATTATATTGTGAAGATACACATACGCATATTTTCACATCTCCTCTTAAAGATTAAATTTTTTATGTTTTAAATTTTTTCCTACATTCAATTTTTGCATTCTGAAAAAAATAAAATAATAAACAGGGTAAAATGATAAAATAGTAAAATAACAAAACCCCTGATTGGGAATTACTGCAAAGAATTTTTTTTTTTTTTTTTTTTTTCCAAAATAATTAAATGCTAACGCATTACTACTTTTGAAACATTGAATAAAGAACGAGTGAGAATTAAAAAAAAAAAAAAAAAAAAAAAAAAAAAAAAAGGAAAATTAATAATAAACAAGTAAATGTAAAATTTTTACGTCCAAGAAGGAAAGAAAATTTTAAAAAATAAGAAAAAAGCAATCAGCTCGTTTAAGATGAAAGAACCTTTATTTCGTTCTTTGAAAAATAAACAGTTTTTATGGATTTGTTTACATATTATATATATATATATATACATAAGCTTTATCTGCTTGGTGTGAAGGCACAAGCATAAATATATATATGGGGATAAGTACATTCAAATGCATTTTGGATATGTTCTTGTATTCTTGTGTTTACGATATATTTCCTTTCCTATGTACGTCCACACGTTTTTCTGCTTCCATATGTTTGTACATTTACTCATTTTGTTCTTGAGGTATTTTCCATTTTATGTGCCACGTTGATATCTCTTTTCTTTTTCTTTTCTTTTTTCTTTTTTCTTTTTTTCCCTATTCACATTGAATGTCATGCATTTTTAACAAAAAATATAATAGAGAGTCATAGTATAAAATAACTAATTTTTGCTGTGCCATGTACACCCCAAGCAACAATCTAGAAAATTCAAGAAATGTGTCACACATGATGAGTTATACATATATATGTAATTTTTAAGGGATAAAAAAAAAAAAAAAAAAGAAATGGGAACCACATGTGCAAAAACCTGCAAATATAAAACAAACTAACGATTTCCTAACCCATATTTTAATGTTCGTACAAGTTACACAAATTACTCCTATTCCCCGTTGAATGCAGAACAGGAATGTTTCCCGCTTTTTTTTTTTTTTTTTTTTTTCCGTCACACACATGTGTAAAACATACGTTTAAATAAACACAACAGTTGGGTACACCAAGTAGCAGCAAAATAATACTCATACATATGTGTACAACGTATATATATGTATATATAAAATAAGAGAAGGCTTGTATTCAAATAATATGTAACAAAATAAAGAGATTGTAACAAGAATCATTTTATTACACGCAAAAGAGGAAAACTTATATTAAATGAACATATGTCAGAAGAAGAAATAACCAATTTTTGTGGCATAACAGGGACATCATTTTTCACAAAAGGGAAGCTATAAAATAGATATTACCAAGGCGAGAGGGAAAAAAGAAAAAAAATGTGCTTCACTTTTCACAGGCCATAGTATTGTGTAACCTCTGATGTATTTTTTCTTTACCCATTCAATTATATCTACACATAAACACTCCTCTTTTCATGCCAACCGCTGCACACAACAGTTGAAATGTCGAACTAATGCTGATATTACAACATATGATATATTCATTTGATGTCATTAAAATTGTGGTCCGTCAAGCGATGAAGGTTCAGAGAGGGACATTTATACATACCTATTTATACATATATATTTATACATATATATATATATATGTGTATATATCTGCACATTAACACAACTATGTCCATACAAATAAATTCATAAGGGGGAAAATTCACGAACATACGACAAAAAGAACAAAATTGAATAACGTAGTTTTTGAAGAAGGAAAAAAGATTAGAAAAAAAAAAAAAAAAAAGAAGCAAATCTTATAATAAATCAGGTGAGTGGAATTGATTAATAATCAATTTTACTGTTCAAGTAGTTGAATATTTATTCCCTCAGTTGTTAGCTCATCGAATAGACTGAGCAAAATGATAGGGAATAAAGAAGATGCATACGAATGTTTCAACTTGGCCAACAAGTATATGAAAGTGGGGAATTACAGTCATGCGAAAAATTTATTTCTTAAATCCAAAAGGATGTTCCCCGATATTGACATTAGTGAAAAAGTAAAAATATGTGAAGAGGAAATAAAAAAAAGGGAAGATTTGAATGGAGAAAACCAAGACGGATACACAAATAGTAATAGAAACAACAGTAATAATTACAATACAACATATAGACCCAATCACAACAATTTACATGAACGCCATCATAAGGCAAAAGATGAATGCATGGAAAAAATATTAAGGACAAATAATTATTATGAAATTTTGGGTGTTCCAAAAAATAGTAATGATGAAACCATTAAAAATGCATATAAAAAGTTAGCAAAGTTATATCATCCAGATAAAAATAAAGAAAAAGGAGCTGAGGAAGCTTTTAAAAAAGTTTCGAAAGCTTTTCAACATTTAATAAATAAAGAAAAAAGATATGAATATGACAATAATTCCGGGACGGATCACTTACCACATCCAACATATAGAACTACACATTATTATTATAATGATGATGCGTTTACACCTGAAGATATTTTTCGTAATTTTTTTGGTATCAATTTTGCCACTTGTAATAATAGATCGTTCAGAACCAATATCAACACCAATAGAGCTTACGCAAATAGTAACAGTAATGCTAATGCCAATAATCAGCGGAATTCCTCCTTCATTCAAATTGCTATATTTTTAATAATGTTTGTTATATTCTTCTTATCAAGTCATTTTGAACAGCCAAAGGTAAAAATACACATAGTTAATTTTTTTTTTGTTTTTCTTCCCTTCTCATTTGTATTGTGAGCCGTATGTTGTTATATGTGTATCTTTTTTGTGGATGCAAAAAAAAAAAAAAAAAAAAAAAAAAAAAAAGTTGACTTATTCATAATATTTTTTTCTTTTTTCTTTTTTCTTTTTTTTTAATATGCATCCCCCCATCCTTATTTAGGCCGTTTACTCTCTCCAAAAAACAAGTTATTTTGATACTATAAATTACACATCGTTAAACAAAATACGGTTTTACACAAAAAGGACATTTAATTATAATTATCCGAAAAATAGCCATCCGCGTTTTCAAGTAATTTTTTACACCGTACAACAATATCACAAATCGTCCATTTTTGCAAATTACAGTATGGTATTATATCACCTTTATATCACTTGTTTTTTTTCCGTCCTCTTTTTTTTTTTTTTTTTTTTAATAACAGATCGAATATGAAGTTGAATACAAATATTATGAGCATGAATGTCACATTTTAACAAAGAAAATAAAAAATGATTACTACAGAGAAAAAAACCAATACCGTAATGCAATTTTTATATAGGCATTTTTTTTTTTTTTTATGTAGCTTTTAGTTAACAATATTCAGTTATGATCATTGCATATATTTTTTAAGATAAACATATGTATACTCACACATATGTGTTTACATGTTCGCCTGTTTCTGCATATTCTGACAAAATGATTTTTGTTTCCCTGATTTTACTTGCTCTTGTTCAATCCTATTTCTTCTTATTACTTTTTTTTTTTTTTTTTTTTTTTTACCCTACTTCAGAACAAAAAATAAATTACCACGAAATTCCAGAAAGCTGCATGAAGTTGAAAACGCTAGAGGTAATAACGTCCTATAGAATTGTGCTACATATTTTTCGAAGTGGTGCATAAACATGTGCATTCTTAATTCATTTAACATTAATTTTTTGTGCCCGCGCATACACACCTAGTTGAGTATATATATATATATATATATGTACATACATCTACATGTTTGATATTTATATATACATACAAATGCTCACATTTCTTTTCATGAACACTTCACAGGATCAATACAACAACTACATCATGAAGCTAAAAAGGCGATAATAAGAAGTCAAGCCACTTTAAAAAATTAATTTTTTTTATTCAAAACAAAATATTTGAATAATAAAAGATTAAAATGATAAACAATGTCATTTTTTTGTGTTTTAACCAATTCGGAAGATTATATCTTTTCATTTGTGTTTTAAATAATTACCCAAACTCACCTCCACAAATACAAAAATAAACACCTTTTTTGTGAATAATATTTTAAAAAAAAAAAATAACACAAAAATTTGACTTTATTTAATACTTCCTCCCCCCCCCCCTCCCCCACTTACTATTTAAACATTAATCTTGAACTTTCTTTTTTCACCGTGTTATCAAGACTTAAGCTTTTTCTAATGTCATTTATTTAATGTACATACGTCAAACAGTTTATCTATAGGATTTATCAATTCTCAAATTCATGGTACCTTCTCACAGATCAGTTTTGTAATTTTTACGTTATTACATTTTGCTTCTTACTATTTCACTTTCCCCATTCCTAATTATTTCTTATCTCTCCCTTTTTTCGTTTATATTATTTGTAGTTTCAATATAACCCTTTTTTTTTTTTTTTTTTTTTTTTTTTTTAAATTCAATCTAATTAGACGAGTGTACTTAAAATTTGTATAGGTACATTTATCTACACACAAATGTATGTATTATGTGTATATATAATTATAAATGGTTCCCTTTGTGCATTTGTTGATATTTATACATTGCACTGAAGCATACACAAACTGGGAATAGTATAGGAGGGCGCACAATTCCTTTTTCACCTCATCCATGTGTGTCACACACGTTTTTTGCCAGCGTTTTCCTCTCCCGCATGTGCAGTATATTCATCTAAAATTTTCTTTACGCATTTTTTGTGTGCATATATATACATATACATATGTCTTATCAATTTTTGTTGAAATTGTTGCATTTTTTCTGCATATAAAAAGTAATACGCTTTTTTTTTTTTCTCCTTTTTTTTAAAAAGTTAATGTTGCAAGAGTCCTTTTCGCCTGAACAGTTTCTTTTTTTTTCTTATTTTTCTTTTCTTAATTTTTGTTTCTAGCTGTAGGAAAAGAATGTACATGTGTGAATTTATAATATGAATATAACGTATGTATATACATATATATACGCATAATCAAGCATATCATGGAATGCGTCATTTTAATTTTTGTAGTAATATAACACTCGAAACAAGATGAATAATTAATTCTTACTAATTTTTAAGTGTATTATATATATATATATATATATATATACAAATAAATAGTACATTCATAAAGCAAAAATTGCAAGTGTTGTTTGTTTTGTAATCGTTCCATCTAATGGGTACAGAAGGTACTACTTCTGCCACATCTCAACTTCTTCTCATCGTTTGGACCTTTCCATATCTCATCATTCCTTTTCTTACTCCTAATTCGTATGATGTTGTAATTCTCAACATTTCTTCCTTTTACCCAAAAAATATATTTATGTACTATATACACCCCATATCATATTTACTTACAATTACATAAGTTGCCATGAAAACGCACTATATGGTGATTCCCCATGGAAAGAGCGTGGGTAAAAAAAAAAAAAAAAAACTATTAACACAGGATAAGCATACTAATACGGCTTTAATTCTTCTTGCTATTTGTTTTTAGATTTTCCACAGGCTTTTCCTATTGCATGCTATCGGACGTATGGGATGAGTACTCATCATTGCTATTATTGTACATTTTATCTGTCTCGTATAATTCTTTTTCTTCTTTTTTTATTATGTCTTTTATATACTCATAACCAAATTCCTCATTATTATTGGATGCTAAAACGGTGTTCGAAGTTTTATATATTTTACTAGTGTTAATATTTTTGCAAATTTTGGGAAAATCCTTTTTTCCCCTCTTTCCCATTTCTTCCTTAATAGAAGCTGCATTTATGGTGGCACCATTTATTAATGCATTATTTATTGAGGCACCATTTATTAATGCATTATTCATTATTTTTTTTTTTCTGTTAAGAGATATCACATCTTTTATGTTCCTGTTATATGCATTGTGTTTATTCCTAACTGATTTAACGTAGTAAGTTGTCTCGTTTTGTTTTTCATTTTTTTTTTTTTTTTTTTCGGAACTATGTTTATTCATCTTGATATTTTCCGAATTGACAAAATTTAAATAAGCTGCTATTTCGTACATACATACTAATATAGCGTTAAAGAAATTATCATTTAAACCTCTTAACATCACACTTTTTTTCTCTTTATCTTTTTCCTTTATTTTCCTGAATATCTGTATGCTCTTAACATCATAAATAAAGTATGCATTCTCCAGATCGTAGAAACTGCAAGTTTTATTTCAAAACGAGTATGTCGTATGTTCCTCTTTGTGTGCAATATTGCATGAATGTGTATATATACATTTTCCTATGTTGAGGTATATGTATATACATATGAAGATATTTCTGCATTTTTACGAGACCGCCACTTTTTGACTGTTTTTACCTGAACGTTCTTAACACACTTGGTGTTACTCCTCTTATTGCCTCCTGGTATGAGTGAGAATACACTGTTAAAAAAATTTCTATAGAGGTGAATTAGAGCAATATATTGTGTCTTATGCCAGTTGCAATGGATAATTAACACTAGGTGCTTAGCTCAATTCAATAAATAGGTTGAACTGTGTGAATGGAAAAAATGTGCGAACGTGTTCATTTATATGTATATGCATAGGAATAAGTTTATTAAAAAGAGTATTGCATTTTTTTTTTTTTTTTTTTTCTAAGTATAATTTTACACTAAAAGTACTACCTATATTTGTGCCATCTAAAACCATGTAATTGAGTTTTTTTTTTTTATAACTTTCGAAAAGGTTCTTAATAAGTAACCCATTACAGCCTATTGAAGACGAAATTGGTGGTGGTGGTGAGTGTGTGTGGGAATAATTATGTCTTCCCTCTCACCACGTAAAGTTATTTAAGTGGAACATACTCTCCTTCCGTTCTGCAAACAGTTCATCGTAAATACACTCGATTTTTTTTCAACTGTTTGTCACTTCCTGCAACTTTTTTTTTTTTTTTTTTTTTTTAGCATGCTACGTGTGGATTTATTTCTGCATTCTCTCTTCTACCCGCTTTGCCTATATCCCAAGCCCTTTTGTAGGACAAGTTTATCTTATCAATTTGGGGAACATTTTTTCCTAAGGGTTTCCAGTGAAAATTCTTCACTATTCTGTCGTATACAATTGAATGCGTAATGTTACATGTTACACCTTTTGAATTAGCAAAAGGCTTAATGTTTTTACTAATAATGATCTGTTCTCACTTTAATGAATTATTTGAATCCATAAACGAACATTTTTCTTATTTATTTTTGCAATTTTTCGTATTTAATTCAAAAAATTGCAAACGAGCGTAGAAAGAATACTCACTTTGTTTTATCCCTGGTTGAGGGTACACATCCATAGTCTTTAAACGGGAAACTCTCAGCACTTTCGCAAGTACATGATGGCAGTGAATTAAGTGTGTAGGTTTAAAGGGCATATATATTGGAATATTTTCTTTTATTTTTGAAGACGTAAATTTTCTTCGATTTTTTTAATTTTATTTTATTTATTTTTTTTTTTTTTGCTGACCTGTTCATATTATTTATGTAGCTAGCTGTGTAGTATTTTTTATATTTATTTTCTCTTTTCGAGGTGAAGTTGTTACTGACGTAGGAACAAATAGGGATGTTTTTGCCATCTGTAGAATGTGAGGTGGCAATACTTGAATTTTGACTTTGATTTGAATATTGGAAATTGGATTCACCAGAATTTTCCAAAAATTGATTCACGTCTTTGTATGACTCATCACTGCTCTCACATTCATTGTCTTGTACTAAAAAAAAAAAAAACATGAAGGAAAATAATATTTGTTACATTTTACACATAAAAACATTGTGGAATGAAAAAAAAGGGATTTCAACACTTGTTTCCTCAAATGTTTAAAAGTGTAGTAGTTTACTCATTTCATTGTATGACATAAAAACTTCATTCATTTTTTCATTCATTAATCAATAGGTGTAATTTTTTCCTTTCATTCACCCATTAACGATTTAGTAGAGGGTAAAACGGGTGAAAGGAAATTCGAATATATGTATAGATAAACTTGAATAAGCGCATAGGTATGTATATGTGCATGAAATCTATTTGCATTTATGAATATGCACTAAAATCTGTAACTTGATATGTTAATAATTTTGTGACATTTTGAAAAAAACACAACCGTTTTAATTCTTGTGATTTTTTTTTTTTTTTTCACATTTCGATGCACTAAGGATGTTAGTGTTTTTAAAATTCTGTATACGGAGGGTGTAAATTTTTAAAAAAAAAAAAAAAAAAAAAAAAGTTAAATGAATAAGTAACGAATGGGCAACGAATTAACAACAAATGGACAACGAATGGGTAACGAATGGGTAACGAATGAACGAACGACTAAGTAACAGATGAACGACGATTGAGTAACAGGTGAATATTGGATATAATGAAGCAAATGAAGAGTCAAATAAATAAAGATATGCGTTCATTCATTAATTTTAAGAATGTATTCAAAATTTTTATACAAAAGGGCGTTTAAAACAAATTTACATAAAATTTACATATATATTAAACATCTGTTTTTAATTTTTAAAACTGTGCACAAAATATGCCTCAGTAATTTCACATATGAAATGTAATTTGTTTTCTTTTTTCTTTCATAACTTTATGCAAACCAACATTATTCAAGTGCATCCATGTTAAAATATAAAAAAAAAATATGAAATTTGGCGGGTATATTATAACTGGGCATGAACTGTCTTTTCACTGAAGCGCACCATCATGTACAAACATCTGTACACTTTTTAGTACACTTTTAAGTACACTTTTGTATGCATTTGCATACACTTGCATACACATTTCTGTACACAAATGTGCACATATTTCATATACAGAGGGAAGCAAAAAAAAAAGAAAAAAAAAATGCGCATGCATTTTTCCTTTACAACTAAAGAGCACGTGAGTAAACATACGCCTGTAGGAATAACCACATGCACCTCCCCTACGAGTATGTCAAAGTTAATCCCAAATTTATTATTTCAAGGTGAAGGGGAGAAATATCCACATACAGTATATATTTTCTTTTCTTCCTTTTTGAAAATGTGTTAAAAATTTTCACATCCTTAGTAGTTTTACTTTCTATCATTTTCATTTCATGATAGTTCCATCTCTATAATTTAAAATCTCTTCACAGTCGAAAATTTTATTTTTTCCTATGTGGTCAATAGTAAAATCAATTTTTTTTAAAGCATGCTTTATTATATATTCATTCTTTAAATTATTTTCTGCAATGAGAGATATTTTGGTGACTAATCTACGATATTTTTTTCCTTTCAGTGTATCTTTATATTCTTTGCATATGGCTTTAATCCAAAAAAAAAAGGTATTTAAAAAAAATCTATTTCGCATTAACGAATTCAAAAGAAATTCCAGTAGTTTGATGGCATATTTTTTCCCTATATTGACAATTGTTTCTTTAATCAATTTTTTATCCTTTATATTAACCAATTGAGTAAGCTTATTGTACCTTCTTAGTGACATGTTTAATTTAAGCATGGAGGATAATCCTATAAATTTGTCCCTGACGGTAGTTAAATTTTCATCGTTTGGGTTTTTCCATTCGTTATCGGAATGACTGTCTATATCGTTAAAACAATCTTCAGCAGTTTTGATTGTTTTTTTATTAATTGATATTTCGTTCGATACATTTTCTTCTACTTTAGGTTTCTTTATATTTCCACATTCCAAAAAATCATGCATTGTATTCTCATCCTCTTGTATATTTTTTTCGTTCTTCATTTTTCTCTTCCCCCTATCATCATCTCTTTCCTTTGTATTTTCACTTTGTTCTCTTATCATTTTTTCAGAATCATTTTTGCTTCTATCCGTTGTCTTATTTTCCTTTTTTCTCTCTATATCTCCCTTTTTATTTTGTGTTTTCATGTTATTCGGTTCTTCGTGTGTTTCTACTCCCTCTTCATCTGCTTCTCCTTCCCCTTCATCTGCTTCTCCTTCCCCTTCATCTGCTTCTCCTTCCCCTTCGTCTGCTTCTTCTTCCCCTTCATCTGCTTCTCCTTCCCCTTCATCTGCTTCTTCTTCCCCTTCTTCTGCTTCTCCTTCCCCTTCGTCTGCTTCTCCTTCCCCTTCGTGGGCCTTTCCATGCATGTCGTCCGTCCTGGATACCTGCAAACTCTCACATTCCTCCATAGAGGGTGTAGAATTACATGAAGTATGAACCCTATTTTTTCTATGCGTCGAACTGGATAAACTTCCATCATGTTTTGATACACTTGTAGTAACCTCATCTTCGTCATTTTTTTCTGGGGTTTTGTCATCACCTTCTTCAACCCTTTTTACAAGTTGCGCTTGGTGGTGATTACTTCCACTGGTGGGTTCTTCCTTAAGTAGAGTTTCATCGTTATGCATATTGCTATTTTCTCTATTTTGAGATTTATTCATTCCTTGTTCATTTGTAACAATTTCTATTAGACGTGTTTTCTCATCCGATAAGTGCAAACCCATGGTGTATTGTACATTGTCAACATTCTTGAATTTAGAGTCATTTGGATGTACATCTATGTTTAGATGATCATGGCATACCACCCGATCATAATAACTACAATCGGATTTCTCATCATCACAACTATCTGTTTGGCTACTTTCATCATTCCATGTGATATCACTATCTATGTATGAATCACTATCTGAATAAATAGAAAATTTGGATTCATTCAAAATTTTGTTAATGATATTTTTTTTCATTTGATTATCTTCTACATCCTTAATTGCCACAATTTTGTCATTCGAATTCATTACTTTTAAAAGTAACGGTTTATCAAACTTTTCAGGAACAGATAAAAAATCATGATGAATTTGAATTGTATAAACAACTGCTGATTTTTCATTCATGATAATTGTATCCATAAAAAAGTTATTATTTATGTATAAATGTTTATTAACAATATGTAGCATATATTTATTAAAATTATGTGATTTTTCTTTTTTCTTTTTTATGATATTTTTCTGTTTTATAACTCTTTTTAAAAATATATCAGATACGTTATATATGTGCATTATTTTGAATGGCAATATTATATGGGCCAAAGGACTTTTACAAACATGTACAAGTCCAAATTTAAAATCAGATACATTCAAATAATCAATAAAGTATATTAGTACCTTTCCACTCTCACTGTATATTAGAAGGTATAACTTTAAAGTACCTTCTTCCACTGTTTCACAAGTGTTACTTACAAGATCTTCTGTAATAATTGAATTCTTTTCATCTATTTTGCTATCACTGTTACATACCTTTGAGTTTAAACAGTTGGGATTGTTTATTTCTTCTTCTGTCATGATTTGGTCTGTTGAATTGTCCTGGAAATTATGAGGCTTCTCCTCTAATGGGCTTATATCTTCATTATGATTACTCGAATCATCATGACAGTTTTGTCCATTTGTCATTTCTTCATCGGGTAGGATAATTACTTTGGGTTCTTTTTCATCACCAACTTTGACAGAATGCAATGAACTTTTCTCAGATGCCAAAACAGGGCGTACTTCACATTCATTGTTGTTAATCTTTGAAGCATGTTTGATTTTAAAAAAAAATGCTCCTTTTATATATTCATTATTTAACATGTTTATATCCAACTTTATTAGGCACTTTTTTTTATTTTTTATTTCTCCTTTTACAAATTTGTATACAGTTGCATCTTTATAAGAATAACTACATACATGTATAACTTCTTTATATTCACTTTTCATTTGTGCACTTTCATTTTTGTAAGAATGATATACATGCTCTTCTTGTCTGTTTTTTGCAGGTAGACTCATACTGGTGTTTCTCACTTTTATAGTTTTATCCTTAAAATGTAATAATTTTAAAAAATATAACCTACTTTTAGTACTTACATATATCATATTTTTCTGATCTGAACAGAAATTGACTTTTATAGGTGGATCTTTCAAATTTAACATGATATTACATTTTCCACTTGTCTTTGCTTGAAATAATGAAAATTTATTTTTTTGTATAAATATAATATTTTTTTTAAAATATACAAAATCGCTTGGTTCACAATCGTTCAAATTTATTAATGTGTATTTTTTTTTTTTTTCATTATCATACATAGAAAATAGATAATCCGATAGAAGAATTAAATCTGTATTGTTGTTTAAATATCCTTTCATAAATATTTCTGATGTTAACGAATTCGTAATTTCATAATATTTTGATTTATCACTTTTCGATTTTAATTTTAATGAATAAACATTATAACTTTTATTCTTCCCATTATATTTCATATGATTTATTAACAAGTCATCTCCTTCAATGTCCATAACATCTCCACTGTAATCCATCATTCTTCTTTTTTCTACATTTATTTATAACCAAAAATATTTCATATGAACTGATTGACAACTCTGTGTAGGACTTTGTAAGTTTTATTTTATTATATTATTTTTATTTTTAATTTATTGTTTACTCACTCTCCATGTGTTTTTTTCCCCTTCTTTGATTGCAACCTAATAATACCAAATCAACGGGAGAGAAGTACGAGAAAATAAAAATTTCCTATCTGTTGATTCAATTTTTCTTTTCTTTTCTTTTCTTTTCCTTTCTTTTCTTTTCTTTTTTTTTTTGGTAGGGAGTTTCCTCAAATGTCAGCAGGACTACACGTAATGAACCAAACTAATTTTTTTTATCAAAAATGAAACATTAAAAGTACCATATCTTTTTAGTAACTACTTGGGACATAAAAAAACAGAAAAAAAAACTTATAGTAATTGTAAAATGATGAAAAAGAAATGTATATTCTACAAACTTTGTACCGGTATAATATAATATGTAGGAAAATATCTCCCACCCTCCTATTTTTTTTTTTTTTTTTTGCTATGGATTACGTAAACCAACGGGGTGACTTTGCAAAAATGATGTTTTTTCTTTTTATTACATGTACCTCTTTTTTCTTTCAAGCTATTTCTCGTGGATGTTGATACACTTATGAGATTCTAGCTTCAATTTTTGAGTTATATACATAATATATATGTGTTTATTCTTCCATATATATTCTCGTAAAATATACATAAACAGGTATATACATATATATATATATATATATATATATATATATATATAAAAGCGTTTGCCCCCGTACACTCCCTAGTTATGCTACCTCTTCATTTTTTTTCCTTTTTTCTTAGGTTCCCATAATTTTTTAAAAATAACAACAAAAAAAAATTTTTGCCCTTAAATTGAGAAAACAAAAAAAAAAGTAAAATTTTTGACAGCGAAGATTTTATGATAAAGGTATCTTTCTTTGCATTTCCACATCCTTGTTTTTTTCTTTTTCTTAGGGCATGCGTTCATAAATACGCAATACATTATATACATATATATATATATATATATATATATATATATATGCATATGTATACAAGTACAAGTCGAAATAACGCCAAAAGGGACTAGATGAAAAAATTAAGTATATTATGTTATTTTTTTCAAGTAGCCAACTTTTCTGTGTTTCATTTTGTTACTATATGTATTTTTTTTTTCTTTTTCCCCCCACTTGGCGGAGGTGTCAAGTATACAAATGTTTTGTATGCATGCACATACATATATATACATATATATATACGTCCTTTTTATTTATTTTTTTTTTTTTCCCTTTTTTTTGGTGAATGGATATTGAATTTGTTTTTAGGCTTATTACGCATATAGAAATACAAACAGTTGCAAATATGCGTACAGCGCTATATGTAACCGGAAAAATAAGGCCTTTTACATATACTACAACTTTTGCTCTATTGTTACATGCATACAAGAGGGGTTGGGTTGGGGGACCATTATTTTCTTCTATAGTTCCAATGTAAAATATAAATTGGAGTGAGGCTTTTTTTTTTTTATTTTATTTTTTTACGTATTCTTGCAACATTTGACTTTTCATAAATTTTTACAAGAAACCTGCATAATTTAAAAATTTATTTATATGCTATAAATGGATATAAATTTGCTTTTGTTATTACCTCTTTGTGAAAAACAAGAAAAAGGTGTTTCATTTTTGTTTAATATACAAAGTCTAGGAAAAAAAAATTATCTATAATTCAACCCATCCTATTTGAATATTTATTTAATGAATGCGTTAGCACCTAATATCACCTTGCTAATTTCGGAATGAAAATATACCAATGTGTATATAACATTTAAGTACATTACGAATGGTGAAAAAAGTTGTGCACAATTCTCCTGAATTCTAGCATACTACACCAAATAGTTAAAATATATATTTATATATATATATATATATATATATATATATATACATGTGTAATTTTCGTTTTTATAATGTTTTACTTTTTACATGTTACAACAAAAATAATTCCTCTGTGAAAATGCAAATCAGTACTGAATAATAAATATGTGCCCATACAATAACAAGACGGCACATGTTGTTCTACTAAAAACTAATAACACACTAATGCATAGCATTTGCTACAGTAGCACAGGTAACACTTATATATCACCTTTCATACGTTTTAATTAATCATTTATTTTATTTTTATGATGAAAAGTTGACAGCTTCTTTTTCAATAAACCATTTGTAAAAAAAAAAAAAAAAATGCTTTAAAATGAGACACTCATGTGCCATCTACATTGCAGCAAAAATAATTTTCTACAGGCACTTTAGAAGAGATGATCATTTTCAAACTCTTGTTTTAGAACCACATAACGTGATGTGTAAAAATCGATTTATACAACTTGTACATAATTTTTAACTATTCTACAGTTTGTTATGGTACCTATTGGATAATACATTATATTTTAATTTCCCGTTTTCTATTTTTTGCACTGAAAAGAAATGTTCTTTTTATGGAGGACGAATAGGATTCATTGTTTGTTATTTTGATATAGGTGCAATATGCACATAAATTAATACCATTTTTCTTGACTACACAATGTGTGATTATTATTATAAACAACACTTACACAAATACATTGAAATGAGCCAAATATTTTTCATAAAAGTGAAATAAAAAGCTGTAACACATACTATCGATGGACAAGAAGATGGCTCGTTAGGATAACCCCCTTTGTTCCATACATTTTTTTTTTTTTTTTTTTTTTTTTTTTTGATATGCATTCGTGATGCATAAATACTATTCCCTCCTTAAATATATTATGGGTCTATTTCATATAATTAAAACATACGGGAATGAAATATTTTCATATCATTACAAGCCTTTGTATAACAGCAGTTAATTTTAATTCATTCATGACACATGTTTTACAATCCTTTGAAAAGGGAAAAATAAAGTTTTTTTTTTTTTTTTAAAATGGCCATCAATAAAAGGGGAAATAAATCTAGGAGCACTTTTTTTTTCACCTTTTTTTTTTTTCTATTTTTATCCAAGGTCTCATGAGTCCATGTATGCAGCAAATGTACCTTGATGTATATTGTCCTTAAAAATGGGACTAAAATGTGAGGTCCAAAAATAAAAAAGAAGAGATAAGGGGAAATAACGTAGCTACATATATGTACTTTTTAATCTAAGAAATAAATTTTAATAATTCAAAAACATAAAATAAATAACTACCTATTGAAATCTAAACTAGGGTTGGACGAAACACGAATGTGTGTTTACACGTTTACGTACAAGCGTATATGTACTAGTCGTTTTACAATTTTATATGTACATGAATATGCTAATCCATATCCATGTGTGAGTGTCAAACTGCTCGTACAGAGTATAACATGATACGTACACGTGTGTATATCATCATACGTGTACATAAATACATATATATTATATACATGTACATATTATCTTAAATTGTGCAAGCTAATGTAAAACATATTTGAGCAAGCCAAACGTACACCATACATTATGTATGAACAATCAGCACAAAAATAAGATATAGCTTTACAAAGTATAACATAAACGGGTGCGTGTATATAAAACTCAGAATTCAAAAAAAAAAAAAAAAACTAATCTTTTACCTGAATGTTCATAAAAAAAAAAAAAAAGGAAAAAAATACAAATGCAAATATATTATTAAAATAATGGTAAAAAGGAAAAAAAAAAAAAAAAAAAATTCATTCAAAAGCAAATTATATATTATTATTAAAATTATTCACCTAATGCTTTCTTATAGGTAATCAGAAAAAAAAAAATAATTTATAAAAATCACACACACCTTGTTACCACAAAAGGTGAAAAAAAAAAAAAAAAAAAAAAAAACTGCAAATCACAAAAAACAAACAGCAAATTACAAAAAACAAACTGCAAGTCACAAAAAACAAACTGCAAGTCACAAAAAACAAACTGCAAGTCACCAAAAACAAACTGCAAGTCACCAAAAACAAATGCAAATAACTAAAAGCAAATTAGAAAAAAAAAAAAAAAAAAAAAAAATCACAAAAAACAAATAAAAATGATTAGAAAAAATAAAAGTCACACATATCAAACTTTGCTTGATTTTTCTTTTCATTTTCAGTAAAGCAAAACTTCAAATATTTTTCATCCTCCTTGTAAAGTTCGCTTTTTTTTTTTTTTTCTTTTTTTTAAATGTATATATTTACATTACTATATGCATGTTACATACGTATACACTTGCTTATAATCTGAAATAGCTTTTAAAATACATTTAAAAAAAAAAAAAAAAAAAGTTGACAATTTGATGAACAACAACCATTTATTTATGAAACGAGCAAATATAAACTTTTCTTTTTCCGTTTGTACTACAAATGGAAGCGCTTTGCGCACGTGATAGGCTATATATGGATTAATAAAATTTTATACTTGGCATTTTATCCTTAGTGCGCCATGTTTTGTTTAAAAGTTTTCTATTCAGTATTATACGACGAATGTTCATTTTGCACGCGTATAATATATACTATAGTAATATGCATTTATTTGTATATACTGTATATATAATATTGCATATATATATACTGTGTTAACGTTTATTTTTCCACCTAAAATTGAAAAAAAACCTTCACAGCATAACACAGTTATTAGATGGAATATATTTGTGCCATTATACATAATATGTATATACATAATATTTACGTGTACAAGTGCGTGTATGGTATACACATAAAAATAATAATACATTTTATATCCATTATCACGCACTATTAATTAATACATTAACCCAGTTAATATTAAGAATCACTTTTGAATTAAAGATTTGTGAGAACGCCTGACTTAATCGAAAGAAACAAATCTGTAAAAATATAAGCTTTCCCGAAGAACAAAAAGAAAAAAAAAAAAAGAAAAAGAAAAAGTATAAGTAAAAGAAATAGAAAAGGAAAAGGAAAAGGAAAGATATGTATATAATACTATATATATATGAGTTA